ATATATATATATATATATATATATATATATTATATGTATACGCACTCTGCCGTGCTTGCTGTCAGTTCACTTCGTCATTTTAACGTGGCATGGGAAGGAGTTTTGAATTTGATTCATCAACAGTTGAAACTCCTTGAAGAAACCCCGAATTGTTTGGGCTCAGAGAGGGAGCGGCAAGAATACAAGAAGAGAAGAAGGCAAATAGCTGTAAGCACAGCATTTTTGAAGATCGCTGCGCTTTCAGTGCAGCTTCACAGCCATCCTCCGATTTCAGGTTTCGCAACATAAAACAAGCTAAATATGAGTGCTGCTCACTTTTTTTATGCTTTCATGCAGACAGCCATCTTAGAGGTCAGCACAGCAGCGGCTCAAACATGGGTAGTGCAAGGGAACTTCGACCTCGCAGTCGCTGGGGCACTCTACGCCACGAGGACAGCCGAAATGCTCTTTGGGGCAGACTCCTTAGAAGTCGTTCATCCTCAACTTCTTCTTGCACAGATCTACTTGGGTACTATTGAGTCAATGCTACCCAAGCTAGATAGTTAATTGGCTGGTATCAGATGTAGCTACTTTGGGTTGCTATCTACGCTGCTGCAAGCAGCTAGTAAAACTAGCTCCATGAGCTAGCTGAGGTCGCTTGTGCAGCTATCTATCTACCTCACTGAGCGCGCTAGAAAGTCTGGCTTCGCGTAGAGCAGTTGATTATCCTGATTTGTGTAATTCAAGGAAACCCAGTTTGTACGTGTTTGCACACTTCAGGGCTGCAACAGCTGCATTCAGCAGAAGAATTGTTAAACATGGTAACCCTGGGATCTCTGACGAAGCTTCTCGGTCGCTGCACAGTATATGAGATGAACAAACACAGAAATCAATTGCTGTGCTTCATCCTTGAATTGCAATTGCGCAGGCAGAACGCGGACTCGCCAAACACCCAGAGGCCGGCCGTTCTGCTCGCTGTAGCCTCTACAGGAACTTCGGGCGGCTCTATGCTTGTCAGAGCAAATATGATGAGGCTCTCCGTGCTTGCGCAATGGATGTAAGCAAAATGCATTACAAATTCTAAATTAGCATAAGTAAGAACACGTGTTTTGAGAGAACGAAAGCATAGAACCCCTTGTAATTCGCAAACGTATAAAGTAACCCTTTTATATCAAAGCCCGCCGTGTTCATAATCAGGTTGAATTGCTGGATTCGCCTTTTCGCAATGCAGGTGTACTGCGCCGCCTGCGAGTTTGGCCCCACGAGCTTCCGTATGGTGCCTTCTTTCTTTAACATGGTAGGCCTCTCTGTTCAGGTGTTGAACATAAGTAGGTAAAGTCAGCGGTATCGTCTTTGCAGCCACACAACTTTGTAGATATACACCATGTTAAAAAGGAAAGGCATCATCCGTGTGTATACACCTGCATACACTTCCCGCGAGTCACTACCATCTATACGGCTTCCAATAGCCAGCTGAGGCCAGCTTGCTGGAGCCAACTAGGGGGGAAGCACCCTACTGAACTAGTTACCCAGCTAGCTATGCAGAAATTACAGTCCAGGCAACATAATTGCCCCAAAGCAATTACTGCGTGTCCCCAGGCGGAAGTGTTCAGGAAGTGCGGCCGTGCAGAGTCTCACGTTGCATGCACCGCTATGTACAGAAAAGTTTGTGATATAATAATAAGATGGTTTGAGCAAAATGCGGAAATAGCCCCCTACGAAGAACGAAGCGCCTCGCCCCAAACGAGCCCCTCAGAGGAAAAACAAAGACAAGACGAGATTGTTAAAAGTACGTATTTATTTGAAATAAGGCGCATATGCCTGCCTGCTTCACCTTCGTACGATTTTCTACAACAGCGGGTTCACCAGTAATCATCGTTTTGTTTTGCGTTTCGTTTTTCAGCCGACTTAGAAATCCAGGAAGCCATGGAAACCGTGCGCCAAATCATTGAGTACTCAAAAGGCAATCATTCAGATTCCCCTGAGCTTCACTGTACGTTAGCGCCCAAGCAAAAGTGTTTATAAAGACCCTGGATCCAGTATTGAGATTATTTGCGGAGGGGCGCAAGAAGACACCCTATATGTTGCTTACTGTTCTGTTGTTCTGCTTAGGTATGGCCCTTTGCGCAATGGGTCTCATTCATGCTCAGATAAGTGAACTCGAAAAAGCCGAAAGCTATATCCAACAGGTAAAAATTATGCATGTTCACAGCAGAATGTATGCAGGGCAGGTCAGCTTGCTCTTAGTGAAATACTACGTTCAGTGCGGCTAGTACGTGCAAAACCAATAAGCCGGCTTAGAATAACATTAGACATAGAAGTTACAAATACATCTATAAGTACGGTTTTGCGTTTATATATACGGTATATATATAGAGCGTTTTGGCTATAATATATATATATATATATATATATATATATATACGTGAACCTTCAGGCGCATGAAGTCTGCAGCGCCAAGACGGGTGACAACTGTAGCCTGCTGAAGAAGTGCGAAATGTATGAACACCTTATTAGCAGCATGCGCTGCCAGCCCATCGGAAATGGCGACGGCCAAACAGAATGAAATCACCTGGAGTAGAAAGCCTGATTTGTGCATGTTTTCAACAAGAGTAAATCCGCCTGTCCACAGGCAACCAAACGGAAAAGAGCTGCCAACAGGAAGGCTTTATTTGTATTGTTGCTGTGTTAAAATCCTCAGCAACAATACAAATAAAGCCTTCCTGTAGAATGAGCCCCCTAATTCCCCTTAAACACGAAGGGGAAACATGGAGGCAGTGCGCTGGCCTGATTCGTAGCGTGTTCCGCGGTGTACGTACACCCCAGGGAAGCAGTGCATGCGTTTCGATGTGAACGGTTCGAAAACGACGAAACGGCTCTAGACGCCATGTGCTTTTGATATGAGGAACCTCGGATGCTTGTTTGAAACAGCTATGATGGGTTTGAATTTGGTGTGGCTTGCAGTCTCAGCCACAGTCTATGTCCAGCCTGTTCTTGCACTCAATCGCGGGCAACTGCAAACACCAGCGCTTTCTTTGTTTGATGATCAGCGTTTCCAGCAACAGAATGAAGGCAAGGGCTTTGCATTGAATTGAAACTGCATCTGTTTCAAATTTTACATCACAGACGAAGAGGAGCTCGCATCTGACGACGTATGCAAGATGCATGCAGTAGCGTAGCGTTCTGTTTTCACTTAGCGCAATTCGCGTACTCAGGCAGAGACCAGAACCCTTGCCGAAACCCAAGAGGCAGATGCTTTGGTGGAGGACTGGTCAGCTCGCCAGGAAGCCCAAGACGTCCGTTGAAACACACAACACTAAACAGCACGCTTACAGAGCTGATAATGCTATCATGCTATTTATTTCCCCTGGACAGGAAGCGACGAAGCGCCACGATGAGGCCTCCGTAGCAAAGCAGCTGAGGAGAGACACCAAAGAACAACAGCACCAAATAGCAGAGGAGGCAGGTCTGTCTTGTTCGTGATAGCTGCACAGTAGCGGCATCGCTGGCCCCGAATCTTCGCTTGCGCAGCCCAGGAGACGGCGATGATGACTCACGACTTGGAGGGTACTGACAGCTCTGAATAACCCCCCTGCATCGTCTGCTCATCAATGCCTTAGCGGAGAGCGAGCTCGAAGAAGACGCCATCAACAGGCAAGATACACATAGGAAAACAGCGATGGATGAAGAGTTCACAGCAGGCCAGGTAAACCTGAGAATGGCTTTGCGCCTTCACCCTAAGCCCTCTTTAAAAGCAATTTGACCCCCTCCTGGTCTAGGAAGCTGAAGAGAAAGCAGAGGTGGCTATTGAAGAGGCCACCCATGTTGCAGCAGAAGCAGCAGAGGCCGCAGCACCAGGTGACCCCCAATTCTTCTCAAAGTCTCTTGTTGAGTAGAGACCCCGTAAAGAGGGATGCGCAACCCATTATGCCGTCTCAATTCCCCTCAGCTGGTAGCAGCGGCGAGGGCCCCCCAGAAGCAGCCGAAAATAAACCAGAGATGCCCTCGGAAATGAGTTTAGTAAGAACTGCATTGTACAAGTTTCTTGACTACCCCCGCACACACAGCGCTGGTGTAATGACAGCAGAAGACTAGTGGACCAGCCGGCAGCTGGATGGAGTCTCGCGAGGACGTTAGTCAGAAATAGTTCACTGATAATGCATGCATTCAGCTCATCAAGCCGCCACATGCATGCATGCACGTCACACGACAGCTGGGGACGGAATGCGGCAAGCCCGAGGTCCCTTCAAAGTGCCCGGCAAGCTTCCTAAAACGTCTAATTGTACTTAATTGTACGCATTCACCTCCTGTCTGTTTTTCTAAGAAAGTGCGGAAGCGCCTGAAAGAACTGGCATCAGAAGAACAAACCCTCGAGGTGACGCACAGCACAGCCAATAACAAACTACAAAGAGAACGCATCATGCTGCAAACGAACAGGAAGAAGAAGCAGAGCTGCTGCACCAATCCGAACAGAAACAGCAGCAACAGCAACAGCAAGAAGAGACTGCTCCCGACGAAACTGAGGTACTGAGTAGAAAACAAAGGATGTTTGTTCGCACGTGCATCAATATGTCTCTGCACCTCTATCGATGTAATCATTCACATATATACATGTGTTTATAACTGGAATTTCTCATCCACGTGAATACCTACATGAGCACCTTCCTCTACCTAATTATTTGTTGGAATATCTATTTATCAAAAATGTGCACATTCCCTACCACCACAGGTTACCCGTGTGCCTGCTCGTGTTTGTGATGCCGCTTTATGGTTGCTTCGGTGTGCACGCATGCATGTTCCTACTATGCATCCCTTTACGTAGACTGCTGCGGGGCATTCTTTCAATCTAGTCAACCATACGTACATAAATATGCATCAGGAATTCCGTCAAGTCCTGCCGCGAGCTCAGCAACGCAGGAGACACCTCCGAAACCAGCGGAAAACCGCAGCACCTCGGCTGGCCGGCGTCCAAAACAGGCAGCAGCAACCTGCTGCGCCCCGAAGCAGCAGCACCAGCAGCAGCAACCGAATCAGAAATGCCGCCCGTAGCAACAGAGGGTGAAAATCCAGGTTCCGTGGGTTCGGTTCAGCTCAGCCTGCCGCCAATCGTGACTACCAACAGCAGCAGGAGCAGGCGTTGCTGCTGCCGCAGCAGCCGCTGTTGCTGGAACTCCGCAGCCTGCCTTTGCGAGCTTGTTGGGCACTGTCTCCAGCGGCATTCTATGGCCACTGGTGGGACTGCTGCGTCTCTTGTCTGTAATAAATGAATGAACGCATGAGCTGAGAAGAATGATACTTACACGTGCATATATATTTACGTACTTATATGATAAATACTAGTGCTTTAAGCTTATACATTTACAAGCCGGCGTCTGCGGGAAACCGAGTAGCCAGGAAGCTGTCGCTGAGGAGTTGCAAACGGCGTTGACGTCCTGCAAAGGGCTGCGCTCAGCACAGGCAACAGCAGCTCTAGAAGTAGTTTTGTTTCTGCTGTCGTTGATCTCCTGTTTTCCTCTTCTGTGTACTGCTGCTAAAGCGTATAACCATACATTTTTCACGTTGGTTTTGCTACGCCTACATTGGTGCAGCATCCAAAGAAACCGCGAGTCGTCAAGTCTGCTCACCTCAAAGAAGGACGAAACATCTGGATGAGTGAATTCAGAAATGTCTTCAGATATAAGCTCCAGTCCTGCCTGCAGATGCAAATTTGTCACAAAGTCGTAGTGTACGCAGATGAGAGATGCCCGTACCTGCACGCATGTGAAAAACTGTTCGAAGGCACGGGTGAGAGGGGCTACCGAGCACTCGCCTCCGGCACATAAGCGTAAGAAGGCCATTCATCGGCTCCTTCGATGGGGCGGTGCACCAAAAGAAGATAATGCGGAGTCTCCTTCAAAGCTTGGGGGTACGGGGTATACACCTGAGGAGAGAAGCAGCCTTGCAGCATACACTTATTTGCTGGTGCGCAACTATGCACGTTCGCGTGTGCGTGTATTTATTCATGTGCACGCACTATGTTTACCCATGAATGTATATACAGAAAATACCAACAAAATCATGACCAAAAACCGCTCAGACAATGAACAAGCCCCACACTAGACAACTAAGAAATTCAAGCCCGAATCCTCACCCGGTTCAGCCAGTCCTCCGGCGCTTTGCAGGAGGTATCCCAGGAGAGCACAACGGCAGTGTACTGCCACCAGCGGTGTCTGAAAAACAAGAAAGAAACAACAGTACACGGGGAACAAAATAAGCAACACCCCTGTGCAACAGTGCCTCTGCTCGCTAAAATGAAATGCATAGATGGGCTCGAAAGATGGGCAAGAAGAAGCCAAGCCTCTGTGCTATGATTGCGTACACACAAATACACACCTTACGAGTTCGCCAATCTTGAACTGCGGCTCCTCCACCGATATCCGCTTACGCACGTCCGAACTTAAACCGAAAAACGGGCTTGCACTGCATGCACACCTCAGCGGATAGAGCCCGCAATTCGACACTCAGTATATGCATCTACATGTACACTTAATGCACGCACATATACATAGATGTAAATGCATACATACATATACATGTATCCTGTATCTATGTATATCTGCAGATGATCTCCCACCCTTCTTTAAGCATTTGTATCCTCTCCCTGGGCACCGCCTCTAGCTGGGCATTGACGGGAGGTTTGGCTTTCCGGTTCTTCCCTTTGTCATGGGTCTAAACAGGAAACAAAACCCAACGCTCAGTTGGCTGTTCGCATCTGTTCAAAATTGTTTGGTGTATATGCCAGACAGAAAGGCCCGTTTCAGATGTACTCCCCCATTGCACTTAATATACTATCTCGCGCATAAACTCGCTAAAGTAGATATGCACAGGCGAAAATACTGCACATGAACAACCATGGATAGGCATAGGGGAAACACACACAAATAGCACCCTGGAAAACGCAGAAGCAGAGTCAGATATACGCATGCACGCAAACATTGCGGCATCCCTTAAGCTTACTTTTGCAGTGCTGTCCTCCGTCTCGTCTAAACCCTTCCAGCTAGCGGGGACGGGGTTATGCGCGAATGGGGCCCCTATGGGGTACCCCAGGACTGCCTGTGGACAGGAAGTACACCAAGAAGAGACAAAACTGATGGGCTTCTTTCCTGTGAGGAATTTACTTGCATTCTACCGCATACAACTAGAGACGAACCCTACCTCAGCATCCAATGGCCGCGGGGGCAGCAGTTTAGGGTGAGGGCACACGAGAGGTGTTTGAATAAGGAGTTCGTAAGTGCAGAAGGAAGTCTGCGGAGACAGCAAAACCTCAGCACACCCTAGTGCCTAGAAAACCTAAAACCTAAGGCCAATGCTAATTGAAATAACGGATATATACACAAATATATACACAATTTTATATATGCATAGAAAGATACTCTGGCGAAACATGTTACGCCCATTCCCCTTGATACCTTGCCATTTCGCTTGTAGGAAGCAGATCATACACATATTTATGTGCGCGCATATATATATATATATATATATTATATTTATATTTATATTTATATTTATATTCGTATTTATACTTTGTATTTACATTTGCATTTATATTTATATTTATATTTATATTTATATTTATATTTATATTTATATTTATATTTATATTTATATGAAGCTGTCAAAGGATCCTGACCTCTTCGATGTGGACAATGCGGTGGCTTGCGAGGACGGGAAAGTCCACTGGACACTCAAACAGGACTCGTGTGCTCCGTTGTACGTCTGTGCCCTCACAGGTGGTTCCCTGAGAACACGCCAGCATCCCTACAAGTGTTCTTCATGCTTAGTTTGCTGCAATTGGCCTATCGAGCTCGTCCGCTGTTCCCTTCTAGCCATTAGCATCGTGTCTTACGTTCGTCAGCTGCAATGCCAAGACCTTATTTGAAGCAGGAATCGAACTCTTAGAAAACTGCTTCGGCCTCTCCACGATTTCCACGGGCAAAAACTTGAAGCGAGGTTGCCCGTTTGCCTTGGGGGGAAGGGTATCTGTGCCCCTCAGAGTTGGGTTTGCCGGGTTGGGCCGCTTAAATATCATCTCCGCCGCGTCTCCAGACGCATGCAACGTACCCAAAAGATGCATGGGACCTGTAATATCCCCTGAAAACAAACCCAGTCAGCAGCAAATGCAAAACAAAACTGGTTTGCGCTGTTCCCCCCACCCTCTCTCGAGCTGCAGATCCCCTACCGTGTCATTTCCACGCGCGTGTGCCTTTCAGTGAGCAAACACCCCACGGAAAGACCCACGCACCGTTTGGCTCCTTGTGGAACTCCACCAAACTGTCAGGGTGGCAGTATTCGTAAGACCACCAGCCGTCTGTCGAGAAGGTTGAGCACCAGCCCTCGAGACTTCTTATCAGCGATTCAGTCAAGGGCTGAAGCAGCAACACTCATGCGTATCGAAGCCCATTAAAAGTATGCTAAGGATATCCTTGGAACGTTCTTTGAAAGTGATAACAGCAAAGGAAGAAAATGCTCCCGCACTACTACAGTTGAGGGCAATCGTTGTCTCACTGGATCCGGCGCATTCTCTCGATAATCACAAAACATGGGCGCCTCCAACCATACGCGATACTTCCCCTCGTTAGGCCCCGAAATGCCCTTAACTCGAGGATGCGTATCGCCACACACAAAGCGAACTTCCGTCCGACGGCCGTCAGTGCCCCCCGTGTACCACTGCAGCAAAAACAGAAAACGCCGCAGACATGAACAAGAATTCGTAGGTCTTAAACCCTGAGTGCTAAGGTATAATGGCCAAATGCTGTAAAAGAAAATTGTATATCATTTGCACGGGCCAGCTCCGCTCCACTTGACGCCGAGCCTGGCAACCACTGCGAAACCTGAAAAGGCGTGGCCATGCATTGTTATTGACCCTGCATGCAGTAAGGATGCGTGAAAGGCGTTAAATGTATTTTCGCGTACTTGCGTCATCGTGCCATCGGCCCAGAGCTGATCCATCGAAGAGGCGTATGTACCCAACTCAAATAAACTCTTCCCGACTGTCTTTCCGGACAGCGCATTGCTCTTGAAAAGTGTTATCTTTCTCCTGGAATACAGAAATCATTCACAGAGTCACCACGTGAAATACATGAATATATCCGTTTAAACTTCACTTATGCGGGCTATGTGTGTGTGTGGGCGTCGGTTTGTGTTTGTGGGTGGGTTTGCGGGTGGGTAGCTTTCTAAATCAGCCAAGCCTTAACAATGTCTTGACGGAGATGAGAATTACTAAGTGCACGATGCACCCGTTGCATACAACAAATCACAACACAAGATATGCAGTTGTAGAAGAAAAGAGAGAAGGTAAGGGCAAAGGCGGCAGCTTTTACCCAATACAGAGTTCATATCGCCAGTCTTTGACGCCGACGTCCGAAAAACGGAAGCATCTGTCCAAGAGCCACCGCAATCGAGCGGCCCTCAAGTAGCTCTGAAGCTCTGGGCTTCCCACGTGGAGTTCTTTCGAGATTCGACTGGGCATAGTGCATTCCTGTTTATCTGCAGAGGAGTCCACCTCAATTAACACCTTTTCCGGGTCGTCATCTGGCGAATCTGTCAGAAATTGCTGCAGTCTATCCAGCATTTGCAATCCTGTGGAGGATCTCCGAGGGAGCAAACAGGCGACGTCGCGATCTGCCAGCGTCACCTGCACGACTTGCTGACGAGCGCATTTCGGGATGTCTATTTCTTCGAACTGGCGCGAGAAATCAATCTGTACAACAGTATTTGGGTTGTCTGCAGGTTGATGGCGCGCTGCTTCTCCGCCTGATAATTCTTCAACTGTTGCTGATGTGAGAGCAAAACGGAGGCACAACAGCACGCTGCACAGCGTTTGTGAGAGGACGCCCATTGTCGTGGGTTGCGAGAAGCACCTTACACAAGGTTGGAGGGCCCTCTTTTCTGTAAAGTGACACTTATATGAGCAGATCGCACGAGAACTAGCCGCGTTTCACGGGCCAGCAGCCGAGGCTACGGCCAGCAGGCTGAACAACATGCCGGTTGCCGGATGGACGAAACTCCAGACGTCCAAAGGAGATCAACAGCCCCAGGAAGTGTTCCTGAGGGTCTTGCCTCTGCTTTAGGTAGTACCATGGGGTTTGTTGGTGGCGAAACACCGTCGGGGCCCCTATGGGTAATTCAACGAAGAGTGGTGTTTCACTAATTTAGGCCGCAGGGCGCGCCTGCGGGTGGTGGACATCAAGGGTTGTAGGATGGATAGTTGTAATATGCTAATAATAATATTATACAGAAGAAGCAGCACCGAACTTCGTACAGGCGGTGGCTTTTCTTATCGTTGCCTGCATGCGGGGGGCCACCGCCTGGCGCGGGGAAACGAGGGAGGCTAATTGTCAAGTTCGAGGTATTATTGAGGTTTTAGATAAGCAAATATTGCATCACTTCCTGAAAAACGGCGATCGATAACGCAGGTTGTTCATTTATTTTATTCTTCAGCATTCCTTACGGATTTCGCCGCTGTAAACCAACTGAGGAAACCGCCAGACCAGCGGCTTCTTCATGGCTCAAGCCATTGCATGCAGAAAGGATATTGGATCTAATTATTTTAAAGCTCTTTCGTAGGAGATGTTTGCGGAGTTTTAAGACAGGCTATAGCTTATTTCGCGCAGACAATATTATTAAGGGAAATCGTAAGTCTGTCCGTTAGCCGAGGGAGCGTCACATTAGGCAGCTGAAACTGTCAACTCTGATGTGTGCGATTCCGTCGGCTGACGACCAGGGTTTCTTTGTTAACGATATAAAATTTTAGCGTGTCATCGAAGTGTAATTACCAGGCCGAAAGGGCAGGACATCTTTACGTCATCTCGCCGCCGGTCGCCGTTCATTTGCTGGCTTAGCAAACCATCGTCTCAATTTCTGGCAGACTGTCCCATTCCGAAGTTTTGCCAGACGTTGTTTCAAGCAAGGAGATTGTCTTTTGTCAGTTGAAAAGAGGCCACCAACAGAAGTGGATGGTCTCATACTCCAGCAGTTACTCATGACAAGTGGGAGCTGCAAACGGGAGTCGCAGACGATCTTATTCCCATTGCGCAGATCTTCAATACCGCCGAAATTGGGCAGTTGAATAGAAAGCAACGACAACTTTGAGAGCGGAAGGAGTATCATCACTCAGAGGCAGGGGGAAAAGCATCAGCAACAGCGGCCGCGGCGGCACGCACTCAGTCCATGGACCTGCTCAACCGAGGATGCCCAACTCCTACAAGGATTCCCCCAGCCGTGGGGTTTCTAGCGGCTCCGATATTCTCACGAGCAGCAGCTATTCGTTGAGTCTTAGTAGCAGTGGAAGCGGCAGCAGCAGGAGCTCTACGTCGTCTGCACCTGCTTCTGTAGATGGGGTCGTGACACCCGGCCCAACAGAGGCTCTGCAGAGAAAGCCATTTGTGCCTCCTAAGATCATCCGCCCAAAAAAGATTCCCTCTGTTAAGAAGGCGCTACCAAAACGCACGCCTTTTCCTAACGATGCTGGTGGTGTTGGTGGTGCTGCTGGTGGTGGGACTTCGGAGCCTAAGGCAGGCCCCGCCCCCTCTAGGAAGGATCAGCTGGCAGCGTTGCAGTCACAGCTGTTGATGTCTCGGGCGGCCATAGGACAGCGGTGGAAAGAAGCGTGGCGTAGCGCCGAGTCTTCAGCTTTTTCCTTCGATTCTGACGAAGATGAAATAGAAGGCTTGGACTCGTCCGACAGTTCTCCAGCTGCCACCCCTGCAACAAGAAAGAGAGGGGGAGCAGAGAGGGAAGCGAAGGATAACATGTCGTCGGTTATTTCCTCCCTCGGCGCCAGCGAGGCGCGGCAAGACCTGCTGCAGCTGCTGCAGCGGGAGATGTCAAGCAGCAGCTCCGACTTGCTGCACGACAGCAGTCAGATCCTCAATCTGACGGCCTCAGATTTCATCGATGACCTAAAGGCCGATTTCGCCCCCCATGAAGGCGGCGAAATCCGTCCGGCTACTCCTGATGAGGAAACAGTAATGTCCCGCCCCCTCAGGAAGCTGAAGCTGCATCTCTTTCAAGAAGGTCACCCCACGAGCTCCTCTTCTTCTGATGGCTCTTCGGACGAGTCGCAGGCCTCAGTTAGAGGGCGGCAGATACCATCCAGAGAAACCTCAGTTCCAGGTGAGCTCGATGAGGATCTGCATGACTCAGAGGACGAAGAAAAGGATGACGAAGAAAAGAAAGCAGAGGGGGAGGAGAAGGACGGAGAGGCGGAAGAAGAGGAGTCAAGCGCCAGCCAGCCTCAGGCGGGAGAGGGAACAGAAGAGGCCTACATGGACAGAGACATGGACACTAATGGATCGGTGAATCGAGAGAGTGAGGACCAGGGGCCTGCTGTAGAGTTGTCGGAATCAGCAGAAGATGAGCCACAAATGGTATGGGAATTTGAGGAGCAAGAAGACAAGCCGCCGCCCTCACCACCAAAAAAGACAATTGTCGTTAGGAGGCCGCTGAAAGCAGAAGATATGGCAGTTGAGGAGCGGCTGGAAGCCGACGCGTGTCAGGAAGACTTCGACCGTCGGGAGGTGAGGTTAGAGCCGGGTTTGCTGCTGTTGTTTGCTACTGTCAGTGGCTGGTGCTACCGTTGCTATTAATGATGGTCCTCATTCCGTTGCTGTTTTTCAGTAGGCTTTGGGTCAACTTCCGGCTGAGCCAAAGCCCCTCCGGCTACCCCAAGCTCCGGCCTTCTCCCATCTGCGTTCATGGATCTCAGTCTGAATGTGTATACATAATTTGTTGTTCACATCCACACGCCTACACCATTACTTGCTCATGTCTTCCATTGCTTATGTGCGTTGATTTCGTGCATTTACGCGTAGGTGCGTTGATGTGCTAATCCACTTAGTTGTTGGATTCTCGTGTGGTGTGGTTGGGAATACTGTGTGTAGATTGCCGATCGCATTATCTACGAATACACCGACGACCCACTGAGTCCCCAAATGGAAAGACTCAAGGCAGAACGCGTACAGCTCGCTGAGTGGGCGCGGCGCTTGCGGGGAGGCAACATGGTGCAGGCAGAGGGCGACAGGCCAGCGGTGAGGGCCGTCTAAGTAGTATGCTTGCTTGTAATCGCAAAAGGCGCGCCAGCGGGAGCACCTCTGTTTTCTGCTGTTTGCAGGTAGCGTGGGTCCGTATGAGCTGTTGCTCAGCTCTGTATTGCACCTGCGGGAGTCTTTTGTAGTGGAGACTGACGCCAGAAAAGCAGCTTGTTGCAAGGGCCTCGCCCATAAGCGTATGCCATTGTGGGTATGTGGGTATGGATGGCTGGGTGTGCAGGGGTACAGACCTCCTTTGGTGAGGCAGCCAGCGTTACGAGGTGTGGGCAGGACCTTCCCAAAAACTCAAGTGGACAGGCCACTGACGAGTGATTTGTCGCCTCGGGGAGAAGGCATTGAGGAGCGGATGCTGCAGCGGGCGGCCTTGCCCAGCACGAAGGTGTGGCAGATGGAGCAACGGACGAAGCGTCTGCAGCAACAGACGGCGCAGCAGCAGCAACAGCTTGAGATCCTGCAGGCAGCACTTCGAAAGAAAATCGAAGCCACCTCGAATCCAGGTGCTGATGCTGTTGAAGGAGGCTCTTCGGTAGCGCGAAGCTCAACCGACACGACAGACGCAACAGAAGGACTGTCCCCTCGCTCTGCTGAACTCAAATTGTATGAACAGCAATGCGTCTACTTGGGGGCGCAGCTAGAAGAAGAACACGAGTTCTGTGAAGCCTACAGGGCCGAGCTGGGGCGCGCGCTCCTAAAGAATATGGCCTTAAAGAAACAGTATGGAGACGCAGTGGACGCCCTCAAACAACGCGAGGCCGCCGAGTAAGGGCTTTCTGCACTCAACCGGAAGCAGCAGAGTGCGAAAGCACTCAGGCAGGCAAAATTCTCCCAAAATGCACGCGTCTGCCTGCTTTACACGAGGCGTCGAACCCTCATTGTGAATATATGGGTTTGGGCGGGTGCTGACTATCGGGCGCAGGCGTAAGGAACGGGCCGAGCACTTGCAAGCAGAGGAGCAGCTGAGGGATCTGCAGGACAGGATAGAGGCAGAGAAGAACAAAATGATGATTGAAAGAAGCTGCCGACAGCAGCGAGACAAGCAAACAACGACGCTGCAAGAGCGCTACACGCAGCTGCTACACTACTTGCAGGAGGCAGAGGAGAAGAGGAGCTCTTTTGAGGATGGCCTCCGTGTTGCCCAAAGCAAGGCACAGAAAGCGGAGGCTCTGCTGCAAACCAAGGAGGCGGAACTTGCCTATGTTCAACGTTGCCTGGAGACACTAGACGTGCAAATGCTAGTGCGTTGCTGGAGAATGTTCCTATTCCGCCTTCTGCTGTTGCTGACAATAGGGCTTGTATTGAGCTGTTTCACTGCAGCGCTTTTTTGCGTGCGCAGATGGGGGAGGAATTGTAGGCAGGGCACTGAGTATGGGTTTAATTAAATAGAGGGAATTGGGGTGGTTGCTCGGACAGATGTGTATTGGTGTTTACTGTGCAAGTTTTCCATCTTTCTTGCTTCTAGAGTGTGTACATTGCATTTCACCTATTGCGATTTTGGGGTAATGTAGGAGAAGGAAGTGCAGAGACGCAAAGAAAGAGACAGAGCGAACGCTGCAGAAAGACAAGTGGAGGAGTTAAGAGCGTCGCTGGCGGCAAAAGAACAAGAGATATCTAAGCTGATGAAAAACTCGGAAAACGGCGTAACTCTTCTGGAGAAGGAACAGAAAGAGCATCTCAAGACCCGCGAGGCTCTTGCAGCAGCACAAGCCACGCTGAAGCAACAGGCCGCCGAATTGCAGGCCCCTCACTTGCAACAGCACAAACTGGATTCCATACGAAAGCTTGCAAAGGACTTTCAGGCTCTTTCTGATGAGGCGGAAGCAGAGGAACGCGAAATGGAGGCCTGGCACACCGAGGTTGAAGAAAGGAGAGCCAAAGCACTTTCAATCCTTGAGGAAGCAGAACGCTCAGCCATTGCTGTCTTCTCTCAGCTAGATAAAGGTGCCGCTGACGCCTCAGCTGTCAGCGAACTATCTCAGCAGGTACGTCACCACCAGCAGAAGCCGCAATTGCAATGCTGCAGCAAATTAGAAGTTCCCTTCTGTGTGTCCGTCTTGAGTGACAGAATTAAAGGAGCTGTCCATCACGGCTCTGAATTGCCACAACCGGCATTTGTGCACGTATCCGCAGATGGAAGCTCTCCGGCAGGCAAGGCAAGAAGAGATGGCGCTGCTAGAACACGAATTTGAACTGGTGGGACGGCAGCGAAAGAAGCTCGAAGCTGACTTGCAGCAGCGGGAGAAGGAGGCGACTGAATTTCGGGAGCAGATCGCCTCCCTCACCCGCAAATTGCAGCGCCAAGCACAAAAGAACAGAAGAATTGCCAAGAGAATAATACGCACAGCGTCTGCCTACGGCAGAAGTAGCAGACGCACTGTGTGCCGGGAACTCCGCACTATGCGCGTTGGCGGGGTAGTTGAAATGCTGAGCCGATCCACCCACCGCAGGCCTGAACCTCGTTACATTAAGGTGAGAGGACATTTGGGATGGGCTATGCTGATTTGGCTGTTAATTCGTATAGGTGTACGTTTTGGTATCCATGTGCTAATACATAGAAACGAACGCGCACAAATATGGTGAACTGGTGAACGAGGCCCTTAACACCAATGATCCGCGGTTTTATCTCCCCTTGCTAAATTTTGGGGGTCACGCTTCATCAGGTGGACAGTTCAACTTTTTTGTGGTTTCAAAGCAGACGTTTCGGAAAGCCGTCATTGGCGGCAGACGTTTCTGGATGTTATTATTGGCGGCCAAATCCAGGAGCATCGATGCAGCCTAGCTGCCTACCCTCAGTTTTGCGTTGCGCAATGTGCACAAAATACCGCCTTCTCGCAGCCGCTGTGCGCGCTGAAGGTATGGAATGTTGATTTCAGGGCATTGAAGAGGGTTTTTTCTTTGAGTGCGTGCGCAGATGTTCAAGCGAGGAGTTGTTATGTGGAGTGAAGACCTAGCAGGCAACAGGGGCTTCAGGAAGGGAGACCAATTCGCCGTCACAGTGCGCCGCTGTCTGTACACAGTAGACACTTTAGTTTATTTCTCATTGGCTATTGTCGCTAGCGAGTTCATGGAGTCAAAAGCTTTGGTTGGGCCATGATTTTCGTTTGGTTTTTTTCCGCAGGACATCGTTGGTATTGACTTTGGGACCTCGAGCTCTGCGTTTTTGTGGAGTCTTCACGGAACGAGAGGAGGAAAAGCTCCATCTACTCAGTTTGCATATCCTTGGCGGTGTTTTACCGTACGGACGCTAAAAGACACTTTTGAATTTCGTGCGAAGTCCGACGAAGCCGCTCAGGAGTAAGGCATGTCTAGGGGGCGTGTTTGGGTCTTTGCACCGCGTGTTGCGTAGGCGCTCACTAGTGCACCTCAGGGGTATTGCTTGTATTGCGTGCTGACACGGAGACAGTGTTGTGCGCTGCATGTGGTTTTAGCTGGGTAGTGGGCCTCGGTAGACTGAGCTCTACTCACGCCCCCCCCATGATATCCGACAAACACGAATTTATTGTCCATCGGGTGCACATGAAGCTTGCCGCCTATGCTGCCCAGCGAGGTGAGCTGTAATGAGGGCTGTTGTTTCCAGTCCTTGGCCGCTCACGTCTTTTAGTCTTTACATTGATTCAACATGTCACCAATAGTCATTCGCAGAAATAACAATGTTCCACTTCTTTTGGTTCTTTCTTTAGGCTTCAGGGCTCGCGGGAGCTTTGTGTCTATCAGTAAGTGTGCATGTTCTTGAAAGCGCATATTTTGCATAGCATGCATATTTGTGCAGGGATTACTCCCGCTGTTATGTGGAGAGAAGCGATCAACAAAACCTGCGCACAACTGCCACACCTTCGCCAGCGAGCGGCAGCGAGCAGGCGCCGTGACTCCTCAGAAGCGGTGGCTTTGCAAGAAAAGAACTCAACAAGCTCTCAAAAGCATTTACCGCACGTACAAAGTGATGCTTCTCCCTCTAGAAGCATTTCACCCCATAAAGAGCATCGTCGTCATGCCCATCAAGACCGCCGCAGAGAGAGTCACAGACGCGGGCCCCGAGAGGCAACCCGAGGCGCTGAACAGACCAGTGGCCAGCACAGAAAGCACAGCCACGCAACAAAGGTCTCTCCTTCCCAGAATGAGATTCCTAGCCCCAGTACGGCTGCTGCCGCAGCTGTTAGCGCCGGTACCAGCAGCCATTCGCCGAGAAAAAAGTCTCGTGAAGCGGCTGCAAATCCTGATGAGATCACCCGAAGGAGAATCTCATCAAGAACTCCAGCCTCTAGAAATCAGCGCGAGGAGGGCGAGAGGCCAGACTCACCTCCACCTGAACCAACGCCGGAGCACAAAGAAGACAAAACTCGTGGACACGCCAAAATGCACCTTCCAGATGCAAAACCATCACGGCACCGTGGGCAACAACGAAGAGAACAGACGGGTGAAGAAGGAAATGCGCCAGCACCGGGTGAATTGAATTCTGTAAAAAAGAAATCGAAAGGCATCTTGTCAAGAGCTGGCACCCTTTTCAAAAAGCAAGCAGCTAAGAAGACAGGAGAGTAGTATTTGCCAGAAGAGGACAGTGTTGTAGACACTTAATGCAGGAAAAAAGGGAGCGGGGTTTTGTTCAAAAGACGGCGGCTTGGCCAACCATAGCCGCTCCTAGTATTCTCTCTTTGTTCGAACTACTGTTTCGAAGAAATTTTCATTCGGAATGGTTGAGCTTATTGAGTTAGGATGACTCCTTAAAGAAAACAAGCATTGTTACTCAAACTTCACTGCATATCACCAGCGAAAGGCATCTGACAGTAGCGGCATGGTTGCCACTGTATTTCTGCCTGGGTTTCACAGCCGGCCCACAGCACAGAGAAGAAACAGCTATCCGGTGCAGCCCATTCAAAAGTCGCTTGTCTACTGTAGCTTCAATCAGATACTTCGCAGGTTGGGCGTATGCAGCATTGCGCATTTGGGCACCGCATTTCTCCTGCTGAGGAAAGAAACCTTGGGCGTACTCACAGGTGTACGGGTTTCTTTCGGTCATGATGACGCATACATTTGCACAGCTTTCGCCTAGGGGAACGTAGGGATTGCAGTGTTTGAGTCGCGAATAGCCAGAGCGGGGTGTTTTGCACACTTTGGGACCCAAGCGCACTGAAGGAGGCGCATCTACAAATGCTTTAACTCACTTGTATCAGTGCGGTATTTGTTCGTCAACCTAGAGCTGTGCTTCTGGCGCCGGCCCCCCTCGCGACCCCGTTGGCGTCTCGGGGCGCCACGGTCTAGCAACGTGTGCACCCAGGCACACGAGACATTGCTTGATGAGCGAAGGGAGGAGAAAAGGGGCGCAGATGTGACATGGATTCTCTGAAGTTGTTACGCGCGTTTGTACTTACAGGCAGTCCGGCTGCTGAGGGTTAAGCAGTCTGTTCTATACCGTTACTGCATGCACCAAGAAAGAGCGTTTGTATGCTTGTTTGTGTTTTTGCCCTACAGCAGGAGTTGCTGTAGTCCGTGCTGCAACTCTTGGCAGGCTTCCGGCACTCCAAGCCAGCAGAACGCCGTTGTGCCGGTGTGCAAGGGGCGGAGACAGGAAAGGGGGAGAGCTGCTTTTTAGGAACTCCTTCGTCATCTACTTTGCCTGTTGCACCTCACGATGGAGCTCGGATACGATTGAAAACCCTCGTTAGACAGTGGCCAAGCAAAAGCTCTGCAGTGGTTGTGGCGGTGCTGGCGCTCAGTGCCGACCATTAGTGGTGGTCGGAAAGAGCAAGGCCATGACACTCATCACGTGGGGTTTGCGGCCATACACCCTAGACCCTACAGAGAGACGAGTTCAAAAGGAGTGCCATCAAAAGGTTGAGCCAGTGCCACAGGGGTCACTGGCGAAGAAGCTGCAACACAAGCTATTGGGCGACTCTCAGCCGCATGTTGGGCGCAAGCCATTACGATACAAACGGGGCGGCATAGAACAGGAGCTACGGGGTTCCAACAATCATTTGATTGGAGATTCGTTAAACAGAACTTCGTGAACTGCTGTGGAGAGCAGGAAAAAGCAACGGAAATGGAGCAGTTCGGCAGGGTATTTAGCATCGATACCTCTCAGTAATGCGGGTCAGTTCACGCCTTCGGACATTGAAAACTGTTCCATAACATCGTAAGAATTTAAAAGAATGTTCAATTCATGAGGAAATTTTGGGCTTGTAAAGTGCATTTCAGGGTATAGGGGGCAATAGTTGATTTCAGCAAGCAAATGTCACAAGACAAACGACCAAGGTGTTAGGGCTGGGTGTTATTCTGGTGGGGGGCATCTGGACAGCCCACCTCAGCAAGAAGTTAAGAATGGCTTATTTTGCGTCTACGTTCATTTGTGGGTCGCACGATGCTATTTAAAAGGAGATATAGCTGTGTTAACAGGTTATCAACGCCTCCTCTGGGACTGCCGAACGGCGTACCACCCTCCATGGATTTTTTCGGCGGAAACCTGGTAGAAGAATGCACATCTGCCCCAGCTTGCTTTTGCTCAATATCTGATTCCAGGTTTATGTCAGTCCCTCAGCTGCTAGGCTCGAAACCACCCACGAATTCCATCGGTTTGAACTCTGAACTCTACCACCTCTAGTATAAAGGCATTGAAATCCGCCCCGCAAAGGGTTTCGGAGTAGTGGCTACTACCCCTGTGTCGTTAATTAAACCTGCTCTGCTTGTCGTTGTCCCCCTGCTCGTTGCCCTGTAAGCTGCAGCCGACGAGTTTGCTGGCCTCGCTATAAGCGGTATGGGGTACGTACGCGAGTCTCAAAGGGGAATGTGAGGCTGCATTGTTGCAATGTGTCAACAGCTGCCTAAGTCTCAGCAACATCATGCAGCCACAGCAGCAGCGGGAAACGCCGCACCCGAGCAAGCGACCCGGTGGCTGTTGGGGAGGATAAAGGATGGCTCCCAGAAGGCATTACTTCTGCAGCAGGCCCCCAACATAGCGCACAGCTTCCCTTGGGCCCCCTCTACACAGCCTCAAAGAACTACGGGTTGTCTAGCGCCAACAGGGTCCTACCCTAAAACTGGCGCCCCTCTCTGGCCCCATTTGCACTCCCAAGCACCAAAGCTGCCTCCTGGGCACCAAGGATTATGCAAAGGGCAGCAGCAAATTCACAGCCAAAACAGCATAGCTAACACGGACAACTCCATATCATCTTTTGCTGTTCCCAAGTCCGCATTTCCATCAGCGCCAAATAACAATCATTTGGGGACAGCGAGCAACCGAGGAACAGCAACGCAAGATCTCAGCAAACACTCACAGCGGCCAACAGGAGGCCCCGCATCACGCGGCCCAACGGGCGCCTCACAAACCGGCCGTTGTCGGCCCAGTGGGATAGCCCACAGCTCAGCTGGCAATGGAGGCGTCTTTATCTCCACATCACAGCCAAAGAGACCTTGGGAGTCTAACTGCCCTGTGATGCAGTCGACGGACACTGGAAAACAGACAAAACTCGTCTTGCGCACAGCCTTGCCCATCCATTGGCAACAGCAGCAAGCACAGCAGCAACAGCAAGCACAGCAGCAACATCAACAACAGAAAGACCACTTACATGAGCAACAAGAGCAACGGCAACGCCCCGAAACGCAGAACCAGCACGAACAACAACAGCGCAGGACCCAGAGGCAGCTACTGAACCAGCACCGCGAACAGCAGCATGATCAGCAGCAGCACCAACCACAGCAAAGACAGGACGATGTGCACCTTAAAAATCCTTTGGTGAGTTGCAAACAGACTGTTGAGCCCCACAAACCAAAGGCCTGCCCTGTTCCTGCAGATGCTCGTGTAAAGTTCGACCACGGTAATTATCCCCTTAGTGCCTGCAGCAGCAGCAGCTGCTGCCCTGGTAGCAGTTCGTACGCCACTGCTGCATCTCGACAGGGCACTGCGGTTAGGCATTCCCCCATTGCTCCTCAGCCCCAGAAGCAGGGTCTTGCGGCTGATAGCATCTATCTCCGGGGCGGCTGGGGGCTTATGCGTCCGACGAGCGGCGGCACACTTCCAATAGATTGTGGGAAGCCCCTGAAGCAGCAGCGATGTGCTTCAGAAGTACCAGGGGGTCCCGCTTCCGGCTGCTGCACTCCTTCCTTCTCCCACTCGGAGGTGCTGCACAAAGCAACAGCAGCTGGAAGGACAGCAACAAAGGAAGAAATGCGATGCACAAGCAACAGTAGCAACAAGGCGCAGCCTCTTCTGCCACAGCACGGAGCGCTGTTTGGGGCCCTATCTCCAGAGCAAACAAAAGTTGTCAACGCGCCGCCACACTCCAGCGTATGCGTCCTGGCAGGTCCTGGAGCAGGTAAGGTTCGGCCCCTGAACATATTGGGGACTGTATGCGCGGCAGTGGCTGCATCCCCTGAGCTGACATGCTGCGACAGGGTAGAGGGGGCGATGCTGTTCGCTCTTGCTCGGAGTGTTTCAGTTTTACTCTTGAGTATACGCCTGTTCGCTCATCATTTCCTCTGTGATGGTTGACACGAGTTCTTTGCCTCTAATTACTGTTCTGCTAACACTAGACGCAAATGGCTGTTCTAAGGCCCTAGCGTCCAGGTTATTAGCATCGCTGCGTTTCGCTGGTGGCAGGCAAAACGAGCACAATAACGGCTCGCATAGTGGGTCTGCTGCTGCAAGGTTGTCGGCCTTTGGCTGCTTTGACCTTCACCAAGAAGAGCGCCACAGAACTCGAACGACGAGTCCGTGGAGGTCTTGAAGGAGTGCTCAAGGACCAGTGCGCATCGGCTTGTTCCTCCAGCTGGAATGCGGGTGTGGGTGGGATCGGTGAGAAGGATCTGTTCGTAGGAACGTTTCATTCCTTTTTCGTGAGGCTCCTCAAGAGCTACGGCGTCTGCGTAGGGGTACCACCCAACTTTCGCGTCCTCAATCAGTTTCAGCAGCTGTCAATCCTCCGTAACCTTATCGACAGCGAAAAACGGGCCGAGGCGATGCGCAATGGGAGCTCTGGGGCTAGGGGAGTAAGTGCATTGTTGCGCAGCAGTCCAGAGGTCCCTGAGGTGTCGAGCGAGGAGGACGACGGCTGCTCCGAAGAGGAGGGAGAGGCCCGGGGGCCGGCTTTCCAAAGCCTTGACAGCGGCGCATTCAACTCTTCCACCACCAAGGAGGCGGAGGAACTCCGCAAGAGGATCCGCAGCATGAAGTTTATTCCCGAGCTGTTGGAGCGCGAGCGCGCTGCTGGCTCGGTGCTCTTTCGCCTGTTCTTTCAGTACGATAAACACCTCAGGGAGCAGCAACCACCCCTCCTTGACTTCACCGATTTAACCGTTAAGGCACTCAAGCTCCTAGAACCGCCGGCAACACGCGCCGAGTTGGGCGCGCAATGGCCCTACCTAGTTGTCGACGAGTTCCAGGACACTAACAGCAACCAGTTCAAGTTCATTTGTCTCCTCGCCTTGCAAAGGCCCCCAAACATACAGACACTGCACACTGCAGTAGGCAACCCTACCCTACCAAACTCTACGCCAGGGCGAGGAGGCGTTACCGTCGTAGGAGATGACGACCAGTCTATTTACAAATGGCGAGGCACGCACACGGGGGTACGACTGGCCTCGCAGCCCCAACCTAGCTAACTAGCTGAGTTTTGGAGCTAGTTGCTTCGATTTCTTCACACGCTTTGCACTTAAGCTTAGCTCCTTTTCTGTTTTTGACTCAGATATTTCACGAATTCAAGCGCAACTTCCCCGACTACCAAGAATTTTTTCTGTCCTGCAACTACCGGTCCGTCCCAGCGGTGGTGCGTCACAGTTTGTCGCTAGTCAATTTCAACTGGCCATTTCGGATTTCCAAGGCGCTGTACTCTTCACATGACTCTCCCGGGGATGGGGACCTTTCTCGCAGCATCTACCTGCAGGGCAATGCAAAGATTGATACAGGAGCGGAGAGGAAGGATTCAGTAGTCACAGATGCAGCGATAAAAGACACAAGGGGTCCAGCCGGGGGCCACGTACACGGAGCATTTCTTCCGTCTCAGAGTTTGGAAGCGCAGTACATCTTAAGGTATATTCTCTGCCTGAAGCAACACCACAGCTTGCGATGGGATGACTTCGCTGTTCTCTGCCGCACCAACAGCGCCTTATTGGACATCCAGAACCTCCTGACGAACCCCCGCATACAACGCGCTGCGTGCTCCTCTGATTCGCCTTTCACCGCCAATGCAGTGCGTGAAAATTCAGAAAACTGTGGGGACAGCATAGGTTTCTGCGATCCCAACAACCCTATTGACCCGGCGATGTTGTTTCCGGCTGTGGACTTGGCGGATCTCGAGCTGCCTGCGGGAGGGCTGCCCTTAAGCAGCACGACTTCAAAACGGAGTGGAGGGGCAGAGGTGTTCTTGCGTCCAGATGTACTAGACCTCCTCTCCTACCTCCGTTTGGCAGTTGACCCTCACCACGACGCTTCCTTTATTCGCGTGCTCAACAGGCCACCAAGGCGGGTGGGGGCAAAGACCCTCTTGGCTCTAAAGCGTGTCCAGAGCGCATCCGCTAGCCATTCAACAAACGAGACAGACAATTCCTGCACCATCATTGAAATGCCTTGGCAAAGCATCCCTTGGGCTTCAGGCGACCAAAGGAAATCCAGGGAAACCCCTCCTCTGCGTGCTTCTCTCTTCGATGCCCTGTGGCGCGTGCTGCGTTGCGCCGGTGTGCAAGGCGAAGTTCAGGAAGTGCAGCCGGAAGGAGCTGCACATGCAGATGTAGTGGCAGCAGCTGAAGCTGCACGGCTGCGCACGAATCAGCTGGAGTCTCTGGCCTCCTTCGGTAAGGCGATCTACAGACTTCGCGCCATGGCAGCCACAGCTGTTTCCGTTAAGGCAGTGCTGGAGGTCTTGCTTGGCCCCCTAGGGATGGGTGAGTTTTTCGCCCATAGAAGACTTATGAAGCGCTCGCGCCGGGGAGGACCTCCAGATAATGAAGGCGCCACTGGCACGGCTGACTCTGCCATTCCGCAGAACATTGGGACGCCTGCAGCTGCGGCAGCGGCAGGCACCAAGCCGCGCCGTAGCAAAAGGAAAGCAACGGCGGCCGATGACGTCGAGGATCCCAAAGGATCAGACACCCAAAAGGAGGAAGCCTCTCTACGGGAACTATCAACGCTATATGGGTCGGAAATGTTTGCAGATGTTCTCGCCTTGCTGCGAGCTGCAGAGGCTTACTCACCCAATTGGCAGCAGGCTACAGCAGCAGACTGCATCCTCAGGCTACTCCGAGATGCAGACGCTGGGAGGTTCTTACAGCAAAAAGTTACAAATGCTGTTACACTCTCCACTATTCACCAAGCCAAAGGCCTAGAGTGGCAAGTAGTCATCGTTGCAAGAGCCAATGAAGGGTGTGCCAGTCCCTGCCCTTCCCTTAGCAGCTCTTTCCGACGTGAAAGAAAGGCTTCGAAGTGCTGATATTCCCTTTTGTCTGTTGCATGCATCTGTGCTCATACAATTGTTCCTTTCGACCTTGTGTACATACGCTGCAGGACACTACCCATGGGGATTGGCGGTAGTCAGCCGCTGGCGGACTTCGTGGGTCGTTTGATTTCGAGTTTCGCCGAAAAACCGCCGATGCCTGAAGCGCTGCGTCAGGCAGAAGCAACGATAGTGAGGCAAGCCTCAGGGAACGAACAGCATTTTCACCTCATGGAGGAGCGGCGGGTTTGTTACGTAGCACTGACCCGAGCTAGACGTTTTCTGCTCCTCACGGCTCCCCTGGCTGATAAGGCGAATCATCCCCTAATCCCCTCCCGTTTCTTCAAAGAGTCGGGTCTCGTGTCGCAGCGGCAGCCGCAGCCACCGTCGCCGGCAGTGCCAACGGGGGCTGACACAAAATCTGACGAAAGCCAGAATGCTTAAGTGCTGTACTGAAAAAGCAGATTGGCCTACGTTCGATCCGGCCAAGTGCGAAAACAGCGTTTTTGAACGCGCTGACGGAATGCACAACACCTCAATTTTCCGTTTGGTGCTGCGTTTGCCAGAAACCAATTGCAAGTTTTTGTGTCTGCATGCAAATGCACGTCGCAGTAGGTACACACGCTTAATGAAACATGGCACCTGAAAAATGGCGACTGGGTCGCCATACGGCGGCACGCAGAGGTAATGCTATGCCTTTTAATAGGCGTAGACAACATCTAGGCGCATCGCGCCCTCCCCCACTACATAACTGCTTTGGTTTGGTTCTGGCAACAGGAATAACACGTCATAAGTTTCGCTCTCTATGGTGGCTTGAGCTTTCGTGCTGCATGAAGAGGCGGTGATCGCTGCAGTTGAACAACGGAACAGACAACTCTTCGTTGACAGCATTGTGCACACGGCAGGCCCACAAAACCAAAGCTTCCTGGGAAGTTGGCTTCGGTGGGTCGCATCTAATGATTGGCACGAAGGCCTCTCGGCACACATGACACGGGTAAAGACGCGAAAAACACCACAACCAGTTCAGCGCCGCTCGCCGCTCTTCCGCACTCTGCACAAGTCAACACACAAAACCAGAAAACATGGGATGCCATGGATGCAAGTAATTTATATCCACTCCATGGAACTGAGCAATTCGGGGGGGGCGCAGTTCACGGCCGCAGGCAATCCATGCCTGCAGTGAAGGCTGAGGTTACGATGGCAGACACACTCACAGGTTCATGCGGGAATTGGGCTACAGCTGTATGCAGCAACTTCCACGAGGCTCTTCCCAGTTGCTCTCTGCTTGGCGGCAGCACTCGACCGTCGGCATATCTGCCTCGAGCAGGAGCGTTCTGAGTGGGCGTAGAGGCACATGGGCAACTGGCTTGCTCCTCTCTAACCATTTCAGCGGCAAGAACCACGTGCACATACTCCTTGAAGGCGGAAGGATGTGGGAAACGGTTGCTCAGAAGGGCAGCCTCGCCTATGCACCTCGGCTGGAAATTTTGCCGCCTGCCTAGAAACTTGTTAAAGGAATACCATGGTGCGGGTCTTAGAGTGAATATAGAGCATTTTGTCTAAATAAACGGGTTGGATAGGAAGTACACACTTCAACGGGGGGCCCGCCTGCGGCTCCCCAAACTTTCACGGGTCTCGATCGCCAATTGCTTAAGCCACCTGGTGCGCTCCCACCATTGCGTGTTGCATACTTTTACATATTTCACTTGCTGCTGTGAGATCAACAAGATTTTCTCCCTGTTAAGAGGCTGCCATTCATAGCGTTCTGGGTTGCATGCACATCCGGTTGGACCCGCTGCGGTGGGGTTGTTGAGTACAATCTTTGCGTCCCTGTTAGAGAATTGAAATCGAGTACCCGGACAGTTTGAGGTAGTGTAGATACGCCGAATGGGAAGTTGGATCCATGTGTAGTCTTAAGGTCGTAACGCGGGCCAGAACGAACAATGTCGCATCTGGGGACTCTTGGAAACACCGTAACTGGCATTAATTTCAAGGCCTTACGGCACCTCCGTTGGCCAACACATCTGACGAAAGCAGGATTTACTTCCAGCAGATCACTGTGCCTCTCCAACCCCCTTCTCCCGTCAAAGCTGAATTTTATTGAAGTCTCGGATTTGAGGACAAGCACGCATGCTGCTCGCGTTGGGGCTGGTTTTTCCCTGGCTTCAGAACTCCCCAAAGCCTGCTTTTTCCGCTCGTTAACTCATATACAGAAGGCATGTCCTGGGTCCTTTCAAAGATGCATCGCCACTACCTCTGGCTCGTCGCCCGCTACTTCGGCAGAGGGGCTCGTAGAAAGGCCTGTCCGTCGCGGTGGCTCGCTGGCTGACCGTCCAAATCTTGTCGCCGCTGAACCTCCTAGTCTCCGCCTAGTGGAAATTGATATGGAGGACGTGGAAAAAGAAAGAAGGAAAGCCATCAACAGAAATAACTTCTACGGGGTAAGAACGCACAGCTGAGATCCGCATCCAAACACATGTTCCCTTTCCTGCCATCTTTTTCAGAAACACACACAGCCCATTCCCGATACATGCACGCTCGCATGATTGCGTGCTCCTTTGCGTGCATGCGTGGAACGCAAGTGTGTTGCAAGCATTTCCTACTTATGCACACAGCATGTTGTTGTAGTTCACTTGCTTGGTGTTTCAGAAGGTCTTGCTTGGCATTCTTCTGGCTGGTGGGGGGCTAATGTACCTTGCCTACGCAGCAGCTGACGTGAGCTCGGGTCTCATGCGCCACATGGACGGTCTGCTGGAGCTCCTTTATGAAGTGCTTCCTGAGAACTTTCCAGACCCCGAGTTGGCGCACCACATCGTCATGTGGTTGGCCGCCAGGGGATACCTCCCCTATGATCTCGAAAGGTGATATTGGCGACGCCTCCCATGATTCCCAGCTCATGCATGCACACGCATGTAATACACAGGTGCACTGATGCATGCGCACGCAAAAGCGTATGCATGCATCAGTGCATGGCACGTGTTCGTGGCGTCTGTAGTTACAATGTGCCGCAGAAGCACATGCATCACCTGTCGTATGCCTTGTAGGGGCTCTGTGCATGTCCCAAGTAGCTATTTTTGATCTTTCCAAGGATACCTGAAGCCGCTACATGAGCATGTTTCTGCCGTTAAAGATCATTATACGCTTGTCTTTTACCGTCTGCTGTATTGAAGAGCAGTTGGGAAGATACTGAAAAGCGTGAACGCAGCGGTGTTGTTCTAGAGAGCACCAGCCCGCAGAGGTCATTCACTGGGAGCTACAATCTGAAGTGGTGCGCTGCAGGGATGATCCCGAGCTCAGCGTCAATATAAAAGGCTTGACCTTCCACACGCCGGTTGGTCTGGCGGCGGGTTTTGATAAGGACGCCGAGGCCCCCTTAAACTTTTGCAAGTGCGCCTGTTGACGCCGCTGTTAGGCGGGCGGTCTTGAATTACACTGGCAACCTCTTGCTGAGTAACAGAACACGCATGCTTTCGAAAAAGCTTGGGGATATGGCTTGTATGCATTTACGCATGCACCATCTTATGTATTTTGTTCACAGAATGGGATTTGGTTTTGTAGAAGTTGGGACTGTCACCCCTAAACCCCAGCCCGGTAACCCGAAGCCTCGCATATTCCGTGCAGCGAAGGACCGAGCAATAATCAATCGATGCGGCTTTAACAGGTGAGGCTAATGAACCAAAAGCACACTGGTCGCCTCGTGGCTGGCCCTGTTGGTGATTGTCGGCGAAGGGATAAACTGAATGTCGATGGAGGTGACGATTGGGTGCCTTCTTGCTCAAAGTGAACCCTCAGCCGAAATGCATGCGTAGTATGTTCGTGCCCCTGGCTTCACAGCGCTGGACTAGACGTCGTGGAGCCCCGCCTGAAGCAGGCTTCAGCAGACCGATGGCACGATCGTCTGGCGCGGCGTTGCGTCATAGGCGTCAATATAGGTACGTCTGGGTTGGGCGCGCTTGGGATGGGGTGAGACGCTCCTCCCCAAAGACTGGCAGCCAGTCCATAGGGAGGGGAATCTGAATGCCGCTTCCTCAGGTAAAAACAAGGACACGGAAAATGCAGAAGAAGACATCCGTGAGGGGATCAAACGCCTCGGTCGCTTTGCTGATTATTTAGTCATTAATCTGAGCTCCCCCAACACACAGGGACTCCGGGCTCTGCAGCAGCGAGACCACCTCCGCAGAATCATTACCACAGCACAAAGTGAGCTAGACAAGTTGGAAAAGCAGGAGGCGCATCAGGCTAATATTGCCCAGCCCGAAGACGCAAAACCGGACGCAACTGAGACGTCACGAGACATCACGCACAAGGCGCACGATTTCTTCCCAACACAAACAGGAAAGCGCCCGCTCCTGTTTGTCAAAATCGCGGTTAGGCAGCTCTACGGAATCACCACTACGATGGCCAAGCACAACCCCCACCTCGACTGAGAGGTTTCATTTTTTCTTGTTGCTTGTGGTGCTAATAGTGTCAAAGCCTTCTTCAGAGCACGTCGGACACTTTTGATGTTCAAGCCTCCAGTCACTGCTTTTTGAAAGTGTGCAGGAGCTCTTTCTTGTTTTTCTCTTTGCATCTGCGTTCACAGCCAGATCTGACGGAACAGGAGAAACGAGACATTGCGGAAGTCGTAAGTCCAGCCGTAAATCCATTCGAGTGCTTGCCTTTGCTACGGGCAAGTTTTCACAGCTTCCCTTCTGACTGGATGCTGCCACTCCCGCCGTGGTTGTGGCTAACGAGAGCATACGAACATTGCTCATCTTTTCTACCTTATCTTTGCAGGCGCTGGACACGGGCCTAGACGGGCTCGTTGTTACAAACACCACAGTAAGCATTAGTTGTGTAACGCTGAAGCGCAAGCCAGTAAACTTCGTTGACGACTTACGTGACAGTGTCAGTGACGTGGTGCTTATCCGAGCGCCTTGTTTTTTGGGCACAAGTACTGACCAAGAGGCTGTGCTCGGTACATGCTTCACGACCCCAGGTTTACCTGGTTATACCTCCGGCTGTAATCAACGACGTGTTTGACTTCCTGCAGATCCAGCGCCCAGACTCCCTTCAGAACAAATGCAAAAAGGAGACGGGGGGCCTCAGCGGCAGGCCACTGAAGGCAATGGCAACCCAGTGCGTGTCGGATATGTACAAGTTGACCAACGGTCAAGTCGCAATTATCTCGGTGAGAGGAGTGTAGGGATGGCTTGCATCATTTGCAAACTTTGGGGCGGGAATTCGGCAGCGTTTTGCAGTTCTTTTCCATTTGCGTGCCCGATGCTGTTTGCGATAACCAGTCCAGCAGCTGCTGTAGTCACTGTTTGCTACTTCACTTGCCGTACATTACGCATTCCGTTGAATCCCACCATTAGTTCAGTTGCAGCTGCTTTGCAACACAGAGCGGGGGCATCGAGACCGGGTTGGATGCGTACCAGAGGATCAGAGCAGGAGCGAGCGCCGTTGAGGTGTACTCATCCTTGGTAAGACCCAAGCGCTGCTGCATTGCATTGCTTGATCATTTCAGCCTTCCTTGTGGTGAGCATAGACTGGTTTATGCAGACGTTATTTGTAGAGTGCCTTTGACCCACTCCCAAATGGAGGCCGCAGATTAGGAGCTGTTGCGTCTGCATAGGTATATAGGGGACCCGTGGTGGCTCGAAGAATTAAGGATGAGCTTTTGAGCATTTTGAACCAAGCAGGCAAGCCGCGATTCCCTCAGCAGTTTGCTTGCCACTTCCCTTAGCAATGCTTTACAACGGTGTACTTCAGGAGAATAAAGTTCGTCAATATGTTGCGGAGGATGCGTCAGCAAAGTGCACCTTATTTGGGCTTTTTCTGATTCCTGTCGGGGGCGCTTCCAGGTATCTACAACGTGCAAGATGCTGTGGGGCTGGATCACCAGCCGCCGAAAAGGCGCCGAGTTCAAAGGCCAACCTTTGAGTAAATATGAGGTTTCTTGCCTATGTAGTTCTGAAATGCACTTGACATAACGGAGTCTTGTCTTGCTTGTCATCGTTGGAGGTACGTCAATTGTCCCTCGTGGAAACGCAGGGCAGCGCTCACGGGGGCGCCCGAACAAAAGAAGAAACCCAAGAGATGATCTTGTTATCCTGAGACCCGCACCGAGGAACACCACTGCCTTGCTCCTTTTACGGCTGAAGGAGATGAATCTGTTGCGGAGTTAGCAATTAATCGGTGAAAAGGGCTTGAAATCGTAATGTTGTTACCAGAGCACTGAAAGGAAACGCCTGTTTCTTTTGCTTTCGATAGTTTCTTCTCGGATTGTTTTTGACGAAACTGCACCACTCCTATACTCAAGTTATAGCGTCTTTTATGGGCGCACTCCACAGAAATGGCGCACGGGGGGCGTTGCACTATAGAACACCCTTTAAAAGTGTTGATTCCATACCCCATGCAAGATGAGCGCTCTGGACTAGCACTAGCGAACCAGAATACAATGGGAACATAACGTGTCCACAGTGGAGTGGACCTAGAAAACTAAGATACTTCCTCGCATCGAAGTGCCGGACAGCCATACGCATGTTCAGTGGGGGGTTGGAGCCTTAACTCCTAGGCTGCTTGCTTGCAAGAAAATGCATGGTTACGCTTAGGTGTTCACCACGAGTAGGAAATTTGGAACTAGGATGCTTGCTTAGAGCTACATGCATGACTACTTTACAGCTTTCAGACGAGAGTGGGCCTTGTGGACTGGGTTGCTTGCTCGCAGCCTAATGTATGACATTGCAGATGTGTTAACAGGAACGTGTTATTTGATATCTAGATGTTTTCTTGCAACTAAATGTAAAACTCCAAAGAGCGGACTGTCGCACTGCACGGCGGCCCGTTCGACGGCTCGTCGCCAAGCCTTTCATGCGCAAAAAAACGCCATGGAACGGGCGTTGTTAGTCATTTCTCTAAATAAGCAGCAAATTATCGTATTCATGTTGATCTCTTTTCTGCCTATCATATTGGAGTTCCCCGCACATCCTGTCCAGCTTCGTGCGCACTTCCACCGGTTGGCGCTCACCGGAAACGGCAACGCCCACGGCGCTGAAGTAGAAGCCTCAGGGGAAGCCAATGGGTAGTATTTCCATCTGATTACACAGTTTTATGAAGTAGAGCAATATTTTTGCTGATGTGTGGAGATCATCACGGGTGGTTGCAGCCGCCGTCGATGCATGTGTCCAGATGGAGACTTGAGAGGGCGTGGGTAGTTTTGTTAACGTGGGGAGTTCGTGAGCCTCCACACAAACGCGAGATAAATTCTTCTTTTGCAATTATCCTGCATACAGAAACGTGGTACAAAGGCACACTTCTGATGTATGCGGCAGGACTGCGGAATGCAGAAGGGCGAAGATTCCCCCCACACCACCGAAGCCCACGCTGGAACTGTCCCACAGCCTCGCGCCGCGCCGGTCAGTCCATCACTACCTATCTTCGTGGTTGTAGGATTTTCGAGGCAATTTTTTGCCTATGTTTTTTGCCTATTTTTCAATCACCTTGGCTCATTTTTGAGTTGTCCTGCAGGTGTCCGCTTCTGTTAAGGCTGACAGGGCGCGACCTTCGATTCAAAGCTTGCTCGATGCAAAGGAGAACGCCCCGTTCTTTGAGCGGAAGCCGGCCGGTGGCCGTTCTTTAGGTGTGCAACACAACACCTGTTCCGACTGAGAAGACAATGTTAGTGGCAACTGGCAGTATCTTTGCTGACGTGGGCAGATGATCTTCAGTGGCGTTCTGCATCGCAGAGGCTTCATTGGGCTCCCTAGGTATCCCCAAAATCTCTAGATTTCATCACCGCATCCAAGCAGAAGTCATTCGTTCTCGTATGGCACCAGGATCTGCAGGCGTTGCAGAGGGTTCCGACCATACCCAGGCTAGAAAGGCAATCCGTCAGCTGTGCGACGGACGGCCTCAGGGAAGAAGCGGGAAAGCCCCATGGCTCCGTTGAGGAGCCCTGGGTTTCTGAATAGCCCATACACCTTGTTTCACTGCATTGCGTTTTTGTATTTGCCCCGTGGGGAGGGGAGAGGCGACAGATGGTTCCTGCTGGGCAGACGGGGGCAGACGAGAATGCCTCGATAGTAAGGCAGTGAAAAGTTTTAGCCAAGCCCTCAACCCAAAGTCCTATAGGAAGCATAGGACTGAAGATGGCGAGAGGTGGGAATTGTGAAGGCGGGGAACCGTTCATGAAGCCGGAAGATTTGCACATGTGGCTCATTTCGTTTGCGCTTCTCATGGTTCTGACTTCGAGCCTTTCTTTCGCCTCCACTCAGTTCCGCCCAGCAACTGACCCTCTATGGATTGATTTTGGTGAGGGCCAATAATTCATAAACGTAGTGCCAAGTATAGGACAGTGCTTCCTCTAATGTTTTTGTTTGCTGTGTTTTTTTGCTGTCAGCATGCCAGCCTTCGGTAATCCATCATTTGTGTGTATGGGGAGGGTCCCCTGTGAGTTTTCTGCTTCGCAGCAATTCTCGTGAATTGGGGCGTTACCTTCGCGGCGTGCGTCATAATGTGGTCTTTGGCACGCCTGATTAACAGCGAGAAGACGGAGTGGAAACTGCTCTACCTGTCTTTGTTTTCCGTTATAGTGCCTCGGTCCTGCTTCCCATTTCGCTTTGGCGAAGTTGTGCTACATCAGATGTGTCTCATGGGATTCAACTTCTTCACCGACCACGTATCGTGGAAAACAAATGCCTTCTGCGGTACGTGACCTTTAGCAGAATTCAGTGCGCGCAGAGGCTACTGCTGCTGCTCGTATCGTGGACGCGCATGTACTGCGCAGAACTGCAGAGTGCGTAGCTGTTCAGAGATTTTTAGACTTTTATTTATGCGTTATGTAACACTGGCTGTATTACCGCAAGAGTCCAAAAAGAACAGGGGCTATACTCTTTTTGTTGCAGTCTTACAGTGCGCATTCATTGGCTTTTTGTATGTTTTCTGTTCTTGTGCGAAGGACTCTCGTTAATAATAATGACAATTTCGGACTTTACGTGGAAAGTACTACCTCCTTTCGTTGCACTGATGAAGTTTTACGCATATGTTGTAACGGTTATTGTAGGAAACTTGGGCTATCGCATAGTGCAGATATTCTACAGGCAATTGCGGGAGGCGAAGCGGCCAGCTCGGCCTATTTATGCATGTATTGGCTCGAATACTGCCTTCCGAGACAAATGGATTAAGTCTGCTGACCCCCGAAAGGCTGCAGTGAACGAAGCAATGCACTCTTCTCTTCTTCCCTGCATCTATGAGCACCAAAGTACAGCTCGTGCCGGGGACCTCCTGCGCCAGCCAGATCCCTTCTCCATTAGGCGAAGACGCATGCGGCTTTCTAGAAACTACCTGGGAGCCACCTCCTCGATGCGGGGCTTTTCACGGAAGAAAACCATGACGTCTAATGGGGTAGCAACGCGGCGCTACTGGACCAAACTGGATAACTGCTCCGCCCTGTACTTCCAGGCTGTGCATCGCCGCCTTATTTTGTGCAAAGATGACATGTTGCGATATGTCGTTGAAATCGGTAAAAGCTCCTCTGCCCTGCACTAGCATACCCACATCTGTAAACCCAAATTTGTCAACCCTACGTTCTGATTTCAAACACCACGCGGCTGGGCATTTGTGTTCTGGGTTCGTTGTGTTGATTGCTGCGACCTTCTTGATCCAGAAGATTCGGGCGTATGGAGTAAGGAGAAGGAACTTCAGCTGTTTGTGGTGCCGAACTGCCACTACGGCTACGTGGATTCCAAGTGGTATCTGGAGATGAGTTTTCCGGGTGCATATGGAGGCTTGTTTTGCTGCCCTCTTGGGAATGCGGTGGAAGGCAGGCAAGTGCTGCCTGCTGAAAGTACACAATCTGAACACGAAGTTCTGGACGGGGCTGCTGCTGCAAGCATGCGCTCACCCGCAGCTTGTGCAGCGCTGATGGGCGTTGACACTGTAAAGCCCGTTAAAAGGTATTCATCTCTCTTTCGCACCGCAGTATCTTTTGGATGCAGTCCCAGAGACCTCTGTAAATCAGAGAGAAACACGTCGCCTCCCACTCTCGCCATCTGCAACGACGGCAAGCCCCCACTCTGCACCGAGCAGAATGCAAGCTTGCAGCAACACGGTGGCCTGCAGCTTGTCGAGCGCGCCACCGCCGAGTCAAGGGCATACGATGCTCCATCGCAGCGTTTTTGTTCTCCGCATCTTCCTCACAAAGATGATCCGATCTCAGCCGGAAAAAATGCGCATGAAGTTTCCCCCGCAGAGTCCCCGCACTCTTTTCCCGAGGGGGTGAGCTGAACTTGTTGTGTTCAGGCGGTCATAGTTGGCACCCGTTCAAGGGTCGTCTTTACCTTTAGCCATAAGCGAGGTTTGATGTTTGATTTGTGCACAGAGAGGCTCATGTCAACGGCGCCCTCAAGCGAAAAATGGGAGGCTGCCCTTCAGGCCTAGGCGCCTCGGTTGGAAGTTTGGATCAGCCAAGCCCGCAATGTGTTCAAATTGGTAGGTTATATTTGCCTTGGGGACGAAGGTGGGCAGACTTGAATGGGGTGTTACACCTTGTGTGTCCTGCTGTTCCGTGCTGTGATGCAGTCCTCATCTGCAGGAACAAACTCGGTGGTGTGGCTGTCTGCGGCATCCTTGGGTTGGGGAAGGGCACCGCAATGGGGAGGGCGGCGAGCCGCACGCCAGCAGTGGGAGTCGGGAGGAGGTATGAATAGGAGGGGCGGAGGGAGGTTGCAACAAAGTGAAGCATTAGTCTGGCATGTGAACATGTGGGAAGAGGCGAAGCTGCAGGTACATCTTGCACTGTTCAGCTTGTGAGTTGATGCTGTTATTGTTGCTGCTCCTGCAGGTTGTTTTGCCTAAGGTGAAGTCGGGAGTTTTCGAGGACAGTGCAATCGAGCGGTGGTACCTCCTGTGGAGGGCAGAGTATATCATTAAGTTTTACAAGGAAATCTGTCACATCAATCTGCTCATCTGTGCCCTGCAGTGCTTGTTTGAAATGACACGGCGGATGGTCGTTGAGTGTCTAAACCAAGCGGTAAGCGAGGAATGAAGACGATTTTGATTGTTGAGTACACCATTGCCGCGCAAGTTCTGCAGGACGTTTCCTGAAACTGCTCCATAGAGTACTACTCGCAGTAGTTACTGTTTCCGAGGATTGCTTTCAGACGGACAGTCGTTGTACCGGTTTCATGGCTTCTTGTGGCGTCAGTTACAAAGCTGACGGAACTTGTGTGTGTTTCTCCGGCCATTTTTCGTAGATTGAGCGCTACAAAGACACAAACAATGCCGAGTTGGAGTTTCTCGGTGTCCGCGTGGAGCTGCCTTCATGGACAAGGACTTTGGCTGCCTTGTGGCGCCCTTTGCTGCAATTTGCAATTCTTTCGGCACTCATTTTGCCCATGAAGTTTATGGAGAGCCGCGGGGGGAAAAATGCGTGGAAGTTTCAGCTCTTGGCCCTCGGACAGGCTGTGACATAGTACGCATTGCTCATTTCTTCTGCCTTGTATTTTGTGCTGGGCCCCTATGCTGCGCGTGTGGCTGCTTGTATGCGTGCCTGCTGCAGCACGGCATTCGCATTCTGTGAACTGCTAGGGAGATGTTACATTATGGCGACGGAACCTCTGTTCACAACGGCGACGAAGATCCCGAAAGGGGTGGAGCTTACGTTTGTAGTTGGGGGTAAGTTAATCCAGCTGGGGAAGAAAGGTGCAATTTTTTCTGTGCAGTTAACCTCAGCGCACGAAGTGTTTGTGGGAAGCTTTGGCTTCGCCTGTTGTTGTATGCATGCATGCGCGCAGGCCATTTGATCCTCCCACTGTTCAGCATCGCCGTCACCGTGCACCTGCGACGGATTTCGGAGGCTACTATTCTTATTATCTCCGTCGGGTCGGCTTTAGTCACAATCGTAATTCTCTCCGTTGTTGGCTGGGAATTTAAGATCGCGGCATTCTTTATGCTCAGTCGTACCCTCTACGCTCTGTTTTTCATCATGCTAGTCAGGTGAGCTCCGGACTCTGCTTTTCCCCGTTCATTCTTGAAGCCTACCGAAAACAGTTTAACATCGGGCATGCATCTGCCTCTGCATGTTTCCGCGCATCGCTGAATGCATCTGCCACGGTCTCCTTGAATTTATAAGATTATTTGCTCGCTTCCGTTCAAATGCACGTTCTGTCGTTATGCAGGGCCTTTGAAAACGTAAGGCGGCAGCTATTCGCAACTCAGGTGCTGCCTTTCCTGATGTATTTATCCACACTGGCGAATAGCCAGCGCGTGGAGAGCTTGTGCGCTATCCGAAAAGAGAGAGACCACTGTGGCAACCAGCACGCGGAGAGCTATCTGCCTTAGCGGAGAAATACGGCCGCCCAAGCTCAGCATATATGATACCTACAGCCCGTCGATTGCCTGGATCGAAGAAAAGTAAACAGGGGCCTTTCGCAAGTCCGATCAAAAGCTACGTTTTTTGGCGCGGAGGGATCGAGTGGAATGTAAAGTGGCAGGCAAAAGTGGCACGGAAGCAAAGCCGCTGCTCGTGTAAGCAAGGGCTCAAGTTTTCTTGACCTTCGAGAGCTATTTTGGGATGAGATTAACGAACCTTGCAGCGCTCAAAGTGGCGTTCATGCGTCGGAGCGCAGTCAATCCGGTGGAAGTGCACTTCTTGGGGCCTCAATAAACATCGATTCAACTGAAAGGGAACGCTAACCGTCGTAATTTGTTCGCCTTCCTCGACACACCGCATGTTCCTTTGGTCAGAGTCATGAGTCGGCAAATGGTCATGATTTCTGCGCTTTGCGCTGGTTATCTAGAACACGTCGTCACGTGTTTTGCGATACCACCCTCCCAATAGTTGAGTTCTTCCTCCTTTTAATGCCTTCATCTTTTCTTCCATCTCCTCCTTGTTGGCGTTTTGTGAAGGCTGCCAGCTCTCGGCAAGGTGCCCATCTGCGTCGGTTGTGGCTTACCTTCACTTTCATTGGTTCGGTTGGCTTTCTTTTCTTCCACGCGTTGTTTCTGTTGTCAGCGGCGTCTTGCGGGTTCCTACGTTGCTTGCTCCCCATCCCTAGCGTTTCACATGCGCCTGTGCCACCTTGTGCGGCTGTATCAATGTAGGCTGCTGTGTTGCCGCTTCCCTCTTGGAGTGGGACCTAAAGTAGGGCTTTTGTTTGGGACTTCGCGTGACAGGTAGCTTTCTATGAGATTAGGCATAGAAAAGCACTTTGGAAGACGTTTGTGTTTGAATCTGTGGAGAGTCTTTATGAGAAGAGTAATTCCCCCTTGGTGGTGTTATGTATTTTCGTGGACTCGCAGCGGCCCTGCGCTGCAGCCTGCTGGCGAATTTGTGGCAGTAGCGTAAGGGGCCACTTATCTGTATCTTGCCGCGCCACAGCGTGCATAATATCTGCAGAGATTTGTGCATAACACCAAGCAGTGAATACTTGTTTTAGCCAGGTGGAGGCTGACTTACCTGCGCATGGTCGCACGAGGCCTCAGAAACTAGACGCAAAGAACAGCACCCAAGCAGTACGGCTCGCATCGCTGCGTAGCGCCGGCGTGAAGCTGCGTCAAGCTTCACGGGCGCTAGGTGAATAATATGTTTGTGTTTGTGTGGCCCATAACATACCGTACATTCTCTACCATTGCTTTTTCCTTTGTGAGAGCATTTTGGATAGCGTGACCAAGTTGCACAGAGGACGTCTTAGGGGTCTTAACAGTGAGCAGCGTAGTGAAGGCCTGCTAGCTGGGGTCAGCTCATGATGATTTATATTGCCTGCATGCCAGGATATTTCACCTGTAGCTTAGGATATCAGCAGTCTAGCGTCAATGCAGTAGCGCAGGTGGATAAAAATGGCGGCTCACAGTACTGAAATAGAGGGGCAAAGGACTGGCAGGGCAAAACTTAAGTTCTACAGAAATCTCCACGAAGCAAGACTAAGTATCTCAGCGCATACAGATATCCATAGCTTACAATGTGTACCGAGACGCAAATACATGGAAGGCAGCACGTTATAAGACACACGCACCAGTGACACAGGTAGAAAATTGCTCTCAGCTTCCAGGTGGAGGGAATACAATAAAATTCGCTTCTTGTTAAGCTTTATGACAGTCCTAAATCCTTTCGTTGCCCCCCCCTCCATTAGGACTATATATACTATACCATATCCCGACTCACAGGCTCCCTGCTACTAGCTGATCGTTCAAGCAGGCAGTGGCCTGTGTTCTAACGTTGTGATGGCAGGAGGTACCAACAGCGAACATATTAAAAATAGCGATTCTTGTTCATCTCCTCACGCTGTACACGGCAGAAGGTCGCGCAATGCACGACGACTCACTCACCTCGTATGGGCGCGCTTTTTTCCGTTGAATAGCGGCAGCAATCATCTGAGGGTTGGGTTATGTAGTCTGAAACAGTTTTTATGCTGCGTTGACCCTGAAGGAACTAGCAGTGGAACTTCTACCACCGTGAAGACGAGGTACTGCCTACGCTCCTACGTGAACTCCGAAGCTGCAATGATATTGTTGATTGTGAACCCTCAGCAACGCAGCAGCATCAGTTAATGATGATGCACTTGACGTTTTGGATTTTTGAAGAGTAACCAGGTAACCTTTTCATTGTGCTTGAGGGTTTTCAGCCTCTGGGGGAACGCCCTCCACCTGGGTTCCGCAGCCACAGGGGGAAGAAGGACAGCTCAACTTGGTTTTCCATGAGCCCTCTAAGAAGAATTGTATCAATTTCGATGGTTTAGAAACTTAATAATTAATGGATATATTAGAAGAAAGACTAGCGGGTGCATTAGACAGATGACTACTTGCGCTATTCGCATTTCCCCCGAGGCTCCAGCGCAACTAAAATGGCAAGCCGCTTCAACCCCCAAAAACAGTGTTAGTGATTTCCCTCGGCTCCACCTTCTTTACTGCTCCTTTAAATCTTGCGTATATTTGCTTAATCCAAGTCTATCTTGAAGCTCTTTGCCCCTGTGCTATATGATTGGCACAACCCGTTTGTCTTGCTCGGCGCGCGCTAGAATACCTCGGCCCTCAGGATTAAAGGAATCACAGGTTTTTTGAGGCTGTAAGGGTCTTCCCTCGTTCTAAAAGGGGACGCAGTCTTTTTGATTGTAAAAACACCCGCTAACAACGTGTTAGTCCCCCCTGCCTGAGTCTGCCTACCGAGAGTCCAGTGGTCTGCAGAGGCACCCAATAAGAGTACTTGAAACTGCACACTGCTTCGAAGTAAAGTACACGTTGCCCACAGAGTCCGAAAATGCCAAAAACGGTTGGGAGCATACTGTGGGAAGAAGAGCAAGCGATCACCTGTCGCCCAGCTGCCTACAGGAAGCCCTGGGGAGATGCCTGATGGGTGGTTGTAGGGGTTGAGGGGCTCTGAGGGGACTTGCAATTAGTGTGCATCCCTTCCCCATTTTTGTATTCCGGAGGTTGAACGGAGAGAGAGAAAGACAGACAGTCGGTAGAGCTACAATTGAAGGGCGGCGACGGGCTCAGAACGAACTTTAGCATCCGCTTCGAACACTGTAGATTCGGCACACCGAACAGCCAAAAATGACTAGGAAGAGAAATTGCAAGGGCGGTACTCCGTTCATGAAGCCGGAGGACCTGCACATGTGGCTCATATCTCTTGTACTCCTTATGGTACTGACTTCCAGTTTCTCTTTCGCCTCAAATGAGTTTCTCCCAGCAAACGATCCTCCTTGGATTGAATTTGGTGAGTAGACGCTTGAATATTTACTTGCCGTTTTTTCCTTCACACTTGTTTAACCATCGGTTTCTGCTTTTGCTGTTGCTTAACGGTGCAGTTTTCATCCTATGTGACTACTGCAGCAATCCTCGTTAATTGGGGAATCGTTTTTGGGACATGTGTCCTCCTGTGGTCTTTGGCGAGATTGATTAACAACGAGCGGACGAAGTGGAGGTTCCTTTACCTTTCTTTGGCCTTCATTCTTATACCTCGTTCTCTCTTTCCGTTTCGCTTTGGTGAATGCGCCATGCGCCATGTGTGTTTCGTCGGGTTCAACTTCTTTGTCGAGCATATCTCCTGGAGAACACAAGCTTGCTGTGGTAAGCTATACTCTAAGCCCTAGCATACAGACGTAATGCGGGAATTTGTAGGCTGTCGAGATTTATCACGCTCCACAGGTCTGTGTCCGCCGGAGTGACGAAGGATTGCTACTTGGTAACTTTAGATTGTAGCCTCTACGCTGTGCATGAGGTGTGTGGACTTGCTGCATTTGTACTAAGGCATCATCTTTGCAGTGATGACAGTTTCGGACTTTGTATGGGGGGTTATGCCTCCACTGCTCCTGGTGGTGAAGTCATTTTCGTCGTTTTTTGGTGCTGTAGTTGGGCACCTGGGTTACCGCATGGTCCAGGTGTTTTACCAACAGCTGTGGGACTCAAGACGCTCGTCACTGCCTATTTCTGCATGTTTCGGGACAAGTGCTGATTCTAGGGAAAACGTAAAGTACACCGGTTCCCCAAAACCTCGAATGAAAGAATCAAGACACTTTTTTCCCCACCGGCAAAAGACCCCCCCAGTCCAGCAGCGACACTTCCGGCTCACAAGGCATAGGCTTGGAGGGCCCTCCTCAACTCCAAAGCTTCCTCATTGGAGGGCATGGCCATGTAAGGAAGAAGCCATGCGCCTCTATTGGACAAGGATGGGCAACTTCCCTTCCCTTTTCTTTCAGGCAGTAAAGCGCCGGCTCACCTTGTGGAAAGATGACATGTTGCTTTATGTCACTAAAATAGGTAAATCTCTTCCTCTGCCAGAACCCATCCCAGTCGACTTCCTACCTTCCCAGGTTCCGATGGTGTTTGCCTAAGCGCAGTATGCAGTAGACATACCGTGAGCAGAAAGTATCTACACCCCATTCCTTTTACTTTAGACCGTAAAAAAGACCCAGCAGAAGGGTGCGTGCAGGGAAGCGTACCACTCTGCTAGGGTAATTCTGGGGTGTGTACACTTCCGTCATGTGCAAATTGTTTCTGTTTCCATTCAGAAGATACGGGGGTTTGGAACGAGGAAAAGGAGATTTGTTTGTTTGTGGTGCCGAGCTGTCACTACGGTTACGTGGACTGCGAATGGTATCTGGACATCAGGCTACGGGAGGCGATTGGAGGTAAATTTTACAGTCCGGATGAGTATGAAATGAAAGGTAACCAAGTAATAGCTGGTTTGCATGCACTTCCTGAACGCGATTTCCATAACTGGCTTGGCGCATGCATAGATTTTCCCGTTATTGCTTACCCATCTGTATGGGCTGTGATTCCGTCTATGCAGCGGCAAGACACCGATCGATCCTCGCAACGGCAGTGTCTGTTGAGCGTAGTCCGAGTGACCGCTGTAGCACAAACGAGACTTTCAGACTTCTGCCTTTTTTCAAGAAGGGGCTACCGTTGCGCGTACAGCCGGGTAGCGTGCAGCCCGACGAAAGAACTACTGCTGCAGCAAACGTTCCTAGAAAAGCAACAGAGCCTTCGCCGGAGATGCCTCCGGGTGCTTCTTCCCGCCGCTCGCCTCATATGGTGGGTTTAATCTGGGTTGTTCATGCATTATTTGGTATTCCGTTGCCATTGCCAGTGCAATAAACCCATTAGAATATCTGAGCTACTCCGTAAGTAAGAAAGTTCAGTTTTCAGGGTGGTTTCCGTACGAGGAGAGTGGTGGCTTTCTTCGCATTTGTTTTACACGCAGCCAGCTGAGAGTCAAATGCCTTGTAGAGCTGACAAAGGTAAATGCTTCCGGAGGTGGAGGCGTCTTGCTTGGAAATTCAGTTCAATCCGACGTATAAGGTCTTCGAAGAACCAAAATGGGTAAGTCATAGAAGGGCACTATCTGCCAAGGGACAGCATAGCTGGGGTGCTCGTGCGGGGTCTCAGCTGGAGGTCGATACACTTTCTTTGTACAGAAGCAAATGTTTAGACCGAATTTATGAGGTGAGGCTGCGAGGAGCCTCCCGTGTTTCTCGTGTCCATCCGCAGCCCTTGCCTACAGGAAGAAAGCCAGTGGTGCGGATGCTTGCGGCACCTTTGCGCTGCGGAGAGCCACCAAGGAGAAGAGACCAAAGAGCGTCACAGCGGCTGCGGTAGCTGCGAGAAGGTCTGAGTGAACGGGAGCGTGGCAACGATGGCAGAAGGGCGTTTGGTTCGTAAATGATTCGCATGAGACGACGCGGCGCTTATATTCACATCCTCAACTGTGTATTATTGTTTGTGTTGCAGTGTGTTCTTCCAAAACGTAAGCTTGGAGTATTCGAAGACAGTGCAGTTGAACGATGGTATCTTCTGTGGCGGGCTGAGCACATCGTCGGCTTCTACAAGGAAACCTGTCACTTAAATTTGCTTATCTGCGCCGTGCATTGTCTGTTTGGGATAACAAAAGCATATGTCTTGCAGTGTCTGTCTCTGGCAGTAAGCGCGCAATGCACAGATTGCTGCGGGTCTACAATGCACATGCTCCAGGTGGTGCAGGTTGTTCGCTCTAGTGTTTGTGACGGGGACTTATCTGCTTCCTGTCAGAGTGTTTTCCACGGGGGTTTCAGCAGGTAGCGTAGATGCAAATGCATTGCCTTGCTCGCAGGTGGAAAGATACACCGGCCAAGACCCTGTTCAGTTGGAATTCCTTGGAGTGCGCTTGCAGAGGCCTTCTTGGAGAGGAACTCTGTTGGCCGTGTGGCCACCTGTGCTCCAATTTGCACTTCTGTCGGCGCTTATTTTGCCCATGAAGCAAATGGATAGGCGGGGGGGAAGGAATGCTTGGAAATTTCAGCTTTTAGCCCTGGGACAGGCAGTGACCTAGTATGCGTTACCCACCTTCGTAGCGTCCGACGTTGCTTGTAGGGGCACATAGTGGTGAAGGGCTGCACATGCTTCTCCTACTGCTTCAGAAGCGTTTGTTGCACATTTGCGCAGCTCGTGCGGCTTTTTTGCATGCGCACTTACTTCAGCGTCAGCTTCATGTTCTATGAGTTGCTGGAGAGCTGCCACATTATGGCCAAGGGACACGTTTTAACAGAAGTGACCAAAGTTCCCCAAGGAGTGGAGCTCAACTTTGTTCTTGGCAGTATGTTGAGAGAGATTGCAAGCTTGAGCTTGTTTTTTTATGTGCTGATTGGTGCGATGGGGAGAGTGGAACGTGAGGCTGCATTATCCAGCCTTTCAACAAATCATAATGCATTCATGGTTGCAGAGTGCCTGCATGCGTGTAAAACACCTTTTCTGCCCACTGCTTGCATTCGTGCAGGCCATCTTGTCCTCCCACTGTTTAGCATAGCCCTCACTGTCCATCTGCGGCGCATTCCGGAGGTTGCGATTCTAATTACGTGTATGGGGTCTGCCGTATTGACGGTAGTGACTTTGGCATTTGTAGGCTGGGATTACAAAGTCATGGCGTTCTTCATGCTTGGCCGCATTCTCTATTCCCTTTTCGCTATAATGGTGGCCAGGTAAGGCCGAACTGCCCTGGTTCCTCTACCTCTCTCCCTAATGCATTTGGCAGCAACTGGATATCATTATGCATGTTTTTGCATGTGCGTATAGTTTCCCATGCAGCAGGTGCCTATATGTGTCTCTATTTGCAAAACTGAGAAGTCTACTCTTTCTCGGCGCATCTTTCGAAGTGTTCTGGGTACGAATGTGATATTGCACAGGGCCTTTGAAAACGTAAGACGAAGGCTCTTCGCATCCCAGGTGTTGCCCTTTCTGATGTACTTATCGGTACTGGCGAACAGCCAACGAGTGCAAAACTTGTGTGCGATAAGAACAAAGCGAAACCACTGTGGCTACCAGCAAGCAGACAGCTCCATCTCTGCGGGTGAAGAAGGCTGCCTAACTGCCGCTCCCAATATACGGCGTGCCTTCAGCCCGCCAAGTATATGATTGAGAATGACCTAACTAGATATGTTTTTCCACTTATTGTAATACAATGCACCTTTCTTCCCCGGAGAGACTAACTGGGGCGGGGGTAGGGTGCAGTGACGAAAATCCAAATGCGCTGCTCTCGCAAGGACTGGCTTCCCCCTCCCCTTGTGTAATATGAGCCGAGAGGCGACTAGTAAATACTGAGATGCAAGGATAGGCATGAACGTGCGCTGTCGTCGATGGCGGCTAGTCTGAGGATGTGTTTTGCTGCCTCTCTCCGCGCTGAGGTTTGGAGTCAGGGGGAACGGGAATCAGTCCTTCACCCGCTGGGAATTTTCTTCTCCCAGCGCTTTTCACCAGGCCTGGCAAAGTGGTAAAACACCGGAGCGTATTTAGTAAATGCGGTCGATTCCTGTAACGGTTCCAGCCTTCTGCTTTAATTATAGTAAACCATGACTCAGTTGCATTCAGCTTAGGGGCCTTGGGATGCCCCTATTAAGCCACTCTCTCGCCTCCATGTTTGTTCGTGTTGGCAGTATGCCTACTCTTTCATTTCCGTGTTTATTGGCATCCTGATGGGTTTTGAACTCGGAAGTTGCCTCAGGTCGTGCAGCGTAGGCTTGTCCTAAGCATGCGTCTTGTCTTATTTTGTCTGTACCTGCGCTCCCTAATATATCAGTCAGCCTGCCGACTGCGTCATTCCCTTACTGTCTTCGTGCTGGGACACAGGAGGCGGGGGAAATTCAGAGCATCCCTAATGCCGCTATAGAGTCTTCCACATCCTGCGCCTCTCACCGGGGACTGCTAGCTTCAGCACTAGAGGCGTCTGCTTCAACGATGCCGGCCGGTGCTTGTTGTAGCTAGGCAGGGAAGGGAGGAATTTGATAGACTTTCTCTTGCTTGCCATTCGTGGGCCCAACTGCTCGGGCAGCCTTGCAGGACAGGGATCTGTAACCGCGGTGAAGAGCCTTTAACCGGTTTTGGTGGAGTTGCACTTGAAATGATATCCTCGTTAAACTTTAATTTCTCTGTTAGTTTGTCGAGTGCGTTATGAAAATTTTTGAAGTCCTGGTCGGCCTTACATTCGTATTATTTAGAGTGGCACTGTGCCGCAGCTCTCTAGTTAACGCCAAGTGTCCGATGTTCCGACTAATTGCCCTTTCTCTGGTCACAGAGACTTAATCGTCCTTATGGCACTACACCAATAAGGGGTCCCTTTGGTAAGGGAAGACATGCACGCGACCGAACGGAAACGAGCTGGAGCAGATTGCCGGCATGTTTCCAGTCCGTCGCCACCAAAAGTGGCCGGCAAGTACTACAGAAAGAATGGAGCATGCGGAGGAGCAAGAGGGCAAGCAGGAGACTTCAGGAACGAACTGTCAATAAGTCCTCTGGTTCTTTTAGAGAGGCCCATCCGGTGTTCCGACTGGAAGTGTATCGAGAGGGTGGGTACAGTTGCTTTTTCGTTGCGGGGGAAAGCAGCCGCCGCAGCAGCACCAGCCGCGTATTGCTTTCCGGGCAACATAACCAAGCAAGCCTACACCTATTCGCCCCAAGCAGCCGCTGTAGGGTATATTCTTCAGCATGTCACAGAACAAAAGCAAGAAAATCAGGCCACTTAACATACTGTACGTGGCTTGTGCAGCTTCCCGCGCAATGAAACTCTGAAGGTCCATTTCGACACGCTCTTCGCCCCATGAAGCCCCTCTAGGCACCTTTTTCACGCGTCAAACAAAAGCAAGAAAACCAATAAGCGGCAGAGCATTTGTCAGTCTTGTATCTGGTGAGTAGGATTCAGCCATTCGCTGCCAGTGCTTCAATGCCTGCCCCACTGTTCTTCAATATATTGCCTATCTCGGGCACACCAGTTTCTTGCAACGAACGAAGGCGTGAGTGCGTCGGACTATGTGAACCATGAGGCGGCTTCCCAGAGGGGCTAGTGAAGGTACAGCCACATAATGATTTGTTCCCAACGTAGGGACCCGACCCCACGCCTCTCAGGAGTAATTTCTGTAAATAACAGCAGGCTACGATTGCGGATACGTGTGCTAAAATGAGCAAGACTGAAAAAAACAGTCAGCATATTCCCGAACTGTTTCAGGTTCCTGCTGCGCCATACTACAGCTCGGCTTGCTGCTGCTTACGGTTACAGCAACTTTGCTGTGTTTCGCCACTCAGCCGCCTGTCCTCATGCATGCAAACAAGCAAACATTACACGCAGCAGTACCGCCTTATGCATATCCTTCCGTAAATTACATATAAAGCACTAGGAGCCAGTGACGCTTCGTTCCATTCCTACGCTGTGCGTTTGCTGTTGCAGGCGGCGAAGGGCGGCTGTGCCAAACAGGAGCAAAGAAGTTCCTTGCAGCATATGTGCAGACAGCATTTAGCATGCATGCCTTTTGCATGACGCGTGCATGCAAAGTAATCAAATATGTGGAGCATAAGCACGACCAACAGTCGCAGCAATCACAGCTTGAGAGGTCTTCTCAATGGGCGCCGCACCGTCCATTCAGCTTGTCTAATCGAGATATAATATGGCTCGCTTCTCTCTTCAACCTGCGCAATGCGAAACCAGCGAAGCAACAGTGCATTCGCAGTATTTTCGCAGCCAGGTACAGCGGAGAGGGGCTCCAACGGCTCAACTGCCAATTTAAGAGCAGCAGCATTGCAACAACTTGAAAGGCATGCACAATGACTTAAACAGTTGCACCATATGCAGAATACAGCGTACCTCACAACATCCACGTCATCACGAGAACGGGCCGCCGCGTACTGCAGACAGAACAAGGCCATGCATGGAAAGCACGTTGAACGGGGGCCCCCACCCCATAGCGAACTAAAGAGAAAGCCATGTATTATACAGCCATGTGTTCCCCTAGTGGGGATCGTCGCACATGCTTCCACTGGAAATGCATACGGATGGACCGGTACCACCTACAGCAACAGGGTCTGGAGGGAAGCAACAGAAAATACCCAGTACCTACTTCGAGATACCTTTTCGTGCCGCGCAGCTGCTCTACGTATTCCTCCCTAATGGACAAGCCCGCAGAAATCCAGAAACCAACGATAAAATGAACTAACGAAGAAACGACGAGACGTACAGGTCAGGCAGTGGCTCATATCGGGTTCAACACACCCCATCTGGGGCAGTTTTCTCACACTATGACCATACACCTACGGTTTCGAAATTGAAGAGAGCCTCGCTCTGAATCAGTGCATGCATACGCTGCGGTGTATGTACTTGGGACGGGTTCGTGAATGGACAGATGATGATACACCGCACCTTTCCTTAGTCCCCAAGGACGCAAAGTGCTCCGCCTCCCATGAGTGGATCTCCCTGAGCAGTTGCCGGTCCCGGTAGGCAGTGCATCTGCTAAACCAAATCTGAAAATAGTACGCCAACAGCAATGAACGATGCGGGCCTTTGCCTTGAACGGTGTGTGCACCGGGGACTACAAAGGATGCTGCGTTTGGCTCTTGCAAACCGGTTTTGGCATTGCTTTATCGATTGATATGCAGCATAAGTCACACGGAGGTAGCCATTGCTAACTCCCTGGCAACAGAAGTTACCCAGTGTGGCTTGCAAGCATGAAGACGGGTATGCTTGTAGATCCGGTTTTTTTCGTCTTGCTTGGACACCGCTCGAACGCATCGGTCTAATGCCAAGTAATAGCCGAGGCACTTGACGCAGGACTCGTCCACCGTGGCAGGGCCACTGGACCCATCTCCTTCTTCAGAAAGGGGGTTCCTCGCCTTTGAAGAAGCTGCTGGTACGGTGTCGGCGCCAAGGGCAGCAGTTGAAGGCGCTTCGGTGCCGAGGGCTTTGAGGGACGAGCTTCTGTTAGCCGCCTGTGTGGGCTTCGTGGCGAAGTGGTTCTCTGTCTGCTGTTCGTACACCTCAGCCTCAACGAGTTTCTGAATCTGATGATAGGCATAAGCCATCTCGGGCCTGGCCTGCTGCATGCGGTCGGGCATTCGTGGCGGTATCATCAAGTGTTTATACGCATGCAGCTCGCCTAAGGTGTATCCGTACTTTTTCTCGGCAATTTTGAGTTTGTTCTCCTTCGTTTGTTTGTTTTTAAATAAGAAATAACGGGACGCCCTCAAATCAGGGTCTGCCAGGTCCTCCTCGCGATTCCGGAAGAATATGCCCATCCTTACGGATAGCCGCTGGACACTGTCAATTCAACCTAGGGGAAGCTGTTGAAAGCAAAGGTGGCAGCAGTAATAGCAGAAGGTCGACGACCTATGCGGAAACGTCCTGCTGACGCCCAGCTTTGTTGTACTACCGGCACTGTCCGTTTCGGCAGGCCATTGTCTATGCCACCGAACGACACACGAACGCACTCACCAGGAAAGACTCTCACCAGAGGAACTCTCGTGACACAGTCACTCTGAAATTGTCTCTACAGTCTTGTTCAGCGATGGCCTCAATGGGCAATTAGTAGAAAAGTAGACATGTCGGTCCACGGGGCTGGCGAAAGATGAAGTGCAGAGCCCCCTGTAGTCATGTTTCTTGCGTCTTTCGAGTGCAATGAATCCAACTAACTCAACTGGCAAAGTTGTTGTTGATGCGTTGAAGTTTGGGAAAGACGCAAAATAGAGGAACAACGAACTTCAGTCCGATGTTCGCATGCTTCGGGCCCCGCAGGCTGCTCGTGGGGTGGTCCCCGTATTCGGTGGCCTACTCGTGGAATGCACTTTTGAAACCAAGTGTACTAACACTCGAATTGTTTCCGCAGAGCCACGCATCTCGAATCTGCGTTAGAAGTCCCTGTGGAGTTGTCAACAGCCATACATTTGGCGCAATCGTCGGCTCGAGGCGTCATAGCAGCTTTCGAGTTGCTCTTCTCGACACTGGAACAACCAACGAGCCAGTAGCTATTAATGTTATTGTAGTTGGGACGGACCGGTGCAGTTTGTGCGCCAAGGCAGTTTTGTCTGTTCGAAGGATCATCTCCTCCCTCAGTCCGCCACTGGTGTACGAGCGTTTGCCCGACAATATACCCTCCGTGTGCCTCCTGGGTGTTCTTCCGCGTACTGCACAGAGTCCTAGAGAAACGAATTTCGGGTTGCAGGTAAAGGCACGCGAAGAAGACGCCGTAGCTGCCCTTGGGGCCACAGATGGCACGGCTAGAGTGTCTTTGCTGTCGGCAGTTTCTGGGACAAAGAAGGGGCCACCAGACGTTTTCTCTTTGGAGTGCAACGAGCCACGCTCAGCTTCAACTTCATTAGAGGGGGAACGTAGATATCACAACGGCGGGTCAGCTAAAAGCTTTCTGCAGGTGCAGGCACAACCGCTGGTGCGGGTGAGGGTGGGTTTGGCTAGCTTAGACTCTGCCGAAGATCGCAAGGCCTTAGGCATATGCGACGGGGATGTGCAGCATCTCAAAGAAGTAGTGCCGATCGTTCTTGTGGGAGGAAAACCCGTAAGTCGACTGAAGTTCAACGGGCCCGCCGTCCGCGCCGAGCTGCTGCAAGAACTGAAGACAGTGCAAGCTGGACTTCAACAGACACTAAAGGCCCCTGACACAAATTAGTTTATTTGTTTTATTTTACCGCGTACTCGTTTATCTCGATTCACCTAGTACGTCGGCTGCTGGCGTTGGCTATTGCCAATACTCCTCCGCTGTCTCGGAGGCGTCGCTCCCTTTGTTTTGCAATTAGTTTCTCTTTTTGCTTCTGTATCCTAACGATGGCGTCTCGGCGAGATCTGAACAGGGAGCCATGCCCAGACCGCATACTGGACGACATGGGAGGCGCCTTTGGCATGGGTGCCTTGGGTGGCTTTTTATGGCATTTTGCAAAAGGCTGGCGGAATTCGCCTAAGTACGAAAAATTCAACGGGGCGATGTTTTCGGGAACGCTCAAGTCCCCAGCTGTGGGCTCGGCTTTCGCTACTTGGGGCGGTTTATTTTGTGCCTTTGACTGTACACTGGCATATGCTAGGGGAGGGAAGGAGGATTCCTGGAACCCTGTAATTGCAGGGGCTGCCACCGGGGGGGTGCTCTCAATGCGATCTGGCTGGAGAAGTTGTGCTAGAAATGCGGCAGTTGGAGGGATTCTTCTTGGGATTATCGAGGTCGTGCAAATCGTAAGCCCATGCTGTACCCAAGTAGCGAATCTTCGACGCGGCTTCACGAACCCCTTACTCTTAGCTTTAGTGGGATGGGCTTGTCGTGTTTTGGCGACGTTGCGCTGTTGGCTTTCATTTCCTGGGTTTTCACTGTCGCGGAGGGCTGCTATTTCCTTCGATTATCTTCCTATGTGTCTCTGTGGCGCTCCATTGTTTTTTTTTGTGCCTTGTTTGGTGTGTTGGGGTTGCCTTTGCGTTTTCATAGCCATTTATTCTTTATCTTGTGCATTGCTATTTGTGTGTGGTCAGATGTTTCTTCGCGGGGCACCCACGATGACCCCTCGAAAGCAATTTCAGCAAATGAAAGAGTATGAGGAACTGCAGCAACAGGCAGCCGCTGGGAATTCCTCTTCTTTGTGGTCTCGACTTATTCCTACACCCTCCCCGACCCCTTCAAAACCGCAGTCTTCGTCAGAAATACTTCAAGATTCTGCGGCTCTGAGGTGAAGACTCTTCATCCAGTGATGGGCAAGAAAGTAGTGCTGCCTCTAGGTGTGGTAAGGAGATGGTTAGTTGACGGAAGTAGGGCCTTAATAACTTTCCGACAACAACCACGTCGATGGTTGCTTCAGGAGAGCACCTGTGGTTGTACGTCGGTTATATGCACGTGTTGGCTCCCCTGCTCTGGGAGGCGCAGGGGTGCCAACAGTGTGGAAGCTTGAGACGCTGTACTGCACTGCAGCGCGAGTTGCACAGAGACGAGAGCACCAGAGGCTTCATCGTCCGCCAACAGACCGGACGGCGCCTCAGATGCAGTTAGGCTGTATGAAGACTAGAGCAGCCAGGGCCCTGCAGCTCGCAGGAAGGAGAGCCTCGGTGCCCTGTCAGCTCAGGGTGCTTGGGCGTTGCTCTTAGCGGCCGTTCGCACATTTTTTCCCGACTGTTTTCTTCTTTGCGGCAAACGCTGAGCGCAACGGTGCACTCGGGCTATTGATTCCCGTTGAACAGCAGTCTGTCTCTTCTCTCTTCTACTGTCAATGGTAAATGCAAGTCCCAAGAGGTGCTTTTACCCTCTTGCGAGCGCAAGAACTTGTCTTCTGTCGCAAAACTCTGAGAGGGTGTTTTAGCTAAGGAACAAAGTATCGTAGTTTTAAACAGGTGTGCGAGGAGTTGAAGGGCTTCCCCCTCCTTGCCCCGTCCTGGGCTTTCCACAAGTGTGCTCAATTAACTGGCAATTGCGACATTTCGGATGCTTGTATTTTTGAAAGTACACAAATGATTTGACACGGAACGGCGCCCTTCTGCGACTTAGCATTTCATAGCACGTACTGCAGCCACACATTGAACACAGGCACTGCGCCACTGGAGCATAGGCATGCTTTTTCTCATCTTCGCGGCAGGCCCACGCGTTACTCTGCAGGTGAAGCACCCAGGTATTTGCGCCCCCGTGAGGTCAAAGTGATACTTGCAGGCTTTGCTTTATGTGGGATCTGCTGGCGAACGTAAGGTTGGCCAAGCCCTATGTAGGGCACTCTGTGGGGCGCGGCCGCATCTTTCGTTGGTCGGCGTTCCTGTCCATTGAAAGCAAACCAACTCCATCATCAACGGGGCCTTCTCTTAGGAGCCCCCACTTGAGTACGTGGATTTGCCACGAAGGCGTTTTTTTGCAGAGCGCGCGAACCGGAGGAATGTGCGAAATTTGCAGGAGGGCGCCGGAAATCGTCGGTCTGAATGAATAAGGAGCCACACACTTGAACTATACACTTGATCTGCATTTATTTGTTGGTGCAACGATTGTGCAATAGGACGCAATCGTTATACAGACGGAACTAATTTTCCTCTTGAGGTCTCAGCTTCTAGACCGTTTGCCAGACAAACCTTTGCGGGAGCCTTCGCCGCCGCTGAGCAGTGGGGACGTTGGAGCGAATTTCTGTCTTCCTGTGCAGACAAAATTTCATGGGAACGATGGAGTAACTTGTGAATTTCAGCCTCAAGGAACTGAAAGCACTTTGCCAATTATGTTGGTTTGTAAGGTAGACGTTGTACGCGCTGAAATGCAACTCCTGGCAGCTGGCTACTGGCTGCGTTGCTGCGCATCTGAGAGGTGCCATTCCCACGTTGTTGCTGATTAATGGGGGCTAAGAAACGTTTGTCGCAGGAATGGAACGAACCTGCTGCCTTTGCTGTTCGCAACCGGACACGGGCAGTTCAGGGGCGGAATCCGAGCAGCTCGATTTCCTTGCCTCGCGGCAACCTCCCGCCTCCAGCAGCGTTGGAGTTTCCCTGGTACTAGGGAGGCATCTGCCGCTGTATCTTTCTCTTGGTGTGAAAGCCTGGCAAAAGCAATGGGCTGGCACTGAAGTTTCTGTCGGGCCTCTCCCATGCAACGCTAAATTTCTTGTTGAGGTCGGTCCGCTCCCCATGGCACAGTCGTGCTTTCCTTCCTCTCTGCCTGTTACATACACAAGTTCTCCAAAGCAGAACGGCTTCATTTCCACCACCAGCATGGCATGGCTCTCTACTGCCTGTGTCGTCTCCTGAACAGAGCACAGGCATAGCAAATCCTTACCTGTCGAGAATGGGTGAGCACTGCAAGTGACTCCAAGTTGTTTCCGATGAATGCCAGTTGCAGCAGGCATGCCCTGCTCTGGCTCAGGGGAGGCAATGAGACTGTGCTGCTGTCTCCGCTTTTCTTCATTCGCATGCCTGATCCTGGCCAGCTCAATTGTCGTGGCTGCTGCAACTCCTCTGTGTGTCACGGGCACCACTTGGTGCCCCCATTGCAAGAGTCGTTGCTGATTCTCTTGCAGGCGCCCCGCCAGCGGCGCGATGGGAACCCTACGCGGTTGTGGAAGAGGGGCTTCTGGGTCCTGGCCCATCGCCCCGCACCAGCCTTGCGGCTGCGTAGCGTGATGCCGTGGCGACAACCGTCGCGTTGCTGCAAGCGCTTTAAATCGTTCATCTACAACACCCAGGTGGTTTAAATGAACCCCTTGACGGTTCCACTCCCCTCTCTCCATTTCCCATCTTCCATTCGTCGGCACGTCAGCTATCCACCGGCTGGCGGTTACACCCCCGCGGTACGACGGCTCCAAGGCTCGACGCCCACCTACTGTACGCACAACCCCTTGACCCGAACGTTTGATTTCTTGTGTTTCAGCACCTTCGAGCGAGAACGTCGCTTCATTGTCTTCCAGAGACGACCTCCAGCTGGTGGCAATTTTAGCTCTGTAGCCGGAAGGCGGCACGTAGCTATGATTATCTTCGAAAAGCTCCGGGGGGGACAAGCACCGAAGCTGAGTCTGCGGAGTGGATATTTCAGAGTTCGACTTCGGCAGGTTGCTGTTGTTCTGCCTGCGGCGATGTTCTTCCTCTTCTCTGAGGATGTGGGCATGCAGAGCAGCGGCAAATGAGGCTCTTTCGTTGGCTGCAGCTAAGACGTCAGGATGCGCATGACTTCTGCTGCCAGGTGGCGGCTGCGAAGACGAACGAATAGCCCCTCGCCTAAGGGTTTTCAGGAATCCCTGCACACGGGGGTTTCGGTAGCTCCACCTATTGTTTCTCGTTGCTGCCCGAGTGGCGTTTGCTTCTACATCGTCCAACTCAGGGACGGCACTGAATGCTCGTGGACTCTGGTCTGCTATGCTGCTCACCGCCAGGGCACTGTCACTGCGCTGAAGAGGGCTGCCGCTACTTAGCGTAATGGTGACAGCATTTGCACTTACACCGAAGCCGGTTGAGCATGTCTCTGGGCTGGCGCTGACTCCACTAAGGCTGCTGTTGCAGGTTGTCGTGCAGCAAGTGGTGACGTCCCCTGCAGCCAGGCCATTCAACTTTATCTTGCCCGGGCAAACTGTTGGAAGAGGGCACGGTGCTTCGTCTGATTCTTTGGGCCCCTGCAGAGGTGGGATAGCAGCTGACTTGTACGACTTATGCGCAGTTTGGTTGTGGCCAAGAACGGCCGTTGCTGTTTCATGACTGTGAGTTGTTCCCATCGTTGTTACGTTGATATCTCGCACTTAGCCGTTGCCGCTGCAGCTGCTGCCTGTCTAGGTTGCAGCTATTTGCGGCTCGGAGTATATGCCTTGAACTCAAATTAGACACTACAGCCGGCCCGTTGCCCGAACCAACGGTGGGCTATGAATGTCCGTCAGACTCGTCAGACTCCGCTCGCAGGACACACTCAAAACACTCAGCTCTGGAGAAACAGCAACCCACTAAGGTGGAAACGACTTGCTATTACTCAAGAGAAACTCAGGAGTAAGTAAAACTCAAGAAAAAATTGAAGGAGTTGAAGCATTTCGAAGGAAAACGCGGTTTACCATCATGCCAACGAGCGTTGTACCGCTCCAGAGGCCGCCATGTGCTGTAGTGGCACGTGGCTGCCACCCGTTCGGCAGACCGAGAAGCCACCAGTGTCTTCCCGCAGTGGTATCGGGGATACTCGCGGAAAACATTTTGCTGATTGAGTTTACCTTAGAATTTGAGCTCGATGCTTCTAAAGATCTACGCTTCACAGCGTGATGTGGGGTGGGCGGGTGAATGCCGTCACGAAGGTCACTTGGCTTCCCCATACTCACCCTGAGATGGGCAGGACCGAAGCGAGAGGGTTTCCCTACAAGTCGATAAATATATAATTTTGATTTGCAAGGGAATATATGAGTCGGTTTAAAAGGGCGTGCACAGAGGGGCGGTGCTGCTGATTTTTTGAGCAGCAACATACTTGTGGTTACGCCGCCTGCGCCTTAAAAGGCAGTGAGCACGGAGGACACGCGTAAAGAAAGGACAAGAACACTTGTCACAGTTTTGAACGTGTATTCCAGAGAAGAGATTCCCTCTTGCGGCTCTTAAATTGCCACCTATTGCAGTCCTGGAATGTAGCTTCTTAACGGTGTAGGCTTCCTCTGCTATCCTATCCGTACTACTTGAACTCATATTTGCGTATCTTGCAAGCGTAACCGATTGCAGTGTCACCCACAAGGGCCAATATTCATTGGAAAGTGTATGCTTGCTGAATGAGGCCAAGAACGAGCTGTTGTCCGGCGTCCTCCTGGAGCATCGTTGTCTGTCCTCGTTCCTCCAGCGAAAGCTCCCCTTTCTGCCTTCCCGAGACCACACCACAGCTTCTACAATCACATGCTTACGACTGGATAGACTGGCATTCGTAAATCCCAAGTTCTTAGCATTCCAAGTGGTGCAAATATGATGCCGCATTGATCTGTCCTGATTTAGGTGCATGCGCCGCAGCACTGGATTGGAGGCACCATGTGAGGAACGGACAGTGCGGAGGTATCGAAATATGCACCTTCGGAGACCTCTGGGCAAGGCCTACGGGACGGAGGCAAGACAAGATAGTGGAGTCCCGCATGCACATACATGATCGCATCCTCGCATAGGGCTTCTTTACCAACTAAGCATTCTAGCTCCAGAGAACTTTTGATTCACAGCATCTGAAACAAGAATAATACTATATGTGTATTTTATCTTCATCCCGAATATTGGTTTTTTGTTCCCTAATATCTGAGTGATTCTTCGCTAGGGTTCGATTTCACCGCGGCCAAGGACCTGTCTTTGCGAAGTCTAGCCGAGTTCCTGTTAAGCGGAATCGCAAGTAGTCTCAACTGTACCACGGCGTGAAGTAACAACACTATTGGAAAGCACTGCAAAGTGCAATAAGGACTAGAGAGAAGTAGCACTACAGATCTGGTCACACCGTCCACTGGCGTAGAACTGGCTGTGAGATGTTCCACCTTGCCACGGAGCAGGCAGTGGGATGGATTCGTTACTCCTCCTAGCTTAGAATGTAGAACTGAGTCGATCCGAGTTCGTTCTGTTCGTTCCGACTGCGGGGGGGGCTATTCTATAAGCTGTGCTGCAGACCCCTGCAAGCTGCAGTCAAGTGTCGTGTGAATCATTCACACACCGTAGTAGCATGCTCACAACGAAGAGGACAAAACATGCAAAAAGGAGGATAAATGGAGTGGAAAACTGATTCTGTGTTCCAACGGTACCAAAGGGTCAGAAAATGCCGTCCTTGCAAGAGGAACCGACGACCGTTATTGTAGGAAAGAGCGGCAGTGAGACCAAGCGACAGCGTCGGGGAGAAGCAACCCTTGAAAATCCAAAACGCAACTGTAGTCCAACTTTGTGTTTCGAAAAATGTTCTTTAGAAGGCACGTCACCGTTACCAAATAAATACCACACAGGACTGCAGAGACTGACTGCACCGCGCTGAATACATGCAGGCCTCCGTTAGCAACAGATTTGTCCAGTGGGAGACAGGAAAAGGACACACTCAGAAGACCAAGTGCATTTTGCCGCCGTCGCGTCCTGCCAAGAAGTTCATTTGCGACTCAGTTTAGGAATAATCAAGGTAGGCTTGCTTTTTTCTCGGTCACAAATCGGCATTGTGAGTTCCACGATGATCTCCAAAGCATATGCGTTTTCCGTGCAATTTTATTTTTCAGCAGTGACAGCCTCTGCTGGCATGGGGTTTTAAACTATTTGAACAATCCAACCATATTCTCCACATCTGCAGACAGCTTTGTCTTAGAATCCTGCCGTGAGAGCAACACTAGCTTGTCAGGAAGCCCGGGTAACTCCGCTGTGAACGCGACAGAAGTTGAGCTACACTCCGTAGGAAAAAAGACGATCTGGTGTGACGAACTATCCATTTCAACGGCAGCATCGCGCCACTTAGTTTCCCCTCAAATGAGAAACCCCATTTTTTCTTTTCAGTGATATATGCGTCTCTTCACTGCGTCAAGTGCTGTAATTCCGCTGTTCATATCTACATGTATCTGAATAGTAGTTGCATAAGGTATTAACATAATTGCAGAGGAAGCGGACAGCCATTGGGAAGCCGCATTCCAGGACCGTAATAGATGCCAATTGAGTTGCCGCACGAGGCAACGTCTGCCAAAAAAAATCAGCAACACTGTCCTTATACACGCGCCCTTGCCAACAAAAGCATCTATTATCTTAGTAGTGGAGGACTGGCAATCAGGCACCCCCAAAAAATGTTGCAGCTCAAAGTGTAGGTCGAAGCGTAGGAGGGCCCATACAAATGCAACTGATGCACCGTCTTTATGGTGTCAGCGCTTTCAGTTTTATGGAGTACTTACAGCAATGGCTGCGCCGCTTATGCGCGAACGTATTTATGCATGTTAGCCTCTGGTCCAGCACACGTTTAATAGTTGATGCCGTGTGCACTCACGCTTCTAAGAAGCGCTTGGGCTGCATGCATGTGACTTTGCTCACGGGAGGCAAGCTGCAGCATAGGATGCTGCAACGCCATCTCAACGCCATCTCCCACTCTACCCAACCCCTGCACCGCTTCCTGTCCCAACCAACCCAACTTGCTCTACCGCCCTCGTCTGCCCAAACCACAAGCTACTACGATGTGACCCCGTAACTAAAAGCATCGGCATATGAGACAGTCCGGTACAGCTTCGCTGATCTACTATCATTCCGCAGTGCCGAACGTATCCAGGGTCCTATCGAGGACCGCCGCCAGCTGCGATGCAGAAGAAAGGTTTGAGGCAACAGTTCCCGCAAAACAGTTGACACCCCTCCAGTCTCCACGCGTCCTGGGGACAGCGGTAGAAGATCCTGGGGCGGGTGTGGAGAAGAAACGGACTATCACAAGTTGCCGCACAGCGCGTTGCAACTCCTGCTTCGAGGTAACCCCACATGCAAGCACATCCAAGCACCCTCATGAGGGACGCACTCGCACCGTAGACAAGTGTTAAAACCTTATCTGGTTCTCAGTGACAAATCTGAATGCAAGTAGAAACTCATGTACAAACGTTCGACCGATCGTACTACGCTCCGCATTTACCTACAAGGCGGCGGGGAGGCAACTGTGAAGCAACAACACTGCAGACCGGTCAGTTAGCCGCTTCTTTGCTCACTGCTTCAAAAAGACAGACACTCTTCACCGCTCAACAAAACATCGGGGTAACTTTTCGCAGCGCCGGTGGGCTGCCGTGGGCATAGTGCAGGTTTCCTCTGCAACGGTCGGCCGCTGAGGGTCTCAGCAGGGCAGATGAGGCGACTGGAAATGCACAAGACATAGTAAGAGTTAAATTGTTTTACGTAGCCGGAAAAGAATACCCCGTAACTTTAGTTGATGGGCCGTGTGCTTTCGGTGGGGTCGTCTGCCGTGTCGGCAGGGGTGGCAGTACAGTAGACCAAGGATGGAGCATGCACGCGAGGCGTGCAGCCCTCTTAGCGCGCACTCGCTTGTATTTACGCAGCTCAGTTGCGGACTCAGCATTATGACTTGAGTTCATGAAGGCCTATAGATCCCCAACTGCCACCGCTTCGGCCCAGAAGAAAAGCCGTTGCGAACGAACACTACGCGTGTAGCGGACGCTACGATCGCTCGCCCCCTTCAAGGACAGACTGTGCAATTTCTCCAGAGGAAAACAACGGCATCGTGCGTTTCTCACGGTGGAACGATTCATTCTTTTGCGAACCAATGGCCGCAACTCTGTTCTGAGGCTGCCAAGATTTCGCTTTCCGTTGACCGGCAGTATCTGGGGCTGCGGAATACGCCGCAATGGGGAGTTCTGTCTTGACGGCACAACTGCTTCACGCGTCTTTGCATGCATAGAAGCAGCGCTGGCCTTTGATCCATGCCTTTGGTAGGTGTTTATCAAGGCTTGCCAGGACCTCGGGACAGCTCTGCATCGTCCGTAACTCGGAGCATGTGCGTTTACTTATACCCAAAGTTAGACGCTAGCTGCTTCTTGAATGTTGGTTTGGCCTTGAATCGGCAGCCTATTGTGGCCGCTGTCTGCATCGGTTAGTGGCAGTTGTTTCTCCGTCTCGGCACAAGCAGCATTCATCTGCAGTCATTCCGCGTAGCCTCGTTGGGGTTCGTGCCCGCAGATTGTAGTGTTAACTACGGATTAGGGGCCTGCATGTCGCCTTTGCGCCCCTGGCCACAGACCCGGTTGTTGTTCGCCGCCTTTGGTGAATAATAATGGGGTTCAGTCCCCCGGCCCCCTCCCCGGGGAACGAACCGCAAGTTCCTCCCGCATCGTCTTCCAGCTTGTTTATTCAGTCGCGTCCAGCTTTTGAACCGGATGCGGCTGCAGGAAATGCAGCGGCGTCCCTCGTAGGCCTTCAGAGCCTGCAGCAATCCCCGCCTCAGGAAGCCCTTAGCGCAGAGTCACAGCAAGACATGCAGGAGGAGATGCAGACGGGGCCTGAGAGGGGGAAGGAGGAACCGACCCAAATGGCGTCTCCAGCGTCTGCAACTAGCGCGTTTAATGATGCATGTGCAGCAACCGCTTCTCTGGAGAATGCTTTGGACAGCCTCGTGAGCCAGCTGGGAAACTCCTCCTTGACGTATGACAACGGCGTCCGCATGATGACAAACTTGAAGTCCCGAGACATTGCGCTGCGGCTCGAGGCAACACAAGCGTACCGCAGGTCTCTTAGCAGCCGACAGGAGGGAGCAGTTGTCAATGCTGGCGGCGCTTCCTCCATAGGCACTTTGCCCAGCGGTGCAGATTTGCGGAGCGGTCTGTTGTTGGACATTTCTATCGATGAGTTCGTGGAAATGAACCTGGTGGCGCATGTCGTTGAGTCATTGCGCATGCCGCATCCACACCTGCAGCTTGAATCAATCCTGCTCCTGCAGCGGCTGTGCCGCGGGACCTTCGCGCAGACTTTGCGCGTTGTCTCCTCGAGTTTGTTGGATGCCGTAGTGGACATCCTCAAGAAGCTCACTCTTGATTCTCCGGGTGGTGTGGAGCTGCGCGTGGCCATCTTTTCTTTCTTGACGAAAATTGCCCTGGACTTCAAGCACGAGAAGGACTTGTCGCTTGTGCGCAGGCCGTTAGTGCTTCCAGCTGTTCTCCGTTGTGCAAATCTACACCTCGGCGTCGAGGCGGTTAGATGTGTAGAAGCCCTCGTACACCCTCGTTTCTGCAGCGCAGATATGAAGGTGACAGTGCTCAAGTTCCTCGTACGCGTCATGTCGGAGTCCACAGATCCAGCAAGTCTTTCTCTGGCGTGCAACGCATGTGTAACTCTTTGCGACAGCCCCGAGGGGGTGTCCGCTGTTCTGGAGGTCATGGCCATGCCACATATAATGAAACTGTTGTGTCATTCCGACGAGAACGTCGTGTTTGATGCTCTTTCAATTGCTGCACGCATTGCTTTCATCGGCACGACGCAACAGATCGACCTCGTTATAGGCATGGGGACTGTCAGCACGATGGTTCAAGTACTCACCGATCCCGCCGTCTCCAGCCCCATGGCTAGGGCCAGGGCATGCAACACCATTGGGAACTTGGGGTGCGAGACGCCCACGCAAGTCCAGGTAGGCGGGCGTGCTTGCTTCCGAGTGTGAGGACGGGCGTTATGTGGGAGCGGTTGGAAGAGGATGACTTTTCCCGTTGACCGTATACTGTCTGGTCTGTGGAACTGGAATGTGCAGGCGATTATCGATACTCAGGCATTCCCGCTGTTGCTGGAGATCTTTCAAGTGGACCCGGACTATAACACCCGCATTGAAGCAGCGTACGCTGTGTGCGCGTGCTTGTCACGGGCTAGCCCACGGCAAGTAGGGGTTATTGTGTGCTGCACGACTCGAGCACCGTCCTTCTTGGATCGCGGCAGGGGCGCCACGAGGGTGTTTTTTGCCCAAGAGCCTGATGAGCCATGCGTTTTATCTTTGACTGGGTCGAATCCCTGCTTACACTTGATCGCCGACATGCTGGAACTGGTTTCTCAAAGTGACCCTTCAAACAGCGGCAGTCTCAAGCTCTGTAAGGCCATTCTAAGGGGGTTGGAAAACATTCTGGAGGTCGGTGTCCAAGAGGGGAAGTCTCTGGATCTACCGGAGAACCCGTACGCCCGCCTATTCCAAGCTGTTCAGGTAAGCGGATATCTGAGCTGAGCAAGCAGCGCTCGAGTGCATGCACAGTAGTGTACGCATTTTTAGTTTATCTGCAGAGTTCGGTGCAAACCGATGTGTACTGTTTGTGACACACCGCGCTTATCGAGCTTTGCGGTTCTACAGGGAGACGTCAAACTAGCGAGGATGCGGTACTTTCCCGACTACAACGTCGCTACGAAGGCGCATAGTATATTGCAATACTTCACAACGCTCTCATCGCGAGCCATTAAAGCTTGAGCTGACGCTGACTCATCTGTTTCGGTGTCCAGCAACAGCACGGCCTTGGCGCGCCACACGAGAACAGTACGAGTGTCCCGCGGGTCCAGTGCAACACAGTTTGGGTGCTTGGGTATCCGTAATGCAAATGCTCAGTGCAATTTTGCCAAGTTGCAGCTAGAATGTGCCTGTTTATGCCTCTGGACGGTCTGTGTGACCATGAGGGGCTGGCAAGGGTGTAATGGGGTGTAGCGAGTGCACATGCAAGTGAGGGCTGTCGTCATTAAATCGTCTTTGCATCGTTGACATGACAACTACGCGATTACAGCGGACATGAGTGTGTTCGGACGCACAACGCTTGCGCAGCACTACGGCAAGCAAGTCGCCGTACACAGGAGACCGTTTTTACGCCATTAGATTGATTGTGCGTAGCTGGAGCAGGTGGGATCCTGCAAACGCAAGCATGAATATGCCTTGGGACTCCACAGTTCACTATACCCCACGTCGGGTTGAACGCGCTTGTGGGGCTGAGGAAAGGAGCTGCAGGGTTTGCGCTCCTTCCGTTGGGAGATGGTTGCAAACTGTCAACGTGAAGATGGATACTGCGGAGCAAATGAGCTACGATCCGTCCAATCTTTGGGCACCCTTGTTCCGGTGGCTTCTCTTCTTCACGTAGTTGGTGCCCAGGACTTGGAGATGTTCAGAGGGGCCGACCGGCAAGCCAGGGCAATGAGGACGCTTGCCCGTGAATGCATATGAATGGATTCAGCGTTTCACCGCTGCTTCACCGCGTTCGCCTGTTCAAATTCTTTCTGGTTGTGGGCTGACTCGAACCCGAACTGGACTGATATACCAGCTGTGATGGTCTTGTAAACCCCACTGGCCTGCGCATATGGTTAATATTCTCGCCTTGCGCGTAGAGCGACTTAGGGTTCTAAAGGTTACGGATGCAGACCGGCACAGGGCATCTTGTGGCTTGTGTGGATGGGCAGTTGCATGAAAATCTCGTGAAACAAACAGTTAGGCGATGCTCTCGCTGCAGCACGGCCCACTGAGCTCGTGCTAGATGAGTCAGCGCGGCGAGCGAGGCAGTCCTTCTGCAGAGGCAAACCTTCGAGTTGGCAAGGAGGTCTCAACACATATGCATCTTGCATCGTTGCCCTTGCTCGGAATTCGTCCTTCTTGTACAATCTGTGCGTTCACGGGCACTCTCCATTAACTATTGCACTTTAAGGCGCTTTTGGGCAACTTGGAGTGCCACATTGTGTACTGGTACTTGTAATGTCACGCTTTCCCAGTTCCACATCAAGCATATGGAACACGTGTGCTTCCACACGCCTTGTATTTACGTTTACAAAAAACGACACATTTTCATCCTCAGTTGTCTGTCTCGTATGTTCGCTTTCCACCAATTTTTCCAATAGTATGTGCATGATGGGGATAAGCCCGTCTTCTTGTCGCGGCATTGCGCAGTGGCACGCGTTAGCGAGCCTTCAAAACCCCTTAACTACATTACTAGCGTATCCACCACGTTAGCAGTGCTCGAGTGGGCACTAACCTTGTAGCGTCTGACGTCCCTGAGAGTGCACTTCTAGACTGAGTGAATCTAATGTGGAGCGCATCGTCGTTGTACTCTTCTTAGTTGCGTGAGCCCATAAGGAGAAGGCCCTCTTCCATCTGGGCGTCAATAGAAGGGATAAGCTGCATCGAATATGGTGAACGTTTGCACAGCCAGCTGCCTAAGGTAACAGGATCCCCGCCCCATGAGTGAACTAGTAAGTGAGGTCAGTAGCCAAGCGGAAGATGCTTGGTTGTTGCCTTTTAGTATGCTCTAGACTGAGAAGCGCACGGGGATACGAAGGGAAGAGTATCCGATTAGGCTGATCCTGCTCTCCAACAGTTAAAGGTGGGTCAGCTCCTGGTCTCGTAGACTGGCGCTTGCGGCAGGTGGAAAAATAGAAAATCAGGGAAAGTGCATACGCAGTTCTTTAATGACTTCGTCGTCAATGGAAAGGGGAGTAGAAAGCCGAACTGTTCTTCAAAGAGAGTGCTTGCACCCATATCCGGGTGGCCGAGGAGGTTATATTGGTGTTCTGGGACAGCAATGTCAAGTGTTTCCTCTTTTATATTGTTTTTCTGCTTGAGATATGCATTCGACCGCTTGGTACCGCAGCAGCCGGTTGGCTGCGATGGTGAAACGTTTCAGGCCGTGGCCCGGTTGGTGCAACGAGAGATGAGGAAGAGGAATATTCACATTAAGTAAACAACAGTCTCGCATGAACTGTAATACGGGTAACGAAACTAGCCAAGTGGTGGTTTTGGTTTCTCAAGAAGAAGGTATGGAAGGCACTGCCGCCGCTTCCAACAGCTGCTAGCGCCTCGGACTACACAAGGCGCAGTCTTGGAGCTTACTGCATACCAGCCGCCGCTTATCCTCCATATGCATCCAGAAAAGGTGACACAAACTCACAACTTCAACGTTTTATGTGTTTGAGCCAAGGTCCCGCGGCAGATTGACTCTGCAACGGGCACTGGGTAGCCTGGTCAGCTGCTGGTTCGTCATTAGCAGGTAGGCTCACTGCCGCAGCCTACCGAGTACCTGTGTTTTCAACTCCTTCTCCTTGTTTCGAATATATCTCTACTGAATACCCATTCTTCGTCATTACTCCTACTTCATGGTCCCCTCGGTGCCTTCAGCACTGGTCCTTGAACCGTTGCACTGGTGCCGGCACTGCCGATGTTCAGCGTCGGAGACTAGCGCTCCTAGAACCTCAAAACCTCACACCTTTCCAATTCCCCAGCAGTTGAAACTCATAAACTTCCCATTTTTTGGTGGATTCAAGCCTCACTATGGACTCTGCCGGTGCTGAGCCCCTGTCTGGGCTCCGCTCACTGGTTGCCAAGGTCCTGGGCGCCACCGACTCCACCGCCAAAGAGTCAGAAGTGGCTCCCACAGCAGGAAAAAAGGAAGCTTCGGAAGAAGAACCATGTAAAGGACAAAAATGGTTGAGTCACTTTGCAGCCGTCGCTCCCGAACACATCAAGCGGTGGACAAACCCAGCCGACGGAACCGGGAATATTCCGTACGAGCAGCTCGTCGAAAACCTCCAGAAATTCAACATCCCAGCGAGACACGCCTCCGAATACACCCTCGCCCAGATATTAGGCGTCGAACCAGTTCCCCAGGAGCCCACTCATGACGAAGTCATCAGCATTCCCCCGCAAGCGCCCACACGGACTGTCACGGCTCGCCCCCACAAACTCGGCCCCCAAGCCGCTGCTTATCTCGGCAGAAAACAAGATCCCGAATTCACCCAAGTAATTCCGGTGCGTGAGGTAACTAAGGCCTTTGTGGGACCCGTGCGGGAAAGAGTCGGAGCCTTAAGTGGGGAAGCCGGCAAGATGCTGAAGAGACCGGCGGAAACTTCAGAAGTGCCCCCCGATTACGTCGAAGTTGTTGGCAGTAAACAGGTTCGTGCTATCGGCTGCGCTGTGAACGTTATAAGTCGCCAGAGCAGCAGCTCTTCAGCCGTTGAACGCGCAGCTGGCCGCCTAAGATCTGAATTCACTTCTGGGAGGCCATCTCCAATATATCTGGAGCCTGTCATAAACCCTAACGCAGGCAGATGTGGGACTTCTAGGGGAGATTCCACTGAGGTTGGATGCGCAGCAACTGCAAAGTTCATCGCAAACATCCCCAAACGACCACCTGGCAAGGTAGATGTCAACTCGATTCATACAAAAGAAGATAAAGATGTGTACGATGCTCTGCACAAGCCAGTTGTATACACCATGGGTACCTATGTGTGGTCAAAGGAAGAGGCTGAAAAAGGCACCGCCCATCCAACCGACCTTCCTCCAGTAGACGCTTGCTTCAGCAGACTTTGTCAGGAAATGTTTTATCCAAAAGGGAAAAATTCAGGCGAAAGTGTGCCGGCTGTGAAGACGAAGCCAACGAAAGAGGGCAGGCCAGCTGAACAAGCCACCATTTTTCTCCCGGAAATATTGGAAATGTGCAAGAAATCGAGGAAGGAGCTTGCATCTGTTCCTCAGAGCCTTGTTGAGACTCGCGACGATGCATCGGTAGGCGGCAAAGGGCTCTTCGCCACTACTCAGGTCAAAAAGGGTGAGGTTGTATTTGTCGAAATGCCTTTGCTAACTTGTGATATTGAGTCTGAGTCGATGTGGACGACATTTATGAACCTCACTAGCGAACAAAAGGCCGCATTGGACTCTCTTCAGGGGTTCCATTCGGACCTTTCGGAAGATGAGTCTCTATGGTGCATTCTCGTGGCAAGGGCCAATAAACGCATTGACCTAGCGAAGCCTTTCAAGTCGTTCCTTGCGAAGATGAAGCGAAATGCTCATGGGTTGCCTTCCAGTGGCAGCTGGGGCCTCTATCCAAAAGCCGCCATGGTGAATCACTCGTGCGAGCCCAATGTCACCTACCGAAACCTGGATGGGCTCTTGGTTTATTTTGCCACCCGTGATATTTCACTTGGAGAGGTAATCTCGATGACATACATCGACCAGCTCTACGCCTCAGCTTCCTTCCGCAGCAAAAGGCTCCTGCAGACTAAATGCTTCACATGTAAATGCACCCGCTGTGGCTCTATGAACGAGAAGGAAAGGCGGATTCTTTGCCCTTCCTGCCGCCCTGTCAAGCTTAAGATTGTCGACCCCCAGTCAGAAGCCCTTGCTGCTTCCCCATCAAATAGCTTGCGTAGAGGGGGCAGCGAGAAACCTGAGGGTGCTAATGGTGAACTGGAGGGTGCGAAAGGCGCTCCTTCAGGGCTGGCCAACATAGACGTCGAAAACACTTCTGCTCAGGCTTTCGCCGATGATGGCAGCAAGATCACCCTGCAATCAAGCGATGACGAGGCGGAGCGCTTTGCAGCATGCAGGGACTCAACACCGGAGGACGAGGAGGCCGACATATCGGATGGTGGGCAGCTGCTGTCGGAATCTAGGGACGAAGAGCAAAGCGACTTCGGTGAAGGCTCCTTGGATAGCGATGAACGCACCAGAGGATCCAATGAACTCTCCGACAGCGCTTCTAATAGCGACCGCTCACCTGGGGAACTTTCCGACTACGAATCAAAGACGAGTCAAAAATTGATTGGTGAGGGCAAGATGAAGAGTGCCTCTGGATCACTGAAGCTGTCTATTTACGCTATGAATTCAATGGGAAGCAGAAGCACTGACATGGGCCTGGGAGATTCACAAAGTGAAGAGCAGACGTCTCGCTCCATCAGCAACGCCTGCTCCGGCTCTTCTGATGTCATGGATGGATCCCTACAGCTGGACGTACCTCCTCCAATGTACTGCCAGAGGAACAGCAGTGGCATTTGGGTATGCGGAAGCTGCAAAAGCCGCTTCACAGACGACGACATGCCGATTGGCATGGAAGACTACTTCGAGAGGCTCTACTTAGAGTTGCAGAGTAAATTCAACTTTCCCACAACGCCACAGTGGACAGTTGATGTGGGCTCTTTAATCAAGAGCATTGAGGCTGTCTTGGGGACGCACCATTGGCTGTACGCGGCTTGCAATCTGCTGCTTGCTCAACTATATCTTGGACAGTGGGTAGGAGGCACTGTCAAGGACTCCATTTTTGACAGATCGCTCAAGCATGCAGAAGTCTTTATTAAATTCGTGGAATCAACCACAAGGGAGGCGCTTCACGTTGATTGTGCCCCTTTATTGGCCTCTCTGATGAGGGTCCTTCTGTTCAACGGTCGGTGGTCCACATTCGAGGAATGGGTTAATAAGGGGAGACTTGAAATAGTAAAGGATTGCCTGGGCTCATGGGATGAGGCCTCCGTAGCTTTTTCTCAGGCTCATGTGTACTTGCAGCGGTGCCACGAAAAAGGTGATCTACCCCAACTTTCTATTTTGCACCGATATGCTCACACTGCTCAGTATACCATTACCCAAGCTGCAGAACAACTTGAGAAAAAAGAATCAGAACGAAAGACGGCACTGGAAGAGGCAACTCGGGAACAAGAGAAGAGACGCCAGGCAGAGGAAGAACGCCTCAAAGCGTTGAAGGAGAGGAACAAGACACTAAAGGAGCGTGTTGAGTATATGAAGGCACAAGCCGCTGCTCGGGCCAAAAAGATAGAAGATGTGACTAGCTCTCATAAGGATGGAGTTCTTGCCAAGTTCATGCTAGCCGGTGTAGATAGATGCATTATAAACGATGCGTCAGTGGCTGTCCAGCGGGCCCACCAATACGCAAAGGAGATGCAAGAAGCGGCCGTACAGGGTCGTCAGCTTTATCCAGGGAGCATGGCTGCTGAAATGGCATATATGCCTCCACAAGGAGTGATGCCGTCTTCCTATTTGCCGCTTATTATGCTGGATGATCCCCTCAGAGCTATTCCGGAGAAGAGCAGGCAGGCGCGTCAAAGGCGAGCAGCGGCCGCACGCGAGAAAGCAATAATGAATGAACGCTACGCGAAGCAGGACTTAGACTTTGAAGAAGATGAATCCGTGTGTGAAGAGGTGACAGAGAATGTTGAGAGCGGTAACGACGTCAATGAGCGGACTATGATATACCGAATTCCGGGACTGTCAGGCACTGCTCCCGGAGAGTTCGTAAACGTTTCTCAATTGCTGCATGATGAAAAGGGAAATCATGCGCCACTTCCCCTCTTCAAGTCATTCTTTTACATTGACTCGGCTGAGCGCAGGCGCTCGTTGAAGCCTGAAGACCAGAGCAGCTTGATTGTTCTGGGGCAGTCTGGCTCCCCTCCAACGCTGTCAGACGAAAAGCTTGAAGACATTGAGGCGGCGAAGTACAACTACCTCCATGAAGAGCGACGAAAATTCGAGAATGATGTTAGGTCTGGTGTTCTTCTGGCAGCAGCTGAAGCGGGTGCGCTTAAAGATGACAGCAAGCTGGTGGATGTGGTGGACGCAACAAACAAAGTCATTCAAAAAATGGTACTTCAAGAAGCAAAGGCTGAACGGGCTCTTGAAGAGGCTCGGTATGCACTGAAGGGCATGGAACCCCCCAAGCGGCCTTCTATCGGAACAGTCACTGTGGTTAAACCAACACAAGATGCCATTTTGGATGCCAAGCCGCAGGCGCACACCACAGTAGGCGTGAGCCAAGAAACAATTCCTGAGGAACCGAAGCCCGCACCCGTAAACACAACAACAATGCCTGCTGTATGGGAATACGTTCCTTCTCATGACCCGGAGAAAGGTCCTACTGTGTTCCTATATCCTCCAAAGGGCCCACAGGCTCCAAGTGCCCCGGAAGTTCATTGCATCGCCAACTCACGCAACGAGGAGTCCAAGCAATATATGAACAGACGCATCCTTAAACCACTAGACTTTTCGCGCATACCCCCACCACCAAAAGTTGAAGATCTCGTAGGGTCCCTGGGTAATACTCATCTACAGTATAAGATGGCTCGCATCAACATGATTAAACAACGTTACGTCTCGGCCTCTCCTACCAGGAAAGCCAGTGAAGAATGATCACTGCCTGCTTGCTCCTCTTCGGACCATTCGATGGTTGTTAGCGGCTATTAATAAGCTGTCCATTGTCTGCGCGTACAGCTCGCGAGCGTCTCACTTCTTGAGGCTTGCATCTTGGGACGCGTCACGCTGTGATTGATGATATCAGCGCTTTCGCTAATGCAATCTCAGCTGACAAAGGGTTCGAAGTTGCTTTTGCGTCTTGAATGCTGTCGTGATATTGGGCGTATTCAGGCTCATCGCTCTTTTTAACGGAATTTAGCTTATTTTCTCTTTTACGAATGGCCTTCAGCAGCGGAGCTGCAATGCTGGGCTAGTATTTCCCTCTTCGGATGCACTTGTTACGTTTCCTTACTCCATTAGCTAGACGAAGGCTACACATTAAGCTCTTTGGAAAGAACTCGAAATATGTACTCGCCGCACAGCCTTTCAGTTTTTGAGGCGGGTGCTAACTTTTTTGTAGAAGCAAGAACGCATAGTACGCCTTAATGAAACAATTGTTGCTATGGCGTCATGAAGTGGTTTCGCAGGTGTAGTACCCTACAGCCACATGTTAAGTTTATTTGTAGTAGCGGTAATTGCCACCCTAAGGAAACGCATCAGTGGGTACATTCAGTGGCAGACGAACGCACAAGGTGCAACTCTTAGCTAGCGTGACTAAGCCCTTTGGACTTCGGGCACGAGGTGAATCATCAGTTAAATGCTAGCATTTGGTTGATCTTGGAGGGGCTGTGCTTTGCTGGCCAGATAGGTGTTGACTTCCTCAAGAAGGCGCCGATTTAGCTTCATCTCCGTCTGGCTAACCTGCACCACAAGTGGAGAAGTATAGCAGATAAGGAAGTGAATGCTTGACACATCTATGGATATCACTTTACCAAAGGTAAGGTGCGCAAGAGCTGTTACGGTGGTTCTGCGCCTTGGTCCGGGGTTAGACAGGCACTAGAGCATTTGCATTTGCAGTGGTAATCATGCGCGCGACTGGTCTCCTGCACACCAAAATATCCTTGTTGTGCTTTCGCTCCTCCATCTGCTGGATCAGGAGATCCTGCTGACGCTTGCAAAGTTCTCTTCTGTTGCGAAGCTCCACCTCCTGCTTCCGTTTGTACTCCTGAAAGTAAGCCCGACGCAGTGTCAAGCGCATGTAATTGAAGTTCGCACAGCTAGTCCCACAATGAGTGCGCAAGAAACTTCGGTAAGCGTTTTGCTGCGCTGTGGTTGCGCAAACACCGCGCACTTCTGCATCGAGCTCCTGTTGTTTCTGTATTTCGTAGCGCTCCTGCTTTTCCATCCTCTTCTGCCGCTGTTTTTCTTCTTGTTGAAACTTCAAAAACTCATGAACCTTCAGTTGTTCCTGGGTCAACCACAATTGCACGCGCAGTAGCACAAGAACAAAGTGAGCATTGCGTTTCCTGCATTAGTGGCCAAATGCATATTGCCAAGAGGCCCACAACAACAGCTTTGGTGTAACTAATTTGGTTGTGTGCATGGTCACCGCCTTCTTGCGGGCCGCAGCTTCCTTTTCCATGGCTTCCTTTCGAGCTTGGTCTGCAGCATCCCGCTTCAGTGCATACTGCGTGGCCAACTCTTTCTGGAAAGTCGCGGCAACACAGATGCTTCGCAAGCAGCCCGGCACTAGCAAAGTTACTCCCTTCACAGAAGCAGCGCTCTTATATTTTTGTCTCCGCATGTGTTTTTTAGAGCACATGCGGTGTTGTAGCTTATGGCGAGGCACCCGAGGGTGACTACAACAACTGCATGTCGTTCATTCACGTGAAAAGCCCTGCTATAAAGAGTTTGCCTTGCCTTGTCAACCGTTGCAAGCATGGCAATTTTGTCCGCACGGCTTTGATGCAAACTGAGTAGCATCTGGCGCTCTTGCTTGGAACGCTCGGCTGCCTCCTTCTCTAACTGAACGTTCAGCTTCAGAAGACGCATATCTTCCTCTTGTTCCTTCTTCGCGCGTGCTTCAGCTAGTCGGCGTTCCGCAGCTGTCACCTGGAGGCAACTTCACCAAATCCATTAAGCGAAACTCACACTTGGTGGTAGCTCCTCGCCGGTACTTCCCCTGCAACGCTGTGCTCAATATGACTGTTCCGCCTCCAGATTGTGGATAATGGAGTGCTATTAGAACCGTGCAAGGAGGTGTGTGCGCAACCCAAGTCTTCTCCACTGCTGAAGAGCGCAAAAAACGAACCTCCAAGATTTCCTGCATGGCACGAGCCTTTTGCTGCTTTGCTCTCAAGGCCATCCGTCTCTCGATTTCAATGTCCTTTGACACCTGTTCAAGGATTTCACGGCTTTCCCGCAACTGCTCGGCTTTGGATTCCTGCACATAATTCGCATCGGACTTTCTCCTTGGTGCACCTGTATTGCCCTCCGTGGTACGGGGGAAATGTTATTTATTCATGCTTGGCATTGTTGGTCTACCTCAAACAAAGGACAATATTAACGAGCAGCCACGTACTTCCTCAAGTTTATGCCTTTCCAGCATCTGCGCATCAAGGACTTCTTTTTGAAGCTGCATCTTTTCATATGCAGCCTTTTGCTTTGCGCGTTCTTGTTCCCTGGATTCAGAAACGCAGTATGCTGCTGTCCCACTAACTCAAAACTTTGCTCAACGAAGTAGGGTTGGCAGCAAGCTATATTTAAGAAAAGGACGAACTTCCACTGCTCCAGGTCTTGCTGCAGCCTCTTTGCGCATTCGAGGTCGTCTAGCTTTGCAGCTTCTTTTTGGCGCCTTCAGAAACACAACCGGCGGAGGAAGTGAAACGTGACACAGCTTGAGTGTGCGTGAGCGACTTATTGTACCGCAACAAGCCATTCATTTCAACTTTTGCTCTATCTGCACCATAGAATATTCGTTAAGAAAAGGTACAAATTACGACTACTGTCACTAGTGGCTAATTCACTCACCGCTGCTCCTCAAGTTGAGCCTCAAGTTCGCTCCTCAGCCAGTTTTTTCTCCTTATGCGCTCTTCTGCGCACGCCTGTTCTACTAACTTCGCTTTAAAAGAGTTATATTCGTCAACCTTTGCCCACTGCACAGAGAGTTCAGCGCATGCCATGGAAAGCTGCGAGCCGTCAGCCGCTGGCGGGCGGAATCGTCAAAGCACTCATGCTGCAGCGCAGTGTATTGCACTTTCTGGCAGTGCTGCTGCCATTCGACGTCCCTACTTTCTCATAAGAGGGGGTTTTAAGTGTAGCAAATCTTTGCTTTGGCTGAAAGGCTGGACCCTCACATTCAAGTTTTTGAATTCTTCAGTAAGCTCTTGTGTAGTCTTTCGGTGTTGCAACGGAGCAGCGTCGTCACTGGTTGCCATCGTTTGCATCCCTTGAAGAGACTGTGTCGTGGGCTCTGCTGTATCTGCTACAACCTGGTCGGTGCGGACGATCAGCAACATCACAATACTATGGTAGAGTGGGATATTTGAGCGGCACGCTAGTTGAGCTGAACTAAAGCAGAGTCACTACGCACCGTTGACTGGGTGGAACTAACTATAAATGGAACTTATATGGCGCGGCATGACTGGAAACAGACGTTTCTAAACGCAGAAGGGGAATAAAGGCAGTGCCCCGTATTCAACAGCCACTGCACTTCCTTTACCCCCTTCCCTCTCCTGTACTAAGACCACTTTGCTCATGTACTTCGCCTACATTTGGAGCATCAAGCGGCTTAGGCGGTGACGCCGAAGAGATAGAATCTTCCGTCTGCTTTACTGGTGCTTCACGGCTATTACACAGGTCTGGCGATCCGTCAGCTCTCTGCAGGGGTAAGCGCAATGCCTATTCCAAATTAACATTATCTAGGCGGGGGATCCACCCTCTGGATTCACTCCAGGAAGAAGGCTATGACCATTAGGTACCGTGGTTCACAAAATAATGTATGCAAGATCGCTGTGGTAGGTGCTGTTTGCGTGGCAGAGAGGCATGCAAATGCAGCTATTGGGGATTTTCCACTGGCTTCTCCTTCCAGCAAAGTGGCATATCTCCTTCCTTTTGCACGGTGTCCGACCGTATGACATCCTTTAACGAATTACCAACTGTCGATCGTTACCAGTACTAGGGGTTGTTCTTTGCATCGGTTCCTGCTGCACTCTGTAGCAGAGAAACGTAGCTAACCTTTGTCGTCATGGTTTGTAATTTGACTGAGTGATGGTTTTTTTCTTCCTCTCTCTTCCGTTGCAACAACTTCTGTTGGCGCGAAGCGTCCATATAGGGGCTAGGCTTGAGATAGCTTGCGCGAACCCTAACAAAATCGCCGCAAGTTCTGGGCAGGTACTGCTGCTTTGGCAGCGAATCGTGTAATAATTCAATACTCAGACTCGCGCACGCAACGAAGCGAAAACATATGGGAAACTTACGTGGTCGTCCACGGATCCTTGCGTGCGCTTTGCCTCGGTGGGTACATCATTGTGGCGGACTCCACTGCAGGCGCACTGCTCTGTTTTCAGGGCTGGGCTGTGGATGAAAAGAGTAGAAGGCTCTCGTACACCCCGTTTTACTTCCCCTTTTCACCTGTCCAGTCAAAGGGGAAAATCTTGTCGAATAGAACGGATGATTTAGCGAGGCTCCCAATGTATGGTCAGCATTCCTAGATATTTACTCTGCGGAACTCGAGGACTCTCAATTCGTTTAGACAGCACTCAGCTTCTGCGCTCGTCTGGAAATTTGCTTGGTACCTGGAAACAAGCTGGTTGAGCTATTTAGGAATCGCGTGGCACCAAAGAAGACTGGTGACCCGCAGGTGCTCGCGATCGATGCAGGACTTGCGCGGCTACAGAGTCAACGATCCCTCCGCCGGAGCTCGGATATCTACTAAAGACTAAGCATTTTGGAGGAACGGATGCCCAGTATTTATGCCTTTTGATTTAGTTCCATGCTGCATGGGCAGCTGGCACGCCGATTGGCTGCGGGGCCCACCCATACTTGGGGTTGCCTGGGCCCTGTACACTCGATTTGCTGTTCGCCTGAAGACATATGAAGGCTGAGCCTCCTTATTCCGATTTATTGACACAAATAATATATATTTAGTTGGGCTTGTGAAGACCTGCCCACTTTGTGAAGCCCACGCACTGGTTCGCCGCGCCCGCACCCCTCGTGTCTCGTCCGACAACGTACGTGTGTGACCCAGATCGTCCCTCATGTTGTAGCTGTGTACACAACGCAACTGAAACCCTCCTCGCATTTTAAATTGCGTTTCAAATTCCTCAGCACTTTATCTGCTGTTGTATCCACAACGGGTGTAGGTCGGAGCTGAGTTGTATAGCAGAAAGTCGTCCACAAACATAATAAGAACGGCAAACTATCAACGGTAGTGTGCATATGATCTTCCAACGGCGACAGGGGCGGTGTGCTATGTACGCCCGAGTGGTCTTGCTGTGCGCTCTATGCAGTGAAGAGCTGTTCCAGAGGGCACTTGTTTGTTACTTTTGGACGCAGTGCAGAGAAACCACCATGCATTCTTCCAGGAGAAAGGGCCGCCAGTTTCATTTCCTCAGAACTCTAGCTATACACTTGTATGAATGAAAATCCAGCTGTCGTAACTAGGTCTGATCACAGTCACCATAGCTCGCGTGAGAGGCACTCTCTGCAAGGCCTAATAGAAACATATTACGTAGAAACATTGACTTGCTGCTTTTCTGTCGTTGTGGATAACGATTGTAGTTTCTCCCTAGTGAACCTAAGCAGCTGTTATATAAGCAGCCTCCCAGTCCTCTTCATAACACCCCCCGCTGTATTTGACTGGTTGAAAATGGGTTACTTTTAGTCTCTGGGAGCCAAACGCTTCTTGCTGTAGCAGATCTGGGCAGCTCAGCGTTTGGGTGTTCCCCTCTTAAAAGTTATCCCTCTTCGCTGGCCGTCTGTACGTCTGTATAGGTCTCTGCTCCGCTTCCTCGCAGCAAACACTAGGTCTGCTTGCCGGGTGTAGAGCCAAACCACATGCGATGAGCATACTGCCAGGTAGAAGAGGCCTGGCTCTAATGCCACCTGTGAAACCCCGTGTTTCCTTCTTATTTTATGTGTACCCGGTGAACTGGTGCAGTTCGGCAGCCAAGCTCGCTAAGAACAAGTGCTGAAAACGCGAGATCCTCTCTTGTGTGTGATGGGTAGTGGTTGCAATGGAACTTGTGGATACGCAGCTGTGATGAGCGAATTATTGAAATGTCACTGCGGCCGCAAACATCCTGGTCACTGCCAGGCCCATTTCAAGTTTCACCATCCACTTGCCAACCGTGGAATGCGCAGGCGCACCGCCAGTCGAAAACAGCTACCCAGAAACTTCACGGGTAGGGTTTGCATGACGCTTCGCGCGCCCTCCGCCAGAGGAAAGAACAGCAAAAGCAACGCCACAACCGATTAGTAACAACAGCATGCGGTCACCGCTGCTGCTGAGACACGTGTGGGTGTAGGCGACGGAGTGCCCTCCTCAGCAAATGCTGCCTTGAGGCTCCCTCTGCTAGGCACAGTGACCTGCGGAGAGCGTCTAAGCGGCAAAGACGAACACTGCACGGCGTGGGAGCGACCAACCTGCGTTGTTGCCCCCAACAGTCATTGACATGCACCGGTCCCTCAATTAGTGCTTCAGCGTCCCTTGTTGGTGACCTGCGAGCCGCCGAGTACGGAGTAAGTAATTCACTATACACAACAGGGCGCTAGGCCTTGCTCAAAGTCGAATGCGGAGCCACTTCCGTGTCTCCCTCGCTGCCCGTTTCCACTTCACAAAGAGACGGCGCGAGCGGATCAATCGCTTTCTGTGTCTGAGGCTTGTTTAGCGCCCCAGGGGGCTAAAGCTGCACCAGGCATTCCTCCCGGCCGCGAGGTTCCTTGCCCTCCTGCCCCCCCTAGCAATGGCTGCTTCGTCAGTCCCCCAATACCGGAAGCTGCCGCTCTGTTCCTGGACGTGAAAAAGTCAATGATTGACTTTTGCTTTACAGCTGCTGCTACAGCTGATGCAGCAATAGAGCCCCCGGCGCCTGGAATCCCCATCTCTGCCGCTTGAACATACGCCGCCACTGCATCAGCCGTTTTCATGGGTACGGTTCTCCTTTGTCGCTTCGATGCGGCAGAAACTGTCGCGACGGTGGCGCCGCGGGCGCCGCTACTCGACCCATCAATGCTTTGTCTTTTACCAGCAGCCACCTTTACTGCACCTTCTGGAGCAGCAGCTACAGTAGCTGCTGCAGGAGCAGCTGCAGCGGCAGATGGGACACAGTTAGCCCCCGGGGCCACAGACGAAACCCCCGACGCAGGCGCACCCACCCTCGAAACTCCGATCACTTCAACCTCGCTGTTTGTGTCTGACGGAGGTGTCATCAGAGGCTTCTCCCCCTCACCCGACGCACCAAGCTCAAGTTTCTTCTGATCGTTGTGCAGGCTAGCCATGTTCGGCCCCGGACCTCGACCGTTTGCGGCTGAGAGAGTCGCCAAGACTTGTAGTTCCGTCTGCCGCTTCAGGAGTAGCAACTCTTTGCTACGGTTCAAAATCATCGAAATGCGGTCTTTGCTCGCAGCCACGTTGTTCAGAGAGGGCACATTGTTCTGGGATGCCTGAGAAGCTGCTGCGGAGGCTTGACCAATGGGCGAACCCACGGTCTTTTTGCTCGCGCTGAAGCGCGAGGCGATCGCATGCTGAAGGCCAGCAGCCACCATGCACTCCTCCAACACCCGGTCAGCCTGTTGCAGAGACACAAAGCAGGAGGCGGAGATGAAATCTTCACCTGCACTCGCAGCACTGCGCTACCGGTGTAGGGGAGAATACTTCTCAACCAGAGGTGCTAGCAACCTACACGGGCGCTGACTGGCAATCAGCTACCACGGACGGCCACACAGCACAATCTGCGGTGTATCCATGAGTTCAAGAGGGCAGCACAACAAAAATATGCAGAGAAACAGAGGCTCACCGTTTCCTGGTACTGCTGGAAGAATGCTTTGAGCCGTTGGGGAGATGCCGAAGCATATGAACTCGGGTTCGGGTCGGGAATGGGTTCCTTTGTAAGCAGCAACTCCGCCACAAGACGCATTTTGGCTCGCCGTTCATCATACTGCAGCGAGAAACGCATGACGCAACAAGAACTCCGCTGGCTTTTAGGAAATACAGAACTACCAAAGACCTTCAGAATGAACTTTCGAGTGGATGACAACGGGAAAATGCGAACCACAGAGGGGAAGCCGTACCTCCTGCAGCTGTTCGGTCGTGAGCGTCGGGCAGTGCTTCCGCGTGTGGGAGCGCTTGCCTATGCGCCACTCGTGGCACGCCGCGCAGACTTGACGTTGCATGTACTTCACTCTTTGGTCGTTGCCTGCTGCTGCTGCTGCTGCTGCTGCCGAGGCACCCCCCCCTGCATCCGCAAACCCGCCCTGCAGCAAGGCAGCTGAGCTAGCGAGCGCCCTCAATGCACTCTGTGGGATGACCGGCGAAGCCGATGCATCGGAACCCTCCTTCGCTGCTCCACCTTCTCCAGGGGAAGCGTCCAGGTCTATCACGGCATCTGCTCCCCCCGCCCCTCCTGCGCCTCCCGCTCCCGAATTCTGCTCGGACTGCGAGGCCGGCCGCGCGCGAGCCACAAACTTTTGAATCACTTCATCAGGGAAACAGCAGGGACCTGGGTAATCCTTAACTCCGTGACAGGGAAATCGACAGTTGTCACAAACCGAAAGACTCTGAGAAGGCAGCTTCATGTTCGCCAGTTGGTTTGTCGGCTTCTTCGACGCCTTCTTTATTGCTGCTGCTGCTGCCGACGCCAAAGCAGCTTGCCCATCGGCTCCTGCAGCAGCAGCCGCACTCATTGCTTCTGCCACAGCAGCCTCTCGAGAGGCCCTCTGTGCGGCTTTTGCTGCTGCCGATCTCTTCTCTATTTCCGCAAGAAAAGCAGCAGGGAAGAGCCGCTGGTACGCCTGTCTCAAGGCGATCTCTGCAGCCTCGTCCAGCCTATCAACTGCTTGTTTATGGTCAAACCAGCGCCGTTCCTCCTCTGCCCTCTGGCGCTGCAAGTGCTTCATCTCGTCCTTCTCAAGCCGCAGCCTCGCGCCGTCTAGGTGCAACTGTCGCTGTTGCTGTCGCAACTCTTGTTGCATCAGCTTTTCGTGGTCCTTCTCCTCCTTCGTCAGCCGGCGGCGCGTCTGCTGCTCCTCCACAGCCTTGCACTTAGAGCAAAGGAGCAAGATCCAGTTCTGCGGGGTTACGTTCATGCCCCGCTGCCGAAGCTGCATGTAGTAGTCCTCGCCTACGTTGTAGCGGCAGTAATCTGGCGGGAAGCAGTCGTAGCAGAAGGAGGTGGGGCAGCGGGCGCAATGAATGAGCATGTTGCCGCACTGTGAAGTCTTGCGGAAGCACAAACAGCATTCGTGCCAGCGACAACGCCAGCTCTTCTTGACGTCTTTGGGCAGGCCTTCGCAGCAGCGGTGATAAACCTTCGGGCAACCACTGCAACAAACCAAATCTCCATACGCAACCTCCACCGGTTTCCCCTCTCGGTCTACCGAGCTCTGCACGTGGTCCTTCCCGTTGCCGCACACGAAGCAGCGCGTCTCGTGACGCAGTTTCCGCCGCTCCTCCCTGAGATAGATAGCACGCAAATCAGCAGCATAGCTTCCTTTCCCCTCCAGGAACCGACCACAGGCACAAGCAAAACCCCACTCAAGAAAAGTACAAGCAAGAAAGGAGATCCAAAAGAATTTACGTAGAAATAAGGCAATATTCCGTGTAGACCGCACGCGAGGGCACACCAGCTTCCCCACTCACCGCTGAGTGAACTCCTGAGGAACGTAGAGAGCCACTGGCTTTTTGCGTTCTCTTCCTGAGCGCCACAAGACCCCCGCACTCTGCAACTCCGCCTCGAGGCCTCCCTTGCCGCCCACGCCTGTCGCCGTCGCCTCGCACATCTCGCACTCCTCCTCAGCCCCACCAGGAGATGTGCTTCCGCTGGGTTTGGCCTCATCCCCGTCAGTGGAGGGTTTCCCGCCTGCGCCTTCGCAGGGCCCTTCTGGCGCTGGCGGCTCCTCAGTGCCCTCCGCCAGGTGCTGCTGGTTGCGCCGCTCCTCAGCCTCTTCATCCATGACTTCGTTGATGTCGACCAAGTTCTTCTCGTCCACGTCTTCCTCAAACGACGCCGACGCCTCCAACACCAACGGCTCCTCGTCCTCGCCAAGCACTGGGAGCGGTTGCCTCGGGCGCGAAACCAGATCCTCCAGGTACATGTTCCCGATGTCCTCAGTGCCAGTTGCCGCCATTTGCTGCAGCACGAAACGACAAGAAGAACAAACTCTCACTCAGCAACATAAGCTGTAAGACGCTATCATTGAGCTTGCTGCATAGCTGCTCGAAGCTGTTTTACCGCCTCAGCTGCACAGAGCTGAAAAGTTGGCGCACAACACTTGGGGCTGCACTGGAGTTCGCCGTGCTGTGGAGTTACGTACAACAATTGCCTTCTTGCCATGAAGCATGAGCCTTCGGACTTCGTCTGTTGATATCTTCTCGGACCTCTGCTCCTTAATGTCTTCGCCGTCCTCTCCATCTAAAGCTTCCGCCTCCTCCTCTATCTGCTGCTGCACCAGCAGTTTGTCTAGACGCAGCTTCTGCTCGCGTCGGAAAGCCATGCGCTCCTCCACAGTCCACTCGCTAACCAACGACCAAACGTGAACTTCGCGCTGCTGCCCAATGCGGTGGGCTCTGCAGCAAAACAGCAGCACAGCAGTTTGTCGCGCAGCCCCCGTTACGCCTCTCTTCTACGTGACAGCCGGTAAAAGAACAACGCTCAATAGTCGTGCTGCTAACATTTAATGTCTTAGTTCGAGAAACAGCTACCGCAATTGGTATCGAAATGCCCCCCAAGCCCTCCAGACCATTTTAGCCGCAGGCACTACAACGAAACCTTGTATCAGGATTAAGGATGCAGAGCCTTGAACGCTTCCAGTTGAGAACCATACAATCCAGAATACGGGAAATGAAAGAAGCAAAGGTGTAGCAATGGGGGGGAAAAGCAAAGCCTACCTGTCTACCGCCTGAAGATCTATGAACGGGTTCCAGTCATGGTCGTATATCACCACGTGGTTCGCCGCCGTCAAGTTAATACCCAGGCCACCAGCCCTGGTGGAGATTAGGTAGACGAAGTAGCACGTGTTGTCATTGTTGAAATCCCGAATGTCCAACTCGCGCACAAACTTGTTCGTTGACCCGTCCAGCCTAACATACCCACACAAGTGCAACACAGAGCACGCACCGTGCATTCACACACCACAGCCCTCCATATTACTGGAAGGTTAACCCTCTTCGGTAGCCCAAAGCAAACGCCTCCCTGCTAGCATAAGCTACAACAAACACCTGCCACCGACTAGAGGTGTATGCTGCCTCCTTACCGCAGGTATCGCCATCCCCTGTACTTGCAATATGCCTCAAGTTCATCTAAAACGAGTTGAAACTGCGTGAAAATAAGCAGTCGCTGCACCCTGGGAGTATTGGCGGCGTCGGTCTTCGCTGCTTTCTCTCCCCCGCCGTTCTTGAGGTCGCTGCGATCGCTTTCGGGTGACGGTTCCTGTGCCTTTACTTGGCCGTCTGTGCTCTGAGCTGCTGGTGTTCCTGCTGGTGTTGCTGCTGCTGGTGATGCTGGTACAACAGGTACCTCCCTCTTCGTATCTTCAGCCTGTGTCTGAGGAACCGTCGCGACGACGGGCTCCGCCTTCACAGGCTGCGCATCAAGGGCCTCTACACTCTCCTTGTGGTCTTTGTGACTCGCAGGGCTCCCCGTGCAGCAGGCTGTCGGTAGGTTACTCTTGTCCTCTCCTTCCCGCTTCTCCTCGGATGAAAGCGGGCTCTTGACTGTCATCGCCGCCGTCTCATTCTCTCCTGCGGATTCCTGAGCGGCTGCAGCTGTTGGGGTTGAGGGAGCGGCATCCGTTGTCGCCCCTGTTGCTTCTGCTCCCCCCGGTGCTGCTGGTGTTGCTGCTGCAGCACCGCCGTCTGCTTGCACCAAATCTTCATCGTCTACAATGAGGTTTCGTCGGGAGCGCCGCTCAGCTCTGCTTCGAGGCTGGTCCTCTGGAGCCGTTGTAACAAGCACAACGTCTGCATCTGATGGGTCTCTATCAACTTCTTGATTCCGTCCTTCCACTCCCTCGTTTTCCGACGCTTCGTCGAGCTCGCCCTGTCCTCTCTTCCGCTCCTGCAGCTCGGGGTTGCAGGACTCCTTCGTTGGCATCACCGGCTCTGCAGCAAAGAGCCCTTCCTTCAGAAACGATTCATCTCTCGCAGTCGTCAAATCTCTGTTCGGCATACCCCGCTCCAACAAGGCCCTGTACTCGGGAATCCCAATAAGTTCGCTTCGCTTCGGTCGTCTTGGGGGCTTCCTTCCTTCTGCCAAAGCCGCCAACACCGCCTCCTCATGCCGCTTGTAAAACTCGTAAGTTGCCGCATCGTTCTTGTGCGCCATGTAGTCCCTCTGCGGCGCCCCACATAGGACAGACGCAACAACATTCAGAAAGATGTCACCACAGCCAAAGGCTGAAACTGAAATTTTCAATTCTTGCAAGGATATAGACTGCAGATAGCAAGGGCGTCGTCCTCACCTCGTATGCCGGGACATATTTGCAGTTCAAGAAATGCAAATGGCACATTAACTTGTCTAAAAACAACAACTTTGAGGACCCAGCAAGGTGGGCAGCGCCTTCAACGGCCTGCAACTCTCTTGCTGCCTTCGTCACCTCCTCCTGAAGCGCCGGGTCTTCTTGGCTAAAGAACGCCTGCAGCCTTTGCAGCTGCGACTCTCTTGCACAAACGCCCTTAGGGTGCGCGCTGCAAGCAGAGACACAGGCACCAGCAGCGTGTTGCGTCGTTCAAGAAACAAGCAGCCGCGGTGTTGGTATGAAGTTCTGCATTTAACTTCAACATTTTCAAAGCAAAGTGTAAAAATTCCGTAAGGACGCTAAAGGTCTCGCACACGAGCCTACCACAAAATGCGCATTTTGATCACGAGGCCGAGCATCTTTCTGAAGTTGACTCGGGCAGAGTTCGACCGGGCTTCTTCTTGGAGGGATTTGATTTCAAGAAGTCTGCGGTACCACTTTGCGCTCAAGTCGGAAATGGGAAGCCAAATATCATGAAAGACTTTCCGCGGCAGTGCAATGGCCTGCTCCTTTAGACGCCGTAGCATAACTCTGTCTAGCAGCTGCCTTATTTTGTTCAAATCCTCCTGTTTAAACATCGTATCTACATCCATCTCCGCCAGCGCAGCTGCCTTTGAACGACCCCGCGGCTGTTTGCTGCCGGATTTCCCCGCGGCAGACTTCGCGTTCTGAGCAAAGGCCTGTGGAAACGAAAAATTCACAGGTTCACAAAACACAAGAAAGCAGATCCTAGCCGTGTTCCTGGCTCGCATTGTGCTCGTGGCCCTTTGGGCAGCTATGGCGCCGCACACCGTGAACAAAAAATGCACGCATACATACATAAATACACACAAACATGAAAGCAACTCACATATAGAATATGAACAGCGCCTGGCGTTATTCGTGAACTGGGTGGCGGGTAATACGGGCATGCAGGAGAGGACAGTTTGAGTTGAACGCATGACCACGCAAATCCATACACAAATCCACCGACAGGGCTAACATGAAGCGAAGACAAGCAATGGCCCATACCTGTTCAATGACGAGGGAATCCCTGAAAACGTCCGGCATGAGGAAGTTGATGAGGGTAAACAACTCCTGAGCGTTGTTCTGCAAAGGGGTTCCCGTTAACAGAAGACGCATATTTCCCTGCACCCGATCGAGAGAGTGTCGAATCGCGCCGGAAGCGTTCTTAATACGGTGAGCTTCATCTAAAGAACAAACGAACAACACGCATACAAACAAATGAGCAAACGAACAAACAGCGGACAAACAAGTCCCACTCCAGCCAAACCAGCCCATCAACCGATCACAAGCTGCCCTGGCCTACCAAACACGGGCAACAGCGACTTGAGCTAGAGCCTCAAATACAACAAACTCAACGTAAATAACTAAGCGTCTCGAAGAGAAGACACTCGCCCCCTTAGCATCGCAGCTGATGAGGCCCCCACGACAGCTCTTACTCAAATCATTCAAGTATCATGCATGGCCAGAAATCCACTCGTCTAGCCGTCAACCAAGAGAATGCACTGCTAAGCCCCAAACCCTAATCAGTCAAATTCAAGGGAAAGAGCCTCAGGCCTCTCCAACGTACCCAAGACAATACATTGCCAGTGAGGAATCTGCTCAACGAAGAATTCTTCTTCGCTCTTCACCGTCTCGTAGGTCGTGACGTACAAATCGTAAAGGCCTTTTGCTGCCACTGAAAACACACAAAAACAAGCAGACGCGCTCCCATGCTCCTTCCCTCTGAACAACTGTCTGGAACTTACCTGAACACTTCAAAGACGCTATCAACAGGCATGACGCACAGAAACAGCAACGAAATACTACCCATACACAGAAACCCCCCAATGCCGAAAGGCCCAGAATTGCACGACCCTAAACCCTAGCAATAAAGAAAAAAAGCGAGTGGCAACCACAACAAAACAGCAGCAAACAAGAGCAAAACAACAAAAAATCCCGAAGCTTACGGCGGTCTTGCATGGCATGTTGCCTTTCGTTTCTCGAGCCGCAGATTTTGATGTGCGTCAGCGAGGGGGTAAATCGGTGGATTTCGTGCAGCCAGTTTCCCACAGTAGAAAGAGGTACAACAATTAAATGTGGCCCATCCACCTTCATGGCGCTTAAATACGAGAGAAAACACAAGGTCTGAATCGTCTTACCCAAACCTGTGCATACACACGAAAACCGTATCTAAATAAATGGAGAGAGGAGGAGAGAAAAAAGGAAATGACTGGAGAAAGGCAGGACACCCGCCGGCTTAATCACTTGCTCAGCCTCTTCAACGAATACAAAACTCCAAATGCATGCACGGCATACATGCAGATACACATACGAAAGCAGACGTGCCTATAATAACATACATCTAAATCTACTAAGATATAAGAATACACATCTGCCATACATACAAACATATAGGCATATATATGCCTAACGACGCCCGTTGTTGTTCTATGCACTATGCTTTGGCTGACCCATTTCATCGGCCAAGATGGCGCCTCCTGTGAGGAAAGAGCGTAGAAGCCAATCTACGCCTTCTTCTTGATGGGGTTTTAAAGTGATGCCTTCCCGCAGTGGCAGCCCCTCTATAGGCCGCCCAGATGCGTGGCGGCACGAGCGGTACGCCCGTCTTGTGAATTTTTCTGCTTCTTCTGCTGCCTCGTCTTCGAGTTGCTCCAATACATCCGACAAAGAACGCTCCACGCATAGACGAGAAGCAACACCACCACCTCGGCCCCCACGCTTTGAACCGCCACCTGCTATGTTTGCTGCAGAAAGAACAGAACAAATACACGAAAAACATGCGAATACACCTCAGCAAGAGGTGGATGCACACACACGACGCCAGGAAGAGATACTGACACAAATGCAGATCGGCGAACCCCCACCTCACACAAAAAATCCACAAAAACCAATCCAGCAGCATACAGCAGCAGCACAAAGCAGCAGCAGCAGGAAGAATTGCAGCAGCATGCGTATGGCTCCTTACCTTTGAGTGTCCTTGCAAGCGCCTGAAGTATCTTCGGGTTTACGAAGGGTCCTAGATCTTTTTGGTGCACGACGAGGAATCTGTTTCTGTACCGCATAACTTTGGATCTGTATTTTTCGTAGTTTTTCGCTCTTTCTTTTCTTTTGGTTTCTATTTCGTGCCGAGTCCATCGCTTGTGCATTTGATTGGCAAGAGGATCAAAGCCCTTACAGACGGGGCATTCCCATTCCTCTCCAATTGCATTCCAATCCACATCAACCAGACAAGACGGATGAAAAGAATTTACACAAAAATCACACCCCAGAAGCTTTCCTGGTCTTTGACAGACATAGCAGGTGCTGCTGTTTGCTGCATCACCGCTGCGAGGTACTGCTGCACCTCTGCCTAATCGCCTTATTTCTTCGGTATTAAATGCTGTGGGGTTGCAATCAGGGCAAAACCACTTCTCTTCATCCGGCTCTATCGTTAGCTTCAAACAAGACATATGATAAGAATGGGGGCAGCCGTCGCACATAATTAAGCGACCCCCAGACTCATCATCCACGTCCGCCTAAACAAATCAATTAAAACAAAACAAAAACTACCACCAGTAAACAAAGCAACATGTGCAAGCCGATGCAACAAAATAATCCAAGGAAAAACATCTATAAACATGTAAGCAATCGTCGAGAGGCATAAATGGAATACATATTTTATATATACACATATACATATATACATTATATATATATACTGGTCTAGATCTATGCATACATGCATTATGTACATATGTACACTTTAGAAAAGCACCATAGGAACAAGAATCCAATACCAAAATACATCCAAAAGACCGCTAGTTGAGAGACGAACGCCGAAAAGACAAGAATATATATATACATATATATATATATATGCATATATACGATGATGCCTATGGCACGCTTGCTTTACATAAAAGAAGAACTCCTCCCACAATCCACCGCATGCAATGCACAAAAGACAAATTTGGTTGGGTGTTTTCTGACCTTTCTGCAAAGGAAGCATTTATCATCATTTGTAATTTCATCTTCTTCTGCTTCTTCTAAGCACTGAGGACAGAGCCAAGTGCTGAGAGCGACCACCTCTCCTTGTCCTACTATTCCTTCTTGCTGCAGACACTCGAGATGGAAGCGCTTTGGGCATGCTGTACATTCAACAACAGAATCTTCACTCTTGCTTACGCTGTCTCTGCATATGTGGCACCACATAGGGCCCCCTCTACGTCTACCAACAGCCCCAATATGAGAGCCAGCAAGCAAATCATCTCCCCCTCCCTCTCGTATTGAGCACGCGCGTTGCGGACGCCCTCGGCCCCTGCTGCTGCTGTTACTGCTGCTGTTACTGCTGCTGTTACTGCTGCTGCCGCTGCTGCTGCTGCTGCTGCTGCTGCAGCCGCTGCTGCGGCTCCCGCTGCCCACCATTTTGCTCAGGAAACCAACGCGCTACTTGCACATTACAGAACGGGAAAGTAGATATAATATAATATAAATATCAAAGAAAGGGCTTAAACAACCCACCTCAAACAAAAGGAAATGAATATTTAGGTGTGTCTATGTACGAACAGGCGTACATACATACACCCCAAACTACGCCACACTATAACCAACAAAGCGTGCAGCGCAAGCTTATTATTATCGTCGCTGCGACCTTCCTCCTCCTGCTGCTGCTATTGCTGCTTCTGCGGCAGCAGCGTCCTAGCCGCGTATCCCAATAGCAAGGCAGATGCTTCCGGTGTATCGGCAGCTGAAACAAAGCGTCCACTAGAAAGAGCTGGTGATGCCGGTGTGACTAGAGAGTGCTGCAGCACAGCTCTTCTGCTGCTGCTGCTGCTTCGGTCGCTGCTGCAGCAGCTGCCGATGCTGACTGGAGCGAAGAAAACGGATGGGGCTTGACCTCCTGACCGCCGCAGCTGCAGCAGCAACAGCAGCAGCAATTGGGGGCGGCGCAGCTGTAGGGAAGTCGTGTTGCAGCGGAAGAGTGCGTGAGAAGCGCGCGATGCTGCAGCGGCAGCAGCGGCGTCTGCTGCTGCTGCTGCTGCTTGCTGCAGCAGACTGGCTCGTAGGAGCTCGCGGCAGGGAGAGAGAGCAGAAAAACCCAAACCGATGCAGCAGCAGCAGCAGCGAAGTGTAATGAGACGCCCTGCTGCAGCCCGCTGCAGCCGCAGACCCTAAAGAAAGAGGGGTAGGGGAGGCTGCTGCAGCTGCTGCTGCTGCAGCAGCAGCTGCTGCTGCTGCTGCTGCGCGGGAGGGAGGAAAGGGGGCAACGGCTTGCAGCCGCTGGTCTTAGGGGCCCCTGAGATGTACATGAGGACGCCAGAGACAGACAGAAGTATTTTAAACTCTTTTAACGATATTAATAAACGCAAAGACACTGCACAACCCGGCACAACCCGAACCGTAGCGGCCCCGCTCGCCTGCTGTGGCTGCTGTGCTGCTGCGCTGCTGCTGTGTTTGCTGCTGCTGCCAGCCCTGCTGCGTCTTTGGTCTCTTTTGTCTTTAATACACTCTTTGCATTATTATTTTCCTTTTTTTGCTGTTCTCACCACCTTCAAAGCACTCACTCAGACCCCAGACCCGTGGCTCTGCCGACGCGGGTCCTGCTGCACCGCAGCAGCAGCAGCAGCAGCAGCAGCAGCAGCAACGCCAGCTGCAGCAGCAGGAACGCCAGCAGCAGCAGCAGCAACACCACCAGCGGCAGCAGCACGCCTATACAGCTGCACCCCCTTGCTCCTGGTTCTCAGCCTTCTCTGGATTGTGTTGTTTCTGTTATTGAGCGTTGTTTTATTTGTCTCATTTAGAGGAGGGCTGCTTGTGGGGTTGTGCAGCACTCCGTTAACGGGCGTCTAAACCCTAAACCCTAACCCCTAAACCCTAAACCGTAGAGCAGCGGTGCCCTAGAGTCGCAACCGTTATTATTATATTCCAGTGTACATACACCTCATGCCTATGTTTGGCTGTTGCTGCTGCACACAACACGCGCTAGCTGCGGAACTGCTGCTGTACGGGGAGCTACCCTTACTTAACGAACCCTACTAAACCCTAAACCCTTTTATTATTGTGTTGTTTCAGTCTCTTCGCCAACCCCTGAGGAGACACCCGAGACACCCAACGACCGCAGAGCAGAGAGATGTGCATAAAACAGAAATAGCTGCCTCCCTCTCTCCCTCTATATATAGATGCATATACATACATATATATATATATATATACATGTATATATATATATATATATATACATATATATATATATATGTCGTATTTGGTTATATGTACTATGTAGAATAGACCACGAAACACCAAAAGTAGCAGCCTCTCCCTATATATATGTATAATATATATATATATATAATATATATACATATTTTACGCATAGTCGAATACATGTATATATATATATATATACGCCTAATCAAATACAACATATATAAATATATATATATATATATATATATGCATAATCAAATACAACATATGTAAATAAATAAAATATACATACATACATATATATATATATATATACGCATAATCAAATACAACATAAATATATATATATATGTTGTATTTGATTATGCGAAGTATATGGAATATATCTTTCACTGTAAATTGCAGTTTGCCGTTAAACACTGCGCTGAGTTTTTTGGTCTTGTTTTGAGCTTCTCTTCTGCATCTTTATCTTTTTGTCGATTTGTCTGTCTTTTATATACAATGTATATATATATATACATATATATATTTATATATATACTTACATTCTAGTATGCGGATATACTAGTTATACTAGATATAGAAGACGCATATATTTGCTGAAACAGCATTTGATACATACATATATATACAAATATACAATACGTATATATATATATATATATATATATATATATATATTTACACCTGTACATCTATACATCTGAGCGTATATATCATACTAAATATAAATTACATATATATATATATATATATATATATATATACATATGCAGAAGTGCATGCAGAGACCAGCAGTCGTCCGGGTGGTGCCAACAGGACAACCCAACAAAGAGCTGCTGCTGTTGCTGTTGCTAATGATGCTGCTGCTGCTGCTGTTGCTAATGATGCTGCTGCCGCTGCTGCTGCTACTAATGATGCTGCTGCTGCTAATGATGCTGCTACTGCTGCTAATGATACCGCTACTGCTTCTACTGATGCTGTTGGCGTCGCTGCTTCTGCTGCTGTAGCGACTGGCCGAGAAGCAGCAGCAGCAGCAGCAGCAGCAACAGCAGCAAGAGCAGCAGCAGCTACGCGCAGGCGCCGAAGGTGGGTAAAGATGTGGATTTGTGCGGTGTATATATAGCCAACGGAAGGAGGAAGCAGCAAAAGACAAACCTTAAACCCTTTAATACGCTTTAACAAACAAATAAAGGGAGACGATGCGCCAGCCCCAATATCGGTTTTAAGGTCTATGCATGCATGCAAGACTTCCCTCGAACGTGCATATACAGATACATATAGTTATACTCTGAATGCATATTTTATTATTTGCTGCTGCTGCTGCTGCAGCTTCTGTACAGCAGCAGCAGTACAAGCAAGCAGCCGCATGCAATGCGTTAGGCTGACGAACAAAACGAGAAAAAATGAGAGGGAACTTCAGAAGTCCTCATTCTACCGGTAGGGGCTGTTGCTGCTGCTGCTGTTGCAGCAGCAGATGCTGCTGTTGCGGCTGCTGCAGTATCAGCTGCCGTTGCTGCTGCGGCTGCTGTTGGTGTTGTCTTTATTCCTCTTCTGGATATACGTAGGGGCAGTCGTTGTAGAGTTTCTGAGGAGAAAAACAAACAAAGACAGAGCGACAAAACAGCAGCATGCAGCAACACAGACAAACAGAGATTAGCTGCGTGCACACCACGAGACAGCAGATATATATATATATATATATATATATATATATAAGAAACATGCAAAAATAGAGAGGAAAAGACAAGATAGAATAATAACAAGCAAGAGATAAGAAACAACAAATAGAGAAAAAACCAAAAGAGAAGAAAGACAGAAGAGACGAAAAATATTATCATTTCTTCTTTTTAGATTTCTCTCATTAGTCTATTTTCTTTTATCATTATTTCTTTCCTTGTCCTTTCTTTTTATTTATTTCTTTTCCCCCCCTTTTTTTCTTTTCATTTGTTTCTTTTTCTTTTCTTTTTCTTCTTTCTTTAAACTCACCCCTCGATTAACAGTCCTCCATATTTTATTCCAAGTTTCGCTCCATAGAAATGAAGTCGTCATCCCACCACAAACAACGAACGTCCAGTAAGACCAGTTGTTCTTTAACACATAGTCGTATATTCTGCAATTAACAAACACATAAATAGGGCACAAAATAAAGAGAAGCACATAGGAGATATAAAATATACAACAGAACAAGCGTTCGACAGAAAAAAACGAAGGAAAACGGAAAAAAAACAAAAGAATTGTAGCATTAAATCGCTGCGCATAGTACAGAAGCCGCCTCAAGCAAGCCAGAGAAACAGAAGAAGGCGAATGCATTGCGCTGATTTATTCATATTATTATTGTTATTTTTGTTTTTTTGTATATTATATAATGTCCTTGTCTACGCACTTGGTGGCGTTAAGCAGACGGAAGAAAGGAGCTAAAACGTCTTTGTCTCTGCGGCTGTTCTTCAATCCTCTCCATATCCACTTGGGGTAATCATCAGAGAAAGGATTTCCAAAGCGAAGTTTCTGAAAAAAAGAATTCACATTTTTTGTGTTGGAGTGCCCATGGGGGGCTGCTGCTAAGGAAAGCCGCGAGATACGGAAGAAACCCTGCATTATTGAATAAAATAAATCTAATATTCCTTAAATTAATGAATTTTATTCATGAATTCATCCTGAAATTAACTGCCGCTTTCCACCCTTCCAACGATGCTGTACATACACCCGGCGATTGGAACCGCCGCTGACTGCATGCAGCTGTTCTCACTCGTCGCAGTATTCGAACTATTATATTGTTTTTTCTCTTCTATAATTCACTTTATTCTTTTTCTTTAATTATTTCTCCCATTACAAACGCCCACGCCTCTCAGCACAGTCAACAAACACAACCCTACCACTGGAGTTGCCGCTCGTTTCTGCTGACTCGCTAATTTGCAGGCTTAGAACCAAACTAATATCTTTAAATGCATATTTATACTTATTTAAATATATGTTTATGTAAACGCATACCTATCTGCCTTCTTGTCGTCTACATGCATACTTTCATGATCTGTCGCTTATATTCATATATATAGCACTCGTACATCGCTGCCTTGCCTCTGTATATATGCCTTAATACGTTGTTACCTAAATAACTATATTTACCCATTTTTGTTTATATGTGTGCATTAGTACATTATTGCCTGTATATACACACAGTCGTTACTACATCCATGCACCTACTTAGCGCTGCTTCTACATACATCTGTACATTGCCGTCGACTTATTTATAAACATCTACAAATGTATATATATATATATATATATATATACTGTTGTCTTTAAACAACAAATCTAAAGCCTCGAAACGTGTGGCTCCAATACAAAGCCGCAAGCCCTGCACCGACATCACCAGAACGAGTATTCAGTTGGGGTGTATGCGGAGTTGCTGTTGGGTTTTGCGGGTTTAGTTAAGCAATGTTATTTCTTTTAATTAGGAAACAAGCATTTACTGTAGGGATTACTTATGGCCTAAGATACAAATTAATTGTGCATGCGGGTTTGCTGCTGCTGCTTATCTCTATACAATGCCAGCACAGGCTACAAGCATGCAGCTGCGTGTCTTTTTTTCTATTCCTTTTTTGGGCTTAGCAGCAGCAGCAGCAACAGCAGCAGCAGCAACCAACCTTGCACGTGCACGTCATAAGAACAGTGCTGCTGGTGCGGCTGCTACTGCTACACCTACTGCTGCTACTAATACTCCTGGTGCTGCTGCTACAACTGCTGCTGCTTCAGCAACTGCTGCTGCTGCAACAACCGCTGCTGCTGCAACAACTGCTGCTGCTGCAACAACTGCTGCTGCTGCTTCTACTTCTCAGCTTCTCTGCAGTGTACGTACACCGGACGGCACCCTCATATTTGTGTTCAGCCTCCCGCTGTAAATAAAAAACAGACCTAAATACGCTGCACTGCAGCGCCAGTTGCGGCATCTGCTGCTGCCGTTGCTGCTGCTTCTGCTGCTGTTGCTGAAGGTACCCTCTTTGTTTGCTGATCTGCTGCTTTTATTTCGTCTGCTGCACCCCCCAAAGGCGGCAGCAGCTGAAGCGCGAAGAACTGCCCAGGAAGAACGCGAGACAGCAAATTCTGCATCGCTTTGTGCGCCTCAGCACGCATCTCCTGCAGCAGCAGCCGCAGCAGCAGCAGCAGCAGCAGCAACAGAAGAAACGAAAACATTCAATAAACGGATTACAGAGTAGACTTATAGCACGTACATATCCAAATGCTGTATGTAACAGCAGACATAACTGCAGCAGCAGCAACGGCTGTAGTACAGCAGCAACAGCAGCAGCAGCGGCTGTAGCAGCAGCAGCAGCTACAGCAGCGGCAGCAGGAACAGCAGCAGCAGAGGGTCTTGCGCTCACCGGAGACACCGCGCAGGCCAACTGCAGCACCAAACCTAAAACCAACGAAGCGTTGGAGGAAACCCTGCATGAAGCAGCAATAGCAGCAGCAACAACAGCAACAGCAACAGCAGCAGCAAAACGAGAGCAGCAAACTGTCACTTGAGATACGCCAAGGGGTTCTGAGCATCGCCGGCAACAGCAGCACCAACATTCGATGCAGCAGCAGCAGCATTCAATGTAGCAAGAGCAGCTGTTGCTACTCCTCAGCAGCAACAAACGGAGCAGCAAGCGTGACAACTGCAACACCATCCGCAGCAACACGAGCAGCTACCACTGGGTCCAAGCAGCAGCAGCAACAGCATCATCAACAGCAACAAGAGCAGCAGCAACAGGAGCAGCAGCAAGAACAGCAACAGCAGCAGCAGCAGCAGCAACGTACATGCTATCTGGGAGCGCACACAGCCCCTGGAGGACAGCACAGCGGAGGACAGTCGACAGACTCGCCAACTCTCGGCTGCCTTCAGCCTGCGCAGTGTACAGACAAAGCAGCATGCATGCACAGATGCTGCTGCAGATGCTGCAAGTGCTGCTGCTGCTGCTGTTGTTGCTACTGTAGCGGCAGCAAATTTAGCTGCGTCAGGCGGTGCCGCGAGCGCAGCTACGAGGAGCCCTGTGGAGAAGAACAGCTGCGGTAGCAGCAGCAGCAGCAGCAGAAGAGAAGTGCAGCAAGAGCAGCCACCTGAACTGCTGCAGCAGCAGCACGCTGGGTCCCTCTTACCAACTCTGCCTGCTGAAGCGCTCTTCCCGTGTCGCGCACAAACCCCTCCTTCGCGGCAGACGCTTGCTGCTGCTGCAGCTGCTGCAGCAGCAGCAGCTGCTGCTGCTGCTGCTGCTCCACCAGCCGCTGCACCTGCTGCTCTTTCCACAGGAATTGCACGACGTGCCACCAGCAAAACCGCAAATAGCGAGGAAGCACAAAGGCCGAGACGTCTGGTGCTGCTGCTGCTGCTTCTGCTGCTTCTCCCGCTGCTGCTGCTGCATCTCCTGCTGCTGCTACATCTCCTGCTGCTGCTGAATTCCGTGCCGCTGCAGCAAGCTTCCCTGAGGCCGGGCCTATCTCTGAAGCGTTACCATATGTCTCGCGCTGCCCGGTGCTCTGCTGCTGCTGCTGCTGTTGCTGCTGCTGCTGTTGCTGCTGCGGGGGCTGCCTTTGCCCCCATTCAAGAGCAGACAGCAGCAAAGCTGCTGCTGCAGCAGCAGCTTCGCGGTGCTGCTTCAGCAGGCCTGGAAGTTGCTTCAGCCCCGGCATAAATCCGCTCCTCTGAAGGCGAACGCGCAAAGCCACCTGCAAGCAGCAGCAGCAGCAGCAGCAGCAGCAGGTGCAGAAGCAGACAGCAGGCAGAACAGCAGCAGCAGCAGTGGCAGCAGCAGGTGCAGCAGCAAACCTGTTGGTTATAGAGGTAAGCGAAGAGAAACGAAGACTCCAAACAACAGACGAGCTGCCGCAAGGCCAATAAAGGGAGGGGGACGCCTACGAAATCCTTCTGTGAGCGCAACACAACAAACAGGATTGCTGCTGCTGCTGCTGCTGCTGCTGCTGTTGCTGCTGCGGTTGCTGCTGCAAGCAACAGAGACCATAAGCACATGATACATCTCTTAGCTGCTGCTGCAGGTGTTGGAAACAGCAATATGCATTTCTATCTTTTCTCTGTAAGTTGCTGCTACTGCTACTGCTTCTGCTACTGCTACTGCTGCTACTGCTGCTGCTGCTGCTGCCCCACCCGCAGCAAATCTATCAGCAGCAGCTGAGCGACACTTTTCGCAGCCACGTCGCGGGGGTTAAAGGGCAGCCTGGCGGGAGCTCCAGCAGACCCCCTGCTGTTGCTGCTGCTGCTGCACACTGACTCAGGCAGACAGCGCAGCAGCAGCCGGCGGTCCTCAATAGGGAGGGAACCATCCGCTGCAGCAGCAGCATCGCTGCTGCTGCTGCTGCTGCTCAGGCCCTGATGCAGCAGCCATTCAAGGTCTTCTACTTGCTGCTGTTGGTGCTGTTGCTGTTGCTGCAGCGGTTTCTGTTGTTGCTGTTGCTGTTGCTGCGGCTGCTGCTGCTTCGCTTCTGCTGCAGCATCTGCAGCAAAAGGCAAGGTAAGAGGTCGCTGCAGCGGAGGCATATGGCTAAAGTATAACCCGAAAGACAGCAGCAGCTGCTGCGGTGTTGCTGCTGCTCGCTGCAGCAGCTGGCGAGGGAATGAGTGAGAGAAGGCAGCCTAAGAAGAAGACAAGAGAAAAACAAACAAATTAATTTAATTAATTATTTATTTATTTTATTAAATTAAATAAATTAAATTCACCAAATAAATTAATTTAATTAATTCACCAAACAAACGAACAAAACGTCAAAAAGACTATAAAACCGAAGCCACACTGCTGCTGCTGCTGCTGCTAGAACTACTGCTGCTGCTGATGCTGCTACTACAACAAATACTGCTGCTGCTGCTGCTGCTACAACAACTCTTGCTGCTGCTTCTGCTGTAATCTACTGCGGCTGCTGCTGATGCAACCAGTGCTGTTGCTGCTGCTACAAGTAGTGCTGCTGCTGCTGCTGCTGCTGCTGCTACTGCAAGGGAGGAGAGGCGCCTCACAGCAACAGCACCGACAATGGCGAGCCACTCTGCAGCAGCAGTTTGCTGCTGCTGCAGAGGCTTTAACGACTGCAGCAGCAGCTGAACGGCAGCAATACTCAGGCGGGCCCCGCGCTCCGTGGGTTGGTCGCTCAGTCCTCCCAGCTGCAGCAGCAGCAGCAGCAGCAGCAACAGCAGCAGCAAAGGTAGCAGTGGGGAATTGAAAGCAAATACCAAGACGGCAAGAAGACAGAAAAGGAGAGACATGGAGACAGACAAAAAAAGAAAGAGACAAACAGAGACAGAAAAGAGACAGAGACAGAAAAGAGACAGAGAGAAGCAGATAAAGATAAAGATAAAGATAAAGATAAAGATAAAGATAAAGATAAAGATAAAGATAAAGATAGACAGAGAGAGAGAAGGATAAATAGACAAACAGCAAACAGAAAGAAAGCGACAGAGACAAAAATAAAGACAAGGAAGGAGACAGAAACAAACAAAGATACAAAGGAAGCAAACAAACAAATAAAATAAAAATAAAACAAAATAAATAAAATAAAATAAATAAAATAAAATAAAATAAATCTCTCACCATCAATGAAACCAACGGCCCCAGCAGATGTCGCAGCACATTCAGGTGTACATACACCACACGAATTAAAGCCCTCAGCGCAAACCAGCACATTGCCTCTTCTGGAGAGCTCAGTCTCATAGGCTCCTCCCTGCTGCTGCTGCTGCTGTTGCTGCTGCTGCTGCTGCTGTTGGTGCTGCTGCCTCCCACTGACTCGGCGTTGTTACGAGCTGCAAACAGTGAGGCGGCAGTTACATTCTGAAGCCGTTGCTCCTGCTGCTGCTGCTGCTGCTTCTGTTGCTGCTGGTGCTGATGCTGCTGCTGCAGCTGCTGCTGCTGCTGCGGGGGTGCGCAGCTGTGGAGATCGAAGAAGAGATCCTCAAAGACAGGACACAACGCCCCCTTCAGCACTATGCGCCATAGCTGCTGCTGCTGCTGCTGGTTTGCTGCTGCTGCTGCTGCTGCTGCAGTTGGCGAACCCGCAGCAAGGCGCCCCCCGTGCTGCAGCAGCAGACGGAAGAGAGCTGTCAGTGCAGCTTCGCGACGCCCAGTTGATTGATTTTTGCTGCCTTTTAAAATCTCCTCAAGGGGCTCCTCTTCAGTAGGGGGCCCCCTACCTGCTGCTGCTGCTGTTGCTGCTGCTGCTGCTGTTGCTGTTGCTGCGCCTTGCACTTGATGCGCTTTAGCGGAGGTCCACAGCGCAGCACTACCAGAAGCCGCAGGGCAGCTGAGCCTCTCAGCGGCTGCACTTCCTGCTGCTGCTGCTGCTGCTGGTGTTGAAGGTGCAGCAGCAATAGCTGCAGTTGTTGCTGCTGTTGTTGCAGCAGCAGCTGCTGCTGCTGCACCTCCCGGGCGACATGCCAGCTGCCCCAGACCCAAAAGAATAGAGACAAAGACAGGGAAGTTCATACCGCTGTCTCCTGTCCTCTGGTTTGCTGCTGCTGCTGCTGCTGCTGCAGCAGACAGCCCCTGCCCGCTAGGCCCCTTACTTCCATCTGAAGGGATTCGTGCTGGCGAATCTGCGGCGCTGCTGCTTGCGTCTTGGTCCTGCTGCACTTCCTGCTGCTCCTCCTGCTGCTGCACTTGCTGCTGCTGCAACTGTTGATCATCGAGCTTGAGGAGAGCATTTGCTGCTGCTTCGAGTGCATGCACGGCATTAACAGCAGCAAGAGGCTGCAGAGGGCTTCCAGCAATAAGAGCTAAAGTAGCAACAATCTGTGCTGCAGCATCTGGCCGCAGCACCCCCATAAACTTTTGAATGATTTCGCCTAAGACCCGCAGCACAGGCAGCAAACGCTTCTGCAGCTGCTCCCCTGCTGCTGCTGCTGCTGCTGCTGCTGGGCCGCCTGCGCCAGCTGTTCCGCGTGCTGCTACTGCACCTGCTGTTGCGCTTGCTGCTGTTGCGCGTGCTGTTGCTGCTGCAGCTGTTGCTGTTGCACCAGGTGCTGCAGCAGCTGCTGCTGCCGCGCTTGCTGCTGCAGCTGCAGCACTTGCTGCTGCTGCTGCTGCTGCTGCCTCCGCTAGTGCCTCTGCAGCCTCTGCATGCAGACAAAGAAGAACAGACCCCCAACCTGCTTTAATCTGAGGCCCTGCAGCACGGATAATATGGTAAAGGATGTCAACGATGAAGCTCTTTAAGGCGCAGGGGGTAGCAGCATTAACTGCAACAGCAGCAAAAGCATCAAACATGTCTTCCTCTACTCCACCAAACATATCTTCCTCCTCCTGCTGCCGCTGCTGCTGCTGCTGCTGTTGCTGCTGCTGCTGCTGCTGCTGATCGCCCTCCTCTTCTCCATGCTTCTGCTGCTGCTGTTGCTGCTGCTGCTGCTGTTGCTGTTGCTGTTGCTGCTGCTGATCCTCCTCCTCCTCTCCATGCTTCTGCTGCTGCTGCTGCTGCTGCTGTAGGAGGAGGCGGGTAGTGAGTTGCCTGAGGGCGTCGAGAGCGCTGAAACGAACAGAGAGAGAAGAGTGAAGCGCAGCAGCAAGAAGGTGCTGCTGCAGGTCTCTCCAAAGGGGTCTTGATGTCTTGCTGCAGCTGCAGCAGCAGATTTCTACTAGCCGCTGCAGCGAGAAGAGCCGGGGCTGCTGCTGCTGTAACTCCAGCAACGAGACCTGCTGCAATGCATGCACGAAGCAGCTAAATGCAGCAGCACTCAGGTGTATACTCTGCTCCAGCACCATATCTGCAGCAATAGACAGCTCGAAGCAGCTGCTGACAGCAGCAGCATTTGCTGCCAACACTTCTTCCTTTCTTTCTTCTTTTAAATTCACCTCACAACTCCACAAGGCTGCAGCCACCTGCTGCTGCTGCTGCTGCTGTTGCTGCTGCTGCTGCGCTTTGAGATCGATCCCGTAGAACGGCTTGGCAGCAGCAACCGCAGCAGCGGCAGCAGCACGAGGAGGCGAAACAGCAGGAAGAGGAGGAGGAGGAGCAGCAGCAGACGCAGGAGCAGCAGAAGCAGCAGCAGATGCTGCTGCTGCTGCTGCTGATGCTGCTGCTGTTTGCCGTTCGTTTTGCTGCTGGAGAGCTTTCGGTGCTGCACGCAGATCCTCCATCTGCGAGATTAGCAGCAGCACTTCTCTCCAAGCAGCAGTTGTTAATTCATTTCCCCGCTGCAGCGCCGCATGCAGCAGCAGCAGCGCCGCTTGAATGTTCGTTTGCTGCAGCAGCTGCTGCTGCGCGAAGCGGAGAGCAGCATGCTGCTGCAGTGCTGCTGCTAAGGCGTCCATACATTCCAAATGCCCCTCAACGCAACTCAGCTCCAGCAGAGCCCCTAAACCTTTCACTGCACTCTCTGCTGCTGCTGCTGCTGCTGCTTCTGCCTCTGCTGCTACTCCTGCTGCTGCTGCTGCTGCTGCTTTACACTGCGAATCCTTCAACAAGATGTCCTTAAAAGCCTCGAGCAGCTCCTGCCAGATCGCTGACAGCAGAAAATAAACTAAATGCCCCAGCACACCACCACCGCTGCTGCTGCTGCTGCTGCTGCTGATGCTGCTGCTGCTGTTGTTGTTGTTGCTGCTGCTGCGCTAGATGCTGCGGATGCTCCTCTTCGTCTTGCTGCGCCAGATACCCAGGCTGTTCACCATATTGTTGCAGCAGCTCTTGCTGCTGCAGCACCTCGTTCTGCTGCTTCTCTTGATGCTGCTGCTCTTCTTGCTGTCTGCAGCAATCCGTACCGTTTGGGTACGTATTACTGCTGCTATTACCCTTATTGCTGCTGCTGCTGCTGCTGCTCCCACCGCTGCTGCTGCTGCTCCCACTGCTGCTGCTCCCACTACTGCTGCTGCTCCCGCTGCTGCTGCTGCTGCTGCTGCTGCTGTTGCTGCAGTAGAAGCGGTGAGCAAATGCTTCGATTATTCTGTCGATTTTCTGTGCTTCGCCGGGCAGTCGGAAAAAACCCAAAAAATTTCGAAGGGCCGAATCCACAGGCTGACCCTAAAAAATAAATAAATAAAATAAATAAATAATTAATAAATAATTAATAATTAATAAAGAATAAATAAATAATAAATTAATTAATTAATTAAATAGTTAATTAAAATTAATTGAAATTAAATAATAAACTGAAAATATGTTGTATGTATATATATATATATATATATCCAAATGAATATATCTACATATACATATACATATACATAAACATATATATATATAGTCAAAGAAATGCAAATGCAGTATTTACAAATAATCAGCAGCAGCATCAGCATCAGCATCAGCATCAGCAGCATCAGCATCAGCAGCAGCAGCTGCTGCTGCTATTATTACTTTTGTGTTTTGCTTACAGCGAAGTTGAGCTGTCTGAGGAGGTGCTTCAATGTGTTTTTGCTGAATTCCGAATCTCCACCCAGCAGCTCGCCAATAGCAGCCTTGCGGAGGCCTCGTTGCTGCAGCAGCAGCAGCGCAGCTGCTTCCGGCGTTACCTGCACCAGCAGCAGCAGCAGCAGCAGCAGTTAGGTGTACATACACCTGCTGAAGAGTATATAGAGATAACAGTTGAGCTGCATAGAGAGGCAACAGCAGTTGAGGTATATATATACATATATATATATATATAACAGCACTTGACGTGTATGCATACATATATACGTATATAATATATATATATTAGATATATATAACAATTGAGGTGTACATACACCTCACCTGCATGCGGAGTATGCTGAGAATTTGTTGAATTCCTTTTTGGGGATTTTCATCGAAAAGTGCAGCAGCAGCGCGCAGCTGCGACTTCAATGACAGACGGTGCTGCACCTCAGCTGCCAAGCGCTCCCTGTTGCTGCTGCTGCTGCTGCTGCTGCTGCTGCTGCTGCCGCTGCTGCTGCT